TTATTAAGTATTAAGATTACCTTCTAAAAATTATATATAATAAATAATCCTTAATTAGTTAATAGTGAAATATTTAGAACTTATAAGAAACTTAATTTCGACTTCGCGAAACTAGCGTAGATACTCTCTCTTATTAATATTTTTATAAAAATATATTCTTTTAGAGCGAAGTGTTTTCGCCTTAATTAATATATTCATTAGAGGCGCGATAGTAATTAATATAGGTGAGTTCTCGCTAGTTATAAATAGTAAGCTAATATTATAAAGCTCGCGATTGCGGGCCTCTAACGTAGTTAATTCTTATTCTTATTTTAGGCGACGATTTTCGGCCCTAGCGACTATAAAACGTTCTTTTATAATAAAATCTTTCACTAATAAGAAATTCTCGAATTTATCATCGACGCTATAGCGGCTCTCGATATTATCTTTATTTTTCATTATACGATTTAGAGATAAACCCGATATCGTAATAATAATAGGCCTTTTCCTTTGAAAGATAGAGAGATTAGAACTATAAGAGTATAGTTTACTAGCGATTAGCTAGCGGACATTAACTATAAAAGACGTAGTATTATTATAAAATTTAATAATATATTTAATAGTAGAACTAATCTCTAAGAAATATTAAAACTTCGAGGTATACGAAATAGACCTATATCCGCTAAGCCCCTAGATATACAAGGTACGTTATTAAAACTGAATCCTAAAAGGAACCCTGACGTAGTATATGCGATGTCGGCGCCTTGGCGTAAGCAGCGTCAAGGCCTATGACGTATTAGGCCTAATATCACCTTACTGAGACGATTTAATATTATTCTAGATATGCCATAACTAGAATAATATAACTCTTATATATTCTTTAGATTTAGAATTATTACATTTAATTTAGATTATTATATATCCAACTGTTTATTATATAGCAAACCCGTTATAATTTAGAGTAATAATAAGTCTTTAAGAAAGGACTTGAATTATATAGTAAAGACTATATTTAAAAAAAAGGATATAGTAGAGATCTCCGCCTATGCCTTTATCAAGATGGCTAAGAAATTAGAGAATTAAGTTATTGTTATATGGCCTTAAGACTTCGAATAACTTTCTAATTCTATCGATGAGAAAGCAAAGTTTATTACTGACGTCGCCGCTATTATAGCGGAAGATTACGAGAAGTTCTTTTATAAGCTAAGAAAGAAACCATCAATCACGAAATAGCTACGGGAATAAGTTTCTATAGTATATCACGAATAGCTAGACGTTTAAAATCCCATTAAAGCTAATAAACTTCCCTTTTATCGCTTTATTAACCACGAAATAGATCTTAAGAAAGAAGTTATCCCATCATCGAAAAGGGCTTACGGGCTTTCTAGAGACTAGACATTAATCGTAAAGGAATATATCAATAAGATACTAGGAAAGAGCTATATTAGACCGAGTACTTCTTTCTACACAGCACTCGTTCTAATCGTGAAGAAACCCGATAAAGAACTTAGGCTATGCGTGAACTATAGAGCCCTTAACGCACTTACTATCTCTAACCGAAACGCTCCCTTATTAATCAAAGAGACCCTTGCTAAATTGTACGCGGTGAGGATATACAGTAAATTCGACATCATAGCCGCTTTCAACGAAATTAGAGTGAAAAAGGATTACGAGGAAAAAACCGTATTTCTTACTCGGTATAGCCTATTCGAATATATAATAATACCTTTCGAGTTGTGTAATGCTCTTGCCACTTTCCAGGCATTCATTAATAACACCTTACGCGAATACCTAGATATATTCTATATTACCTATCTAGACGATATCCTTATCTATAATAATATCGAAGACGAGTATATTTAGCACATAGAAAAGATATTAGAGAAACTTCGATAAGCTGGCCTCTACCTTAATATTAATAAATATAACTTCTATATTACCAGAGTTAAATACCTAGAATTAATCATTATTACGGAAAGAGTAGAAATAAATATAAAGAAAATTAAGGCTATTACTTAATAAAAGAAACTCAGATATACTAAAGATGTATAAGCATTCCTAGAATTCACTAATTTCTATCGGAAGTTCATTACGGGGTACTCTAAAATTGTCGTACCTCTAACGAATCTTACTTATACTTAATAGAAGAAAGACTTTATCTATTTATGGGCTTAAGGATGTTCTAAATAACTCGCTTTCGAAACGCTTAAGAAAGCTTTTACTACTGCTTCTATACTTACTTACTTCGACTCAAACAAAAAGACTTAACTAGAAACGAACGCATCTAATTTTGTAATTATTACTATCCTATTATAAGAAGATAAAGACGAAGTACTTAGATCTATAATATTTCTCTTTAAGAAGATATCTCTTATAGAGTGTAACTACGATATCTATAATAAGAAACTTATGACTATAATACGGGCCTTCGAGAAATAGCATCCTAAATTAACTAATACCCCCATCGAGGATCCTATCAAAGTTATTTCAGATTATAAAAACTTATAATACTTTATATTATCTAAACAACTCAACTCCCGCCAAATAAGATAGACGAAGTTTCTATCCGAATTTAACTTCCGTATTATCTATCGCTTAAGAAAATAAAGTATTAAATCTAATAGCCTCACCCGACGAGTAGGAGATCTATCTAAAAACGAGGACGACGATTATACCCGTTATCGATATCGTATAATTCTTAAAGATAACAATCTTAACGAAGGTATCAAGAACGCCATACATCTAACCACTATACTTCTAGACGATATAAAAGAAAATATTACCTCTCTAACTGTAATGCTATATAAACTCAGCGAACGAGACAATATTAATAGTAAGAAGTCTAATAAAGAATTATCATTAAGGGCCTCGATAAAGACTTCTTAAGAGAAGTTCTTAGAAGAATCGAGAGAAGTCTCTGCTACTAATGCTTCTGAGTTATTATATCAGATAAAGAACACTTATAATTACGACAATACCGCTTAAAAAATTATTTAGTTAAAGGTATTTAAATAGAGGAAGCTATCACTTAAAATAATCAAGAACAATCTTAAACTGAAATTAAGTGATTATTACCTTTACGACGGGTTATTATACGTCAATAACAGATTATACATATTAGACATTCCCGAATTACAAACCAAAATCATCAGAGACATTTATAACTTTCCACCCGAAGGCTACGCTAGTAGATTATTAACCTATAATAGAATAAGTAGACTTTACTATTAGCCAAGAATAACGAATTCCATTACCCGCTATATCAAGAGCTATTATATCTATAAAAGATCTAAGACTTATAAAAAAGGTAAGTAAGGTCTACTTAAACCCCTTCTCATTCCCGAATAATACTAATAAGACATTTCCATTAACTTTATTATATTATTACCTATTTACCTCAGATATAAATATCTCTATTAATATATTATAATGGTTATAGATAGGCTTAACAAGAAGAAGAAATTCGTTCTCTTAAACTTTCTGAAAGTAAAAATAGTAGTTTAGGCCTTTATCGAATTTATATAGCGAGAGAAAAAATATCCATTTACCATTATCTCCGACCGAGGCATTCAATTTACGGCATATTTCTAGAGAAGACTATACGAAAGAATTAGAACCAAATCTAAACTCTTTACTACGTTCCACCTCGAAATTAATAAATAAACAGAGAACGCTAACGCTGCTCTAAAGTAATATCTTAAAGCTTATATTAATTATAACTAAGATAATTAAATAAATTTATTACTAATAGCAGAGTTCGAAACTAACTCCAATAAGAATATCTTATTAAGCATATTATTATTTCTTCTTATTAAAGGATACATTCCCCGCTTAAGAATAAAACCCCTAATCCTTTAAAATTAGTCCGCTAGTTAAAAAGCGAAGAGAGATATTAAGTTAGCTGATAAATTCATTAAGAAGATAGATACTATAAGAAATTACCTAAAAAGTTAACTCGAATAATTACAAGCTTTATAAAAAGAATAAGCTAATCATCACCAGCTTTCGGCATTAGAATTTAGAGTCGAAGATATAATCATACTTAATAGAAGAAATATTAAAACCATACGCCCCAGCAAATCACTAAATTATAAGAATTTCGGATCGTTTAAAATTACTAAAGCTTTAAATAATTTCGCTTACGAGTTAGAACTCTCTACTTTTATAAATAATATTTACTTTATCTTTTATCTATAGCTATTACATCTCGATAATAATAACCCACTACTAGAATAAATCGAGCCTTCATCGCCATTTATCGATATTAATAAAAAAGGTGAAATCTACGATACTAAAGAAATAGTTTAATCTAAATTAGATAAATAAAAGAATAATCCCTTAACTAGTAAGAGAGAATATCTTATATATAAAATTAGATATAGGAACCTCAAGATCGAGGAAAATCTATTCTAATAACTATTTACGAATATAGTAGGATATTCGAATCTAATAGTAGACTTTTACTATTATCACCCCGAGGCCGTTAACCCTTATTTATTATTTAAAAGACCTTCAGAATAATCTCCTCTATTAGCGCTACTAATTTATAGCAGCTATATTAATTTATAGAAAGACCTTAACATCGTAACGAAATACTAAATTAATACATCTAAGAATATTACTTCATATACGCTTAGATATACTTCTTATAAGATCGATATCTACTATATAATAATCATCGCCGGAGCTTCAAATTAAAGAGAGGGGTAATATCACAGTTCTAATAACCTTACGACCTTACTTACTTATATTATAGCCCAATTAAGCTTAGCGTGCCAAGGCCTTTCGGTCTTTCTATCTTACTATGAAGCCTACACTTATAATAATCCTATATAGATAGTATTCTCTTCATACTACAATACAGAGTTACCACACACACCATTGAGTCCCTGACACCCCCTCAGTACGGGGGCTTCGAGGATACTCAGGAGGAGTTGGATTAATACGGTAGCAACCCGGAGGGCATTGATCGAGACCGCAGCCCGAAGGCGGAGTCTTCAGACGACGACTTCCTACCCCTGATGCAGGAAGAGGATAATAACGACAGCGGCGGCGAATGGAGTAGGGCCACGTATTCTGACGCGTCTAGATCATCGTCACCGAAATCCATTGCCCCTCCCTCCTCTTCCTCCTTGAAACGCAAGGCCGAGACCTCCTTAGACGCGTCGATAGATCAGAAAGAGTCTCGCAAGGGGACCAAGCGAAGAAAGACGCGTGCTGATGAAGTAGCCGTCTCCCGTTTGAGATCAACAATTATGGCCTTGCCGCCGAATATTGAGGCAATTCGTCAGACCCTGTTTGATGTAAGAGAGGAGGTCCGGTGGACGGCTGAGGAATTCGCCCAACTGTGGCCGTTTATGGACAACTTCTGGGTATGCAATAAGCCCAACAATCCCATCACCAAGTCGGGCACCCAGTCATCCTATTGGTGGTGTCGTCTACACAAAGGGGCCACTGAGTCCGACAATGCCGGCTATGACGTGTCCAAATTGCAGGCGCCTACTAACCCTGCAAAGGTCTCAGTAGATAGCGAGGATGAGGGCTAGATAGCTAGCTAAACCCCCAATGAAACACCCATAAAGCAACGGCGAGGTAGATTTCGTCTCGAGACGCTAGAAATATTAGGACGACAGCGACGGTCTTCTCATTAGATTCCGCCCTGATAGCCCCGAGATACCGTAACGGTGACGACGTCTTCCCACTCAAATTCCGCCCAGCCTTACTGAGTCGTTCTCCGCCCCATAGGAGGCGGCAGCGAGGTCTCTCATTATAACGCAAACTCCGCTACACCTCCCATACAAATCCCGCCCTAACCGATAGCAATGCCAGCGGGTACAGCTGAGAGGTCTCCGGCGACAGCGGCAGCGACAGTAAGGTGTCAGCATCGTCGCGCCTTATTTTGGTGTGGCTACCATACAAATCTGGCTCAGCCACCTTATAAGTACGCTAATGGTATTTTTCTTAGCATTGGCTGAGGTATACAGAGGTCTGCACCGAAAGTCCTACACCCGCCAAGACTCTTACACTCAGACTTCGGATAACGCCCCACCTAAAGAGTTACCTAGACAATACGTCTGAAGTTCTTCGGAATCGCACCTAGCCCTAGCCAGGTTTCGGGGCTTACTACCCCTATTAAGGCTAAAAGAAATACCTTAAATCCCATTATACGCTGTGAGAAGATATTTTTAGGCTTCCCCTCTACAGAGCCGCTTTCCGAAAGTAGGGTTAGGGCTGCACTAGTGCGGGTGTAGGACTTTCGGTGCAGACCTCTATAAAAGCTACCGCTTTAACTTTGACCAAAGATCGACAACGAATAATAAGGGTCTGGGGCAAGGAAACTCTTCTCATAAGATGATAAGACTCTCTCCTCTCTTTTAGTGCTCGATTCTTATATAGCATACAAAAAGTACAAATCACCAGATCATGCAGGTACGCGTTGCTAAGTTATCTTTGTAAGACTCCAGTCGGGGTGTCAAAAGATACACTTCCTTTCCATTCATGGTATTGACCTGATATTGCACGCCGTAGCTGTTTGATTTCACGAAGTGCCCTCCTTCTCATTGACAGAATTTGTCGGCGCAGAGGTTGAAGATGAGGAATCTCAGACAATGTTCTCCAGATCTGCCCACGCCCCACCGGAAGGCTATCCCTGCTATCCGTAGAGATCTCCCGCTAGCCTCTCGCTTAAATTTTATTAGCGTGAATCTGTGAAAGTAGGAACTTCTGTCAAAACCGATAAATACTGTGACGTGGAACAACAGAAAGATTTTGATTGAGACATGGAGAACACGGAGCTCAGATCGAAGAAGCGAAAGCGCAAGCACGTCAGTGAGGTGGTGGAGGCTGAAGTATCTACCGAAGCAAAGGACGCTTCAAGTGTCCTTCCCTCAGTCAATGGCTTTGCAAAGTCTGAGCCTCCCAAGAAAAAGAAAAAGAAGCATACACATCAGGAGAAAGGCGATGCGCAAAAGGGCACCCTGTCAAAGCCTGTTTATGATGGTCCCAGAAAGGCGAACGCTGTGGAAGGTGCCCCAGTAGAGGAGGTGGAAGAGGAGGTGGACAAAAGAGCTGGGCTGGCCTCGGGTGACGCTCTCAGGGACAAACACGATGTGGAAGATGAATCATTAGGGTCGGGGGGAGAGGAGGTTGAGAATGTTGCAACCATAAATGCGAACAGGAATGATGCTCCCCCTGCAGACACAGACGTGCCATCGGCTTCGGCTTTATCATTACCGTCCACAGGCTCTGACCCCAAAAGCTTCAAGGACCTGAACTTGTCGAGCAAGACGATGCAAGCCATAGCGGACATGAATTTTGAGAAGATGACGGAGATTCAGCAGAGAGGAATACCACCGTTGTTGGCTGGTAAAGATGTTCTCGGCGCAGCAAAAACAGGCTCCGGCAAGACTTTGGCATTTCTAATCCCGTATGGATTTTTCTTTGTTATTCTGTCCTAAGACATATTCCTTGTGTACTCAAGACATCTTCCCGGAGCAGTACCCTTGTTCCGACTACGACACCGCTCCCAGAAACTTTGTTGCACCTGGAATTGCGTTCCCATGAAGAAATGCTGACTCCGAAATGTATGATAGTGCGGTCGAGATGCTGAGTGCTCTCAGATTCAAGCCCAGGTAGGGCGGAGATGCATTTGTGTCTACGAATCAGGCTAATTGACCGTAGAAATGGAACTGGAGTCATTGTCGTCTCACCGACACGAGAGCTTGCCCTACAGATATACGGCGTTGCGCGTCAATTGATGGCAAATCACAGTCAAACAGTATGAGAATATCTTCGAAAGATTAAAGTATAAGTTAATTAATAAATCCAGTACGGAATCATTATGGGAGGAGCGAATCGACGCGCCGAAGCTGAGAAAATCGCGAAGGGAATCAACCTCGTCATGTAGGACTCTACTCGCGTTGCTCCGAAAAAAATCTTTGGTTCTTGGACTAATGGTTCCTGGTAGCGCCACGCCTGGGCGTCTACTGGACCACCTGCAAAACACGCCTGGCTTTGGCTACAAAAACATCAAAGCACTGGTGAGTCTTTAAGTCATTTACAGTATGTCGAAGTTAGCTGATTGCTTCGTTACATAGATTATAGATGAGGTAAAGGATTTCCCGAGACCAAAACCCCTCATCCGACCTTGATGTTGAGCTTTAAGACATGTCTAAGGAGTGCAAACTCTTCAGTATCGTCTAAGGGCTCAGAAAACTTTTTTGAACAGACAGTGCTGACTCCGAAACCTTTTTCTAGGCAGATCGTAGGTTTACACTTGAAGATCCTACACCTTTGCTTTGGAGCGCAGGGTCAAGCCATACTAATGTGCAAGCAGGAATTCTTGAAGTTGGGTTTGAAGACGAGGTCAGGCATGTTCCTCATGATAAGACGATGTGATAAATTAACGATATGCTTGCAGATGAGACAAATCATTAAGATTCTCCCTAAGGACGAGCGGCAAACAATGCTTTTCTCTGCAACGCAGACTACCAAAGTCGAGGACCTCGCAAGAATCTCACTGCGACCTGGACCCCTTTATATCAATGTCGAAAACACCAAGGAACACTCAACAGTGGAGGGATTGGAGCAGGGATACGTCGTCTGCGACTCAGACAAACGCTTCCTCCTCCTTTTCTCATTTTTGAAGCGCCAAAAGGTGTGTCATCATGGATTTTGGAGACTTGTCCACGGTTGTACTGACAGGTCCGATCAAGAACAAAAAGTGCATAGTTTTTTTCTCGAGCTGTAATTGTGTGAAATGTATTGTCTTCCTCCTTCTGCCCGCTATGGTTTTTCGGCTAAAGATCTCTTGCCAACAGACCATTCCGAGCTGCTAAACTATATCGATCTTCCCGTGTAAGCATCCCCCTCTTCTAAATCATCTTACTCGATCGACTAACGAGTCATTAGGCTAGATCTCCACGGGAAACAGAAACAGATCAAGCGAACAAATACGTTCTTTGAATTTTGGTGAGCAAAATTAGTCTTACTCCCGAGAACTTGACTAATGCTGGACCAGCAATGCTACCAAAGGGACATTGATCGCAACTGATGTAGCTGCGAGAGGGCTTGATGTGGGTTGGAACAACTTCAACTGCACATCCGAAGCTGATTTGGGCTCAGATACCTGCAGTGGATTGGATTGTTCAATTTGACCCTCCAGACGATCCTCGGGGTATGTGTTTTGACCATTTCCTGCAAGATGTTATTGACTTTGATTAGATTACATACATCGAGTCGGACGAACAGCACGAGGAGTAAGTACCCGAGGTCCACGTTCTCTCTTTTCGAACAAATCCCAGTTCGAGACATGTCCTGGGTGGTTCTTTACTCTCGAAACATGTTTCAAGGCTCGATACATCCCTTCAACCAGGCTCTTTTCAACCAGGCAATACTAACCTGGAAACCTTAATCTAGTCGGGTGGTAAAGGCAAAAGCCTCTTATTCCTGCAGCCTTCAGAAGTAGGCTTCTTAAAACATCTCAAAGAAGCAAGGGTACCGTTAGTGGAGTTTGAGTTCCCAGCAAAACGAATATTCTCAATACAGAGCCAGTTGGAGAAGTTGATCAATCAGAACTACTACCTCAACAAGGTAAAGTCTCCCTTTTCTTCCTTCTGGACCCTGGCCTTCGTCGAAGACTGACCGTCTTTATCTGTAGTCGGCCAAAGATGGCTACCGCTCCTATCTACAAGCATACGCCTCTCATAGTCTAAGGTCTATCTTTGACGTTCACAAGCTCGACCTCGTCAAGGTGGCAAAGAGCTTCGGCTTTTCTGCACCTCCACGCGTTGACATCACGTTGGGAGCAAGCATGAGCAGAGACAAGAAGAAGGAAGGGAGGAGAGCGTACGGAAGTCAACCGAAACAAGGGCAGAAGTTCCAGCGGAAAGGAGATTGATTTTAGCAAAAGAAACAGTGTTCTCCATTTTTAGCAAGGTGTTGGTTGTCGCTCAACCACGTGCTCATCCCTCAAGGAGGAATGCTGTCAAGACCGATTGGGCAATATTTGACGGCAGTGGCATATTGCCGACTTGAGAATAATAATGGGTAGCAAACAGATCTCTTGTACCTACTGTACCCAAGTTCCCCAATACCGTAAACTCCCAGACATGGCCGAGAGCGCTTGAAGTTGATGAGTTGTCAAGCGCGGGATCTTGCATGCCCAGACATCCACGAATCCAATTGCAATTGGCTCTCTCAGCGGTCTCCCGGTTAACGACCTTCCCGCGGGCCAAGATCAAATATTAATGGTAAGACTAAATAAGAACCGCAGGTTTGTCTGTCAGTACGCATCACACAACTTTGATTTGGATGATGTTTTGGGGACCGAGTCTTTCATTTTTTTGGCCACACTTCACTCTGAGCGTGTGAAGGCACAAGCAGAGCAGATCCTTTTGTGAAGGAGGGGCGGGAGATCTTCGGCTTGTGGCAAAGCAAGATTTCCGGCAGACAGGAACCGCTGCACAGCTCAGGAGAAATGCCAAGAAAATGCCAAGGATTTTCGAGCGAACAATAATGTAACAGTTGATGTCTTGCAGAATACCTACGGTCAATGTGTTTCGGAAGTGTAGAAGTGTAGAAATAGATTAGATTCATCAATCAAATCATTGCGCCTACGAAAGTACTCCGTAGAGGCCTGTCGAAGAAGGGCGTTACGATTTACCAAGGAGCAGAGCTGGTGGCGCCAAAGATATCGACCTATCAAAGCTCGCTACCGAAGCCGATTCCCTTAGCTTACCGACAATTTGGTGGTTGCGTTTGTTGTTCCCTGGCTCAAGCTTTCAGCTTTCCCTCGACTTCAGGTTTCTACAGAAACAATCTTAGCTTCACCACTCCAGTTCTTTCTCCTCTTGCTAGTTTCTCACTGAATACAGTGCGGCGGAGTTACAGGTGAGCTTTGAGCGTTCAATGCTGCCAAGGCCATACTGACCTCGCCAAGTGAGAAACCGAAGGCTACGGTCGAGCTCGGCCGATACAAACAAGATATCACCAGCCATCTATTTCCAACAGCGGATCGCCCTGCCTCTTCCACAACTTCCACGCACTCAGGCACTACTCCTTAGCTGGCTTGTACCTTCTTTTCAGCCTTGCAGACGTTACGCTACCATCGTCGAGAGTCGGATAATTCCCTTCATGGTCATTGCACCAAATTCTGCGCCTTCCCAACCCACGTCATCTCCATATTGAGGGCGCTGCACCACGCACAGAAGCTTGATATCACTTCAACTGTGGTCTCAAATAACCAACCATCCATCAATGGTCTACAATTAGTCCGTCTTCATACCCTTCGAGGTCAAGACAGGTTGATACATCGCAATGGGCATCGAGACTCGCAAACCGCCGTTGCCAGCGCCAACCGAGTCCTCAACCTTGCAAACATCAGGAGGCAGCGGTGAAGAGGCTGACCTTGCTACCGACGTCTCACGCCGCACAGATCGGACATCCTACTCGATACCTGAAGACGGAAGTCCAGTAACCATACCTACGAAGAAGCGCAGGGACTCCCGCGATAAAGGCCGTGAGAGTGCACTTACTCACGCTTCGCACCATTCCCAGACGTCGCTATTGATCGAATACTTCGAGGGCGGAAAAGGACCGAACGTACATTCCAGGCCCAGCGTCCGGGTGAAGGTGACGCCATCAGCTGCGCGTAAGATCAAAGACACAAACGAGCACGTTCAGGTCACCGCGTCAAAAGGCAGTCGCAAGCCTTCTTACACAAGGCGGATATCGCTGGGCCAACACTCTACGGGAGAGAGGCAGGCCACAGAGAGTGCGGACGACAAGAGTATTAGCTCGTACACATCGGCGGCGGAAGAGTCAAGCTTAGCTCATCGATACCCGCCTGTGGAGGTCGAAATAATGCATAGAGACCAAGATAGTGACCTATCTGGCCTAAATCTAGCAAGGGAGGAGCGATACACTCATGTGAACCCATCCGACATATCGTCTATGCCACCGGATAGCATGCTCGAGGGAAAGGCAGGAAGTGTGACACCTCGCCGCGGCAGTCGAAGCACAAGCAGAGATGCTGTTGTCACCACCGATACTCTGAAGACGCCATCGCGGAGGAGAAGCCGAAGTCTCAGTAAAGAGAGACTAGCCCACAAGGCTATGGAAAAGCTAGTGGAAAGGCCTCGAGAAGTCAGTGGTGGGAAGCACAAGCGCAGCAGTAAAACTCGCAGCCGCAGTGGCAGCAATGAGCAGCTTGTCGAAGATGTCAATAGTAGGCGGCGCAGATCGAGCAAAGGATACAGAGAGGAAGAGCTTGCCAGTGGTGCCGAGTCAAGCCTCCTCACAACGTCTCAGCTCTCTCCTCGACGGGAATCTGGCGATCAATACTCCTTCCGATCTGGAACCTCAAAATCCTCAATCAATGCCAACCCAAGATTGCTCGAGACGGTGGAGAATGCTATCCGCCGCTTAATCATGCCGGAATTGGAGACGTTGAAGCAAGAGCAGAAGATGCAGCAAAGTCGCCAAAAGTTCGACCGGAACAGTAGGGGATCCGTGGATTCGGGTCGAAGCGTTTCACATACCGAATTGTCTCGCAAGCTCTCCAAACATGCAAGTGCTCCAGATGTTTCTGGAAAGCCCAAGGTGTTTCTTAATAGAGATGAGCACAATGCAGGGACACTGTTATCGGGCGATTCGATTAAGGGCAGGAAAGAGAGCAGACGGGACAGAAAGTCCGATTCGCCTTCTGAGCGCAGGTCAGAGCGCGATATGTCGGAGGAAACTGTCATTCGTGATGGAGAGAAACCCTCTCGAAAGAGAAGCAAGGAGCACCGTTTGAAAGACACTACGGCTGGAGCCATTGCGGGAGGAATCCTTACAGCTGCGGCTTTGAACCATCATGACCTGAAGCACAATGACTCAAGGTCTAGCATGGATCGGGAGAAGCGAAGGAGGAGGAGGAGTAAAGGGAGTCACAGTCGAAGTGCGAGCATTGCTGAGAGTACCGAAGAGATCTTTAACAAGCATGACGTTCCTCCGATGCCGATGCGGAGCGACATCCAAAGTTCGGAAGTGACGCGAGACTCAATCTTGTCAGAACAGACCGATGGGACATTAGGGACGTTAAGGACACTATCCCCTTCGGAGGAACGAATACATACCGCAGAGATACGACAGGTATCTCGCGGTTCTCCCCGCGAGATTTTATCTCCCGCCTCAAGAACGCCGACCAGAACACCTCAAGATGCGCGAAGGGGAGGGCTAGGAACCTATCATAGCAATTTATCGCAGGGAGACCTCGCGGAGGCTAGTCCACACAGCAATCGAAGCTTTCGGGATGACGAGCATCACTCAAAACTGGTGGAAGCAGGTGTTGTTGGAGCAGTGGCTGGAACAGCTGGTCTCACTGCCCATAACTTATCAGATCGCAACGATCAATACGATAGACACGGATTCGCCTATCAGCAGGAGAGTCGTGGCCTAAGTCCTATCCAGAGTGTCTCTAGTCGTCAGGAAAGCGAGATTAACCGGCAGTCGTTCGGTCATAAAGGCTCTTTGTCATCCCTGAAGCAGCCCCTAAAGAAGGACTCAGCTGCTTCGATGAGATCGTTGGCGTCTCCTGTTAGCGTGGATATGACTCGTTCGAACAGACCCAAAGGCATCAACTTCGAGCCAGGTGAAGATGTGCTTGCGCAGCTCCGCGACTCGAAGTTTACGGAGGGTGAGTACTCTGATAAAGACCCTGCGATGGATGAGTGGCTGGAGCAGGAACATGAAAAGAACGATCGCTATCGCGATTCTGGCAGCTACCGAGACTCTATGATTGATTACAAGCATATGACAAACTACACAGATGACAGCATGGATGCCCCATATCTCGACAAAGTTGCCGCCGCTCAAGAACGTCACACCGTGGGCGTTGGCAGAAACCCTGATTACAGAAGCACACCAGTAGCCGTTGAATCAGCAGTTGCATCGCTTCTTGAGACTTCAGTGATTTCGTCGAAACAGGAAGACAGATCATATGCTGGATCGCGCGAACAAGAACGGGTGGAAGCTGATGCGGAGCGCGAAGTTGCTCAAAATTCTAGGGAGCAGCAGCACGAGCATCAGACCAAGTCATCCTCTGAGAAGCACTATAGTTATGACAGGCTTTCTGCCAAAGACTCTCCACGTCAGAGCATTGCTAGATCCCTGGATGAACGCGAGGAGCACATTCCCATGGGTGCCAGTGGCTTGCCAGTAGCTGATGACCCCATACCTGAGATCGGACATGGCTTGCACTCGGACTCTGAGATTAGCACCAACCCTTCCATCATCCAAGGACCAATGGGTGGCTATCAGAATGACAATCTCGATCACTGGCCAAACAAGCCCACCCCACCACAGGCCAAAGGAGAGTTCTTGTCTCCCTCTAAGGATTCAAGTGCTCAAGACAGCCTCAAGGCCGCTGCTGCAGGCTTCCTTAACGCAGCGACTTTAGCTAGCGGACGAGGCTCCCTTGAAGAGCAAGGAAAATCGCGGGAAATGTCAATACACGACGACTATCAGCCCAGGTTTCATGATGACTATGAGACCAACGCCAAGCATGATTTCAGCCCCGTTCGCGAAACTTATATGGCCGGTGGAAGAGTTCCTAGTCCACCCAAAGACGAGGGCTACATCTCTGGGCCTCAACGTGGTGCTGCCAGTCCGGAAATACGCTTCAGAGATGCTAAAGCCTTCAACGACCGGGGAAGGGATGGCATGACCGAAGATGAAGATCCATTTATTAGCCGAGGCCACGACAGGCATCTGAGCACCAATTCGCATGGACTGGCACATGGAATGGGCTCCCCGCTCTACGACAGCGCTACAGGCGGCGGCATTGACAGAATCCAGTCAAAAGACATTGTGGCGCTCATGGATCATGTAAGTGACTACCCCCTGTGTGCAATTCAATTGTGCCGTTCTCCATGCTAAAAAAGTACCAGCTTACGGTCAGGGACGCCCAACGCAATGCCAGAGATACTGAAATATTGGTGACTCTGGTCAGAAGTGCAGCTGAGATGCGCAACTCCTTCGAAGAAATGAAGAAGTTCATTGCTGAGCAAGACGACCTTCTTGTCGACGTTGGTAACAAGCAGCATGACCGTACAATTCAGAAGATAGTCGTCGGTGGCCCACGACCTCAGCCATTGGGACCACCCAAATATCAACGTCGCTCTTCTACAGAGGACGATGCAGAGGATTCGCCTGCTAAGAGACGAAATGTGTTTAGGCGCGCTCTCAAAGGGCTCAGCAGCCGCAATCAGAACGATATTGGCAAGATAGAAGAGATGCTGGTCCATCTACTTGGAGAAGTCGAAGGGTTGAAGGCTGTTCAGGGCGTGCGGCCTGCTGGGGGAGGAGATAACCGCGCTGACAGCCTGAATTCGTATAACAACATGCGCGCAGCTGGCCCAGACGGGTATGAGCCAGAAGGTCAGGCCGGTACCGGATCAACAGGCCAATCCGGGTACTTCTCAAACCCTCCATCACGGGAAGCCAGCGCCATGAGAAATAGAGACAGTCGCCGCGGATCTCAGAACCGAGTAAGTACAGTACTTGAAGCGGACGAGGAGCCTGAGCCGCATGAGCAGGGAATTCTTGACAATCATAACGAACAGCTGCTCACCCCTACCAGGGAGAACGCTCGAGCTGGGTCTGTGCCATTGGGTACTCCACCGCAGACTCAGGTTCCAAACGGGACTCAAAGTAACGAGCATACTCCGAGAACAGGAACAGATAAGAGTCGCAAACACAAATCCAGCAGCTCATCGTTCTTCCCGAAGATCTCCAGGTGGTCAAGGACAACAGCTTCTTCTGTCGGGGACAATTTCAGGAATAGCATGGACCGACGACAGCAGCGACCTTTCTCAGAGGCATCCCGCTCGGGAGAAGACCTACAGCCGTATGAAACAAACGATCATTATGACCACCATGGGGACGACCGTATTCGTTCTAATGACTCACTCGAGAACGATGATGTCGTTCGTGATGTGGCCCAAGAAAACCGACCTCCTTCTCCCCTGATCCCATCTCAAGTATCTGAGGATCCGAAATATCAAGCACATCGGAATTCTCTCAATCTGCAGCATCCCCAGCCACGTCCTGGACCCACGCATCGATTCCAGCACCATCTCGAATCTCAAGCCCAGAACTTCGGCTCCCGCTCTCCCATCTCGCCCACCTCCGACACCTTTGGGTCTGACCCCACTCTTGCTCGTTACGTCCCAGGTGCCATCAACAGATATAGTGGATTGGCTGGCAACCTGTCCCCAATATCCGATGCAGGACACTCAGAGACATCAGGGGCCGAACAAGCTTCTGCTCCTCCACGACCGCCAAAAGTCAAAGATGATGGTCCACTGATTCCATCAGGTCCGTCGCGCCCGCCAAAGCTAGCGAGCAAAGACAGCAGGCCAACCTTTGCATCGCCTCTAAGTACAGAACATCTGCAACCTGAGCAGAGATATAGCAATGGTTCCGCTTATGATACTGCAAGTCACCTTTTACTAGTCGGTTCGAAAAGCATATTAACTGACCATCTTCTGCAGGCGAAAGACTCACCGCGCTCTACCTCCGGCGCTGCCATGCAGCGCAAGCCTACTGGTCCAAGGCCCATCACCTCTTCCGGTAGTTACAGCCCAGACAAGGAAAGCGTCAAGCGGAATAGATATCGCGGATCGCCAAATCAAATACCTTCACCAACCGAAGAGGCTGACTTCTAGACATATTTTTGACATGCGTATTGCTGTGCCTCTTATTCTCCGTGTCATAATAGCAGCATCATGCAGCGCACATTGACGAGAAATTTCATTTGAGGGAGCGGAAGACGGTAATCGAGCGATCGAGCAGGGCGTTGTCAGGGGTGTGGCATATAATAGGTGCTAAAAGCATTTGTGCCGTTGTCATGAGCCAGGTGTTCTAAGACATTTTACGACTCATGCGAGAAGAAAGATACTATTCGAGACCCATAGTTAGCGATCAAAAAGCCTTCTTTTAAGTCCCACCTTCTCCATACTTATCATCTTCGATTATTCCGTATCAACAAGCTTGCCTTCTGCTAAATAGTAGCACATGGAAGGCATGATCAGCAACATGGTAGGTGAATGTGGACTTTCACTCATAGCTGTACTCGTAATGAACACGCAAGTGTTACACCGGGGCAAGGCATATGCTATTGGGCGCTCTTGATTGCAAGAAGCTTTGAGCATTACTCTCCTTCGGCTGGCAAAATTCCATGAGCCGGCATCTCTGACCAGTATCTCGTCTGTTGACTGTTAACGTGTAGCCACATGTCAACGCATACCGTCTCCAGTCCGGCCTCAATCACGGAATCACAATGCTCGCAATTGTTGGTCAGGGAAAGACACTGGTCCCGGAAGTGATTAGCGTTCATCAAACATCACGAGGCCAGCAATGTGCTTTCAGAGCGGTCGTCAATTCTTTATCCGAAAAAAAGGGGGGTAAGATATCAGTCCGTGGGCTTGGTCAGCGACACCTAACTATTGAAGCACGGCTATTTCGTATGTCGCCAAAGGCAGCAGCGCCAATGGCATGTTCAGCATGCTCCACCACTTCGAGCGGTCAAGGACCCACTCGGCATGATTTGGAGAGTTCCTCCTTAACATGTCTGTTAGAGAGAGTAGTTCTGCTTGATCGATACTATCACAATGACATGATGCGTTCCCAGAGAACGAATGTTCATCCTTGGCGCTACGATGTGACTTAAATTGGTGCCATGCATGGAGAATAGATTCTGACAGAAGAACTTGCTGCAGTGATGCTTTGGGAGAAGACTCGCAACTAACGGACCGGTGAGTGGCCCATGCCCTCCCTAAAGAGCAATCCCTGAAGTCAAAAAGCCTATCAGAATAGCCACTCAGGAGTCACGTCCCCATGACTTCTTTAAGGTACGTAAAGTCTCAAACTATTCCTTTCTTTTCTATACTGTCGTTCGAGTTGCAAGAACTCCTACGTCCCCAGATTTTCTCTGGAGAGAATGCTGATCCCAGTATCTCTCCAGGATTACTGTTCCGAGGCCCATTTGACACGGAGGCTGAATGACCTGGGATGCAGAAATGTAATAAATGTGCGTAGACTGTGCCTGGGGAGCTGTGAGATGCTTCGTTACTCACTTTTCTGGAAGGTAGTGGAATGGGCTTACATTGGAGAGAAGTTTTGGAGAAACGAAATGGGGAAAATCAGCAAATCAGAACCTAGGCACAGGATTTGTTATGAGTATGCTGACTACGGAGATTTCTGGGATTTGATAGCTTGGTATCATACGCAACGGTATTTATTCCACCTAGTCCCTCTATGTTGTGGTCATCATTGACTAAAGTGCGAATAGCCTCATCCTTCCGGAAGCGTTTTTGTGGCATGTCTTCCACTCCATGGCGAACGCCCTCTGCTATTGCTGCTATGGGACCAACAATCCATCGTCCCGTAAGCGCGGATGGGACGGCATTGTCCATATGGATATAAAGCCGGAGAACATACTGCTTGCCGCGCCTGGTCTAGACACGCACCGACTCTATCCCTGCGTGAAGCTAGCAGATTTCGGTAAATATCCCAAGCTTACTAATCTTGGATACTGACATGAACAGGATTGGCACATACCATGGGAGTGAGCGTGGCAGAAATTCGTTACTTCAAGAGCGCCAGACCGAGTGGAGGAACTGAGGGGTAAGTACATTGAAACCACATCGCCTATACCTTGCTGACGTCGAGACAGATACATGCCACCAGTGAGTGTCTTGGTGACATTTCCAGACATCATACCCGCTACTAACGGTGATCATAGGAAGTGATAGACAGGACGCCGGAAAGAGAACGTAGAAGACGTCACCCTCACGAGCTCATAGGACCGCATTGCGATGTCTATTCTTTGGGAAAATCCATCCAGAATGGAACAAATCTGCTCGGTCTACATTACCAAACCCTCAAATTCTTAGACACGAAACTCAACCGCTTCGAACCTGAAACCAGACCAAGATTGGACCTGGTCTACACGTCCGATCTCTGGAACCTGATGAACCGCTGCCAAAATGAAGACGCAAGGTATCGTCCGAAACTTCACCACCTGTACAACGAAACAAAGCTACGTATGGAAAACTTCCGCGCCCTTGCACAGGCCGAAGGAGCAGAGGCATTTGGAAATGGCATTCCCGACTGCTTCCACAGCAACGTTCTTTATAAAAGGGCAGATCGCAAGCGCTTCGAGACCGATCCTGTCTTCCGCTCGAACTACAGGAAAGCAAATCTGCGGCCCGTGTGGGAGATCCTTGGCCCTCTACCACCTCAGAACGTGGCGCAGGCCGAACCGTCCATACCGCTTGACGCAGACCATTCTGTGCATGTGAATCGAGAGGACGGAGCGCAGGTTAACGAGCGGACGGGTCAGCAGCGGGGTAGGTTACCGGCGTATGTGGAAACGAAGATCGAGAAGAAGGATAAAGAGAAAAGGAAGAGGACGGCGCGAGTGCAGCGGGGGATCCGGGGGTTGTTGAGTCGAATGAACTTCTTCTCCTAGGACATTGGGTGATTCCTGGATCGACTCAGACTAATAATCTGCTGCTTGTGTTTAGATCACTACCACTTTGATCACATATTGAGGCTTCGTATTGCAGAGACCGGGACTTTATTTGGTATCTATCGCTAGAAAAGCTCCTTGCCTTTTATCGGACGCGGCACTTTCTTGCTGCCATCGGGATGGCTTTTCTCCAAAAGTCCTGGCGATAGAGGGCGGGACCCTCAATCAAATCGTAGAGGTCCGACGGTTGCCAGAAAATAGTGACGATTTTCACGAATTTTTCCTTGAGAACCGTTCTTTTACTAGCAAGGGAGAAGTTGTAGAAGTAGTAGAGTTCAGGCGCAGTACCAGAAGATAGTGACGATTTTTTACGGATTTTTCCTGAGAAGAGTCGTCATCACAGAGCAGTGAAGGTAAACACAACGATCAAAAGATCTCGGCTTTTTCAAATTCCGAATACCTCACTTCCAAAATCAACCACCCGTCCAAAGACAAAACACTTCCTTCTATTTCCTTTTATTTCAACCCTTACAAACTGTACGACCGCCATCATGGAGCGTTCAGATGACAAAAACCCCTTCGACCCCGACACCTACGATCGACCCGCTCTAAGCATCAAAACCACGCTCGAGCTTCGGGCCTTCTGCGCCGAGTTCTTTGACAGACACATCCGCACCAGCGTCAAAACGGACGAGGAAGACATCGCAGCCTTTCTCGCCCTAATCACTTATTCGCAGAGCTTCTTCGCACGCGCTCGCGCAGTCATTCCAGAGCTTCAGGCACCTGACGTGGAGTCATCGCACCCAAATGAAAACGTCCAGGTCTTTCTGTACGCGACCCGCGATATGAGAGGTCCACCGGGTATGAAGTGGGAATTTCTGCCCGAAGAGTCGGCATGGACGAAGCTCGCAAAGGAAGGGATGGACAATCTCGCGAGGAACATTGCGAATAATGGTACGGGGCACAAGAAGCAGGCCAGCGATGCTAGTGCTCGAGGTCCATCTAGTAAGCACACGTTGGGTATCATGCCGGAGAAAGCCGAAAATATACCCTCAGAACCCCCTCTGCACCCACCAAAGAGCGTCAAAAGCAAGCCCGAATCTCTTCCGAAGAAGCTCGACCTCCCCGCCATCCCAACGTTCGTTCCGGGAAACGCCATGGGGTCCGACGAACTTGTCTGGTCACCGACCTCCGGCACCCGGCAGCGTCGAACCGATGAGCTCTACCAGAGCACCAAAGCTAGTCCAGCGAACCCGATACAATTCGGCCAAGTGATTCCTCCAAACCCCACCTCTGCATACAGTATCAAGGCCCAGTACCTCTTCCATGGCTCTCGTGATCTGTCTGATACCCCTACGAAGGGTCATTCGGACTCCATAAGGATAACTCCACCACCGCAATTCAAGAGCACCCAGTCACCACTCAATCCATCTGCTGCATCGTCTGGCCGATCGAAAGGAAACAGTACCAATCCAAGACGCATGCGCCGCAACAATCTTGAAGAGACGCCATTCCCTGACAGCACTAATCGTATGATGGAGATGGCGACACTCGGCCACGATCCCACCAGCAAATACCCGTCTTCGTCCCTCTACGACACCACGGCCTACCCTGTCAATGATCTCAGCCGCACAAACACGCCTTCTCAATTCAAAGGTCCCCAGTACCCATCGAACCAGGCGCGCGGCGTTTACGGTGCTGATCCCTTCTCAGCTCCACCAACCGTTCCTGCTTACGGAACTCTGAACCGGTCCAGTCAGGGCATGTACGGTGGACCTCCAAGTCCATTCCAAGGCCAGCTCGGTCCCCTCCAGTCTCGACCTCAGGCAGCATCTTTTCATTCTTTCCCTGACCAGGTACCGTACGTACCTAACCCAGACCTCTGGGCCACCCATACCCAACGACCCCGCCATGGCGCGTTGCCCAATCAGATGATCCAGCCCATTCCTCAGATGACGGCGCGAACACAACTACCTCCGTCCATGGCCCAAGCGCCCACCAGCGAGGCCCTCAGCGTCCCACCCCCAGGTTCCATGGACCCCCTCGACTACTGGACCCTGCTGACCCAGCGCGAAAAGGACATAAACGCCCGCCTCCAAAACGCCAACCGACCCATGACAACCCACGAGCACCGATACATCTCCTTACTCCGCGAGGCCCGCATCATGGCAGCGGCGACTCAGCTGCCGGCCCGTGGCGGCATGTCCAAGGGTAAGTGGCTCGCGGAGTTGGGTCGGACGCTCCGGTCGATCTGGAAGACCGGTCCGCGCGGCGCAGGGTTCCCTCCGGTCGTCGTGGCGCGCAAGATGGATTTCGAGAAGGCGATCGAGCGGGAGATTGGGTTGACGTCGCAGGAGAGGCAGCACGCGAGCTTTGAAAGCGCCTTGGATCGTGCATTCGGTGCTTGAGGGAGCGAGGCGGTCACGGTTTGGTTACGGTTCCAGGTCTTCTACATCAGCACGGTTTCTTCAATCGAGAACTAAGATAATCGCATTCCGAAGGGACAGGATACAGCAGCAACAGCGGGAACTTTCCAACGGAGCGTCTAGGCCTACATCAGCACATATCATTCAGGGGCGAAGAGCTGAGCCATGCTGTCAGCAGTCGATGCTTTTAAGGAGCTGGCTCTGAGGATTTTTCAGCAGGGACTTTGGCCTCTCAAGCGTGTCATCCACGCAACACGTTTTGTATCATAAGCAAGCTTTCATAGGAAACGATCTCCTCTCCATTAGTGGCGAGCAAAAAGATTGCCATTCGGCAGCGTCACCCACAGCAGTGTGAACGAAACCACGAACAGAAACTCCCAGAAGAGCTTCGAATCGCATGAAAGAAGGTGAGGGATGAAGGTAAGGATTCGACATTTCCTCCGTGCTTAGTCATCTCCTGCTGTTGCAAGCATACAATCCCTTCAAAATAGACGCACTCTGTGAGTCTCCGCACCGTGATTCAAATTGTCTTGGTCCAAAGCATAAAAGACCTAATACGCAGTGCCCATCTCCCCAGTCTCCTCAACGCTCTCGTCTTTTCATCCATCTCCAGCGATGCCCCTTACAAATTCTGTCATTCTAGCAAGGTAGAAGGCTCTGCTGGGCACCCCGGATGAGGCACGGAAGGAACCATACCCATAGGGTACACCTAGACTGCATCAGCGCAAGCTCCTCGAGAGTTAGTGCACGGAGACAACACTCGCCTCCAGGATGGCGGGGCCTGCAACAATGTTCTCGTCCGAGGGATCGACGCAGGAATCTGATAACACGACATATACCTGGCCTGAGACGCCAACTGGGATTTCATCGACCACATAGTCGCTGTCATTATTCGCTATCCGTACGGGGACGGGCAGCTGAGCGGTGGTCAGCCACTGCCAGGTCCGCGAGACTTCGCTTTTGGGAGAGAGTCCGAACCTTTAGGAGGCCGGAGATGAAGACGGCGTAGACGGTCGTGTCTTGGGTGACTCCAAGCTGCTCCGCATTGCTGAATGCACCGGAAAAGGTGACAGAGGATAGACCAGCCCTGACATCCTATCAGCACCAAGAAGTATATTGACCAGAGCAGTCCTTTCTCACTCATAGTAATACGGCGTGCACTGCGGCGTCAAAGTGGGGAAAGCCGTAAAAGGCAATTTCACCGGGCCGCTGTTGAAGTTCTTGATGAAAGGCAGAGCAAGTGTGTGGACCTCATTCTACGATGACAGGCATCAGTCTCCGTCTCCGGTGGCCACAAGCCCAGACCCACAAAGTCGAGCGGGGTATCGAAAGCATTGGGAAACGGCGCCTCCCCAAGCCCCGCCCGGACGTACGAAGACTGGCGGGCCTCGACCCCCAGCATCGAGGCGACCGCGGTCCGGTAATCCGGATCCTCGATCGACGCCAGAGCGCCGAGGTACCTACACCTCGTCAACGAGACCCCCCATCTCCGGCATTCCCTCCTTCAAAAACCCACGCCGAAACGCCCCACCCCCTCAACCACGCCCGCGAGACCGACAAACGACCCCACGTCCGCGTACGGGAACCCCGTAGAGTACTCCAACCCCCCGTCGCCTCCACCCCGGCCGCCCGCAGCGCCGAACCCAACACGGCGACGTGGCTCCGCTCCCCGAAGCACACCGCCCGCACGTTTCGCGCGGAACGTACGGGAATCCGCGAACCCGGCGGCCCGGTGAAGCGGGCCAGGGCGCCGGCGTAGAGGGCGCGCTGCGGGAACGCGAGGGTCGGGGCGAAGTTGAGGATGGTGCCGTCGTCGACGAGGGGCGCGGGGACGCGCGCGGGGGGGCGAGGGGGAGCGGTGGCGGCGGCTAAGGCGGCGAGGAGGAGGGGGGTGAGGAGTGGCATGGTGGTGCGGGGAGCTAAGGGGTGATGTGGTGTCCAAGAATGGTAGGATGGAGGGTGTTGTTCCTAGGATGGGGTTTTCCTAGGAGCGGGTGTGGTGTGAGGGAGAAAGGGATGGTGGAGAGGTAGGGTGGGTTCCGGTGAGGAAAGGCATGGCTCGTGAGTTTCCGGTTGCCGACAGTAGCGAAGACACTGCCGTCCGAGAAGGTCGGCAGGAGCGCTCGAGGCCTTCAGGGGTCGGAGGGTTGGACATGCGTGGCGACTGCGAAGTAAAGACTGTTAGCAGCCACGTTCCAAGAGAAATGCAGATCAGTTCTTCGACAAGTGCCTGGAGCAGAGCGATGGCAGAGAGCCAATCGAAGACGCGAATTCTCGTTGTCCTATCGACTATTGGATCTATTTAATTGAGGTCCGGGATCTATTTTACGCACCAAAATCGAACGCTGTGAGCATGCTGATCGTAATGCCGTCAAACGCTACAGAGAACGCTATCATCGCAACAAGACCACCGAACTACCAAAGGCTAAGGACAACAGCAGGACGAGGCCTGTAACGACGGTCGTCACCTCAATCCTTGGTGGTCCGACGGCAAAGGCGGCTCCCTTCTTCCCTTGAGCCGCGTTCGCTTTTCCGGTCCCCGAGACACAGAGATTGAAAGTCGGCGAGCCATGCGCAGCGGTAGCTTGCGTGCTTCCTGTCTTGGTTTGCGCGTCGGTCTCTTGAGGAATGCCGCTAAAGGTTTGACTCGCCGTGACGGCTGAGGCGGTTATGGACGCGCCAGGAATGGAGCTTCCGGAAATCTCTACAACGTTGGTATCCGTAGTGTTGAAATTGGTCTGGGCCATTCCGATCTGATTGTTGGTCAAGTCATAGACCACATACGCTGACCGAAGGAAAGCATCCCCAAAAAGTATGGGCCCCGTGCCGGATGACATCAACCCCCATGAGCAGATAGTCCCTGCCCCATCTCTGAATGTAGGTTGCACACCATCTTCGTTGAAAATCGGTGTAACAAATTCACCCAGACCGACTGAGATCGTCAGGCCATTATTCCCACCAAAGCCAAAGCTTAAGGTTGCTGGCGAATTTGCTAGGTCGCAAGGCACAATGGTGCCATAATCTTTGTCATTTATGACACCGACACCACCGAGAATCGGGTTGACGACGCTATCAGGAAGATACGCGTCAGTAGTCCCGCTGTCCAAGATAACCGGCAGATCCAAATTGGTCTGGGAGAACTGGACCGCCCCTGAACAATCCAACACAGATACAGACGACAAAGCCACCGTGAAGTCGGTGTATGAGCCGTTGGTTGCTTGCACGGGAAGTACGACCAGGTTGCCGTGGTATTTGGCAGTGTCAACGCCTCCGAACAGGATTGATCCAGTCAAGGAGTCTGAATTTCGTCAGCAAGGTTGCAGTCTTTGGATCGAAGGTACGTACTAAGATCATTGAGCCACAGACTGTAGGCCAAAGTGCTGATGAACCCTTGAGCCTTCATCTGGGCCACAATGTTCGGGTAGACGTCTGTTGGGCTCATGGCTGAGATCGATTCGTCGGCATCATAGCCAATACCCATGATGCCAAATGGCCTAGTGGCCTGCATGGCAAGCCCCATGGTCATATCCTTGATCACAGTATTCCCTATTGCCAAAGTCTCATTGATATAATCACCAGTGACTGCGCTGTTGTCTTGGTACTGGATCTGAAATGCACCTTGGCCAACATCGACATAGCTCGTTGAGCGCGTTGAGTCGTATTGACCAAGCTGTTGGCAGGCTTGCTCATCTTCTTGACAAGCGTTGGATTCGACCGATGGTATCCATATGTCACTGCTACCCGTATCGAGTTGTACGCTGAAAGGTTGGCCCGGTGTGCCGACGGTCATGTTAATGAGGTACCTGTATACACTGTCAGCTAGTACTTTGACTCTGTGAAGTAGGCAGCACTTACGCGATCTCCGCATTGTCGATGTTCGCTGTTACTGTCTTTTGACGCTTGCGTAGGCGTTTGGGAAGTGGCGAATTGCGAGTGACTTCTTTCTTGAAGTCGAAGCCCAGGACCTTTGGAGATCTCTTGTGCGAAGTGAAAAGCGACGCGGTGACATCAGTGACCAAAGACAGGAGAATTGTCAAGACTGAGAGTGCCAGAAGGACTTTAGGTGACGGGGAAGGCATGACGGTGCTGCGAGGCTGCAGGGACTCCCGCAAATGCCTCAATTTAGGTGGATGGAATGAAGTCAAGGAATGGTGGTAGGCAGAAGAGAGCAGTCTAGGATTTCAGTAGGAAAAGAAGAGAGTTGGGCAGGTGGTGAATACATATACATATACGGAGTATTAAGACAAAAGGTGGAAGGAAGTGTTGAGATAGGATTTTTTGACACGCTGGGCTATGCTTGCCCCCCAGTCGATGTGATTCGCCGCTGGTGCCGCCGATGTGACTGAAGGCGAAGGCCAAGCTGATCCAATAAATGACTTCACCCGCCCTCCTTCCGTCCCTAGCTTCCCGGCTTAGACCGTCCGGAAGTGGGCTAACTAAGGCACTAAGTCCACAATCTGGCTACCTTATTTCCAGCCCCCATCTCGCCAAAATGATGTGTTTACGCAGCAAAACAGAATTTCCGAGACGTTCTTGAAACATGTTTCAGCCGAGAGCTTCCCGCGTTAACATTATTTCGTCTGAGAGTAATCGCATGAAGGCGTTGGACAGGTTGGCATTGTAGCTGTTGAGCTTCTGATGAAATTGTTGGAATGCGACGGATAGCCAATCTACTCTCTCGCTCGTCAGGATGTTTCACACGCTCGAATCGCTGTTCACAGCCATCCAAGAAATATGCCCAGTAACATGATCTTTACACGGGTTGTGAAACAACTGCTCAGTCGCCGTTTCCTTTGCATTGAGACCTCTGTCCTAAGATGTCACAGCCGCCGGGCAGCCTCTTCAACTACAGCTCCTTGTGCCCCCAATCCAACGAACGTCCACAGCCATGGGTTCTTCATTCCTGCTGGAAGTGTTATAAATAAGGACTTCGAGCTTGCTTAGTAGCCTCTACTACATGAGTCCACTGAGGTAGCCTTCCCAGCGGTACTTGGATGGCCTGCTTTCACATGGTCACGTGATGCCAAGGTCCCGGAAACCATGTTAGGCTGGGCCCGTAACAGCCAGGTCTTCTATTACTCAATCATTTCCTCTAAAATGTCGCTGCACAGCATTGCCTCATTTGGACCACAGTGTCAGTCCGTACCCAGGGCGCTCTCGTTCTTGGCTTCGCTCTTGTTTTCCTCATTGGCCTCGCTCTTGCCTTCCTCATTGGCTTCGCTTTTGCCTCCCTCATTGCCCTCGTCAGTCTTGGAGGGGTGGCTCTTTTTTCCTTGATGCTCTTCCACTCCACAATCCCAGCGCCCAGAATCATGCAGGCGCTAAGGGCAGCGGTTAGGATGAAGACTCTAGTCAAAGCGTAGCTGTATGCGTTTATGACGGTGTTGAGGTCGCCCAGCGGCACCATGCTACGGTAAGCCGTCGCGCCAGCGTTAACGATAGCCTCAGTGTTGAGGCCCGCTATGCTAGAAATGCTATCAACGAGCTGGCTGGAGAAGATGTTTTGACCAACGGAGAGGAAGACGGAGCCGCCGAGCTGCTGCATGAAGAACATTAGGGCCATGCCGAGAGGGACGTCGGCACGCGGCAGGACGGTTTGAGGCGCCAGGTTGGAGGTCTGGAAGCCGCAGCCGATGCCGCAGCCGTAGATGACTTGGTAGCCAATCCAGTGGCTGCTGCCTGCGCTCGGTGTAAGGGTCGAAAGCATGCCGCCGCCGACGGCGCAGAAGACAAGGAGAAAGCAGCATGGCGGGAACGTAGTATCCGACGCTCTCAGTGGAGATGGCGCCCACGATGCCCATGACGACCAGAGACAAGACCAGAGGGATGGTGCGGATTCCTGCTTCCATGGCCGACTGGCCTTGGGCCGCCTGGAACCAAATGGTTAGGTAGTAGACGACGACCATCATTCCACCGGAGAGGAGGAACATGAAAAGCATACTGCCACCGACGGAACGGTTCAGGATGACTCGGGTCGGAGCCATGGCGGTCTCTGGTGTCAGGACCTCGACGGCCAGGAAAGCGACGAGCAAGACGGCAAAGGTGACGAGAAGGCCGATGATTCGGGGTGCCGACCAGGGATAGGTGGTATTGCCCCACTGGAGAGCCAAGATGAGGCACACCATGGATGGAATGAGGAATAAAAGTCCAAAGGGGTCGAGACGCTTGAGCTGGTCCAGGACGGTGAGCTTCTCGCGCGGTGGAGGTTTGAGGTGGAGAAACAGGAGTATGGCGACGAAGGTGAAGCCACCGATGGGCAGGTTGATGTAGAAACACCATCTCCACGTCAGGCTCCTAAGAGAAAAGTCAGTACAAGATGCTTTCCCGGCGCAGGGCGTCGACTTACCGGTTGTCGGTAAATGTGCCGCCGATCAGAGGGCCGAGCACCGACGAGACACCAAAAGCCATACCGAAAAAGGAGGTGAATATAGGCCGCCTGCGAAGGGGAACGAGCGGAACGATGATCATTATGCCGCCGCAAAAGATGCCAGCAGCGCCGATGCCAGCGATGGCGCGTCCGACGATGAAAGCTGCGGAGCTAGGGGCGGCGCCGCAGAGAGCGGAGCCGACCTCGAAGACGAGGATGGAGACGAGGAACACCCATTTGGTCGAATAGAGCTGGTAGATGCGGCCAAAAAGCGGATTGAAAATGGCGGCAGTCAACATGTAGGCGCTGCCATACCAGCCGATATCCTCGATCGAATGGAACTCGTTGGTGATGCCGGGGATGGCGGTAGCGATGATCATTCGATCCTGTTGGGGCCGTGAGTGTGAGCCCAGCGCTGCAGAATTCAATCCCAACGAAACTCACCAACGCGACGAGAAAAATCGACGCGTACATGCCGATGATGATCATCCAGAACCTGGGGGATCTTGGCTGGAAGTTCTTTTCCGCATCTCCATACTCGTCGTCTTCATCGAAGGGCCGAGGCGCCTTTGGCGCACGTTGCGCGGATTGCAGGGAATCTGCAGAAGACATAATCAATCACACAGCGGGAACAATGAAGAAGTTGCTGCCCAAAATCTGTCTGGCCATGGAACGCTGGACCAGCGGCGAGCTTTGCTCTTATAGCCATCGCTCTCGATCCGGGACCGATTTCTTTTTTCAAAACATTAGGAGTTTAGATATACCGAACAAGCCTGTGAATCGCATGACGGGCATGTAGTAACAACCCGAGCAAGGAGGGTTTTGATTTTAGCTGTCGGGGCAGTAGAAAAGCCCGACGGGGCGGATCAAGCTTGGTCTTGGCATCGGCCCGCAGATTTAAAATGGGTCAGTGACTGACTGGGTCTCTTCATCTCTGCGCTGGTGTCCCTGGCAACTTGACAGGCCTTTCAACGTTCAAAACTTCCGACTTATACTGATTAAAGTATTACTCTCATCATTTGCCGCAGCAGCCGGCGTCGACAATGATGTCAACGCCAGAGCGAAGCAACCCGGCCACGTCTCTCGCGGCCACGGATCGTCCCTTCTCACAAGCTGCGAAGCCGCAGCGGGTGCTTGCTTGCGTGTTGTGTCAACAGCGAAAGGTGAAATGTGACCGCAAATTCCCCTGTGCCAACTGTATCAGGTCCCACGCGCAGTGCGTACCCGCCGCGACGCTAGTCCTCCGCCAGCGTCGCCGCAGGTTTCCCGAGCGAGAGCTGCTGGACCGCCTCCGCTACTACGAGAGCTTGCTCCGCCACAGTAACATCAAATTTGAGCCGCTCCATAAGGAATACTCGACCACAGAGAAGAAATCGCTCAACACAGACATCGAGGGTCGCGGCTATGACTCCCAAGACGATGAGCAGCTAGTAGCTACTGCGGGCGCAGATCAGTCGTCGTCTCCTTCGATGGCAGTCAAGTCCGAAACTGTATACGAGGCCAAGTACGCGCCTGCTCTCCAAGAAACAAGATGACCAATAACTTTCTTCCAGGAAATTCTGGCACGCCATGAATCAAAGGGCACAGGTACGTTCGCCTATGTGTCCAAGCCGCACTGACAATTGGAGATTAGTCTCGAAATCCCGACGATGATAGCAGCGATTCCTCGCCCGATGATGTGCGTGAGGCTATGGTCAAGGACGCCTGGAATGAACTGTATCACAATAACGACCATCTCCTGTTCGGCTCGCGTGAGACAGCCGTCGATGTCTTTACCCTGCACCCGGAACTAGTCCAGATCTTTAGGCTCTGGCAGATCTATATCGACAACGTCAATCCGCTGCTCAAAGTCACACACACTCCCACCCTGCAAGCACGCATCATAGACGCCGCCAGCAACGTGGCCAGCATCAAGCCCACCTTGGCGGCGCTCATGTTCAGTATCTATTGCGTGTCCATTCTGAGTCTCGGCGAGGACGAATGCCGTACCATGTTCGGTACGCCAAGGGAACGTCTTCTGACGAGGTATCAGTCCGGCTGTCAGCAAGCTCTACTGAATTGTGGGTTTCTACGCTCCGGCGATCGTGACTGCTTGACCGCGTTATATCTATACCTTGTGAGTCTGTCAGGCTGCCATCTTCATGCTGGCCTAATACTATCAGATCTCGGTCAGACCCGCTACAGATCCCCAGTCCCTGTCTTCCATGCTCGGTGTTGCGATCCGCATTGCGCAACGCATGGGGCTTCACAACGAGTCGGCCTATGCCAAATGCCCCGCTCTCGAGGCTGAAATGCGCCGAAGACTTTGGTGGTCTCTCATACTCTTCGACACTCGCATTTGCGAGCTGGCCGACTACAAGACCGCGATGCTAGTTCCTACCTGGGACTGCAGGACTCCTCTCAACCTCAATGATTTTGATCTCCAACCAGAGATGAAAGATCCACCAGCGGTTCAGGAGAAATCTAGCGAGGCCCTTTTCGCCGTCGTGCGCAGCGAGATGGGCGAGTTCGTCCGTCACAGCGCGTTCCATCTCGACTTTGTCAGTCCGGCTTTGAAGGCGGTTGCCAAGGACGTCCAGGGCGGCCACGTTCCAGAAGGTGGCAAGCTGGTCGCGCTGGAGAAGACGATCGAGGACAATCATCTCAAGTTCTGCAATCCTGAGAACCCACTCCATTTCATGACGATCTGGACGGCGCGCGGTTACCTCGCTAAAAACCGTCTCCTTGAACATTATTCAAGATTTCCGAGGTCGTCTGTGCAGCAGACGGACGTGCAACGCGACGCTGCCATTTCCCATGCACTGAGCATGCTTGAGTGCGATACGAATCTCATGAGTTCACCCAATACCACAGGGTACCTTTGGTTTGTTCACTTCCACTTTCCATTTCCCGCATACATTCATATTGTTCAAGACCTGAGAATGCGGCCTGTCAGCGACCACGCTGAACGGACTTGGGAAATTATGAGCGACAACTACGAGGCCCGATTCATGTTTCTGGGACAAGACGACAATCCGCTCTTCAAGATTTTTACTAAAATAATCCTCCAGGCTTGGGAAGCGCGCGAACTAGTGTTCAGACAATCGGGAAAGCCGCTAGTGCCACCACGAATTGTGTCTGACATTAAACGAAAAGTGGCGCAAACGACGGAAGATGCACATGATCCTTGTATAAAACAGCCCAACGATGTTTTCGGCATGAATACTGACTTTTCAATGTCGATGCCAGTGGACTCTGGTTGCCACAGTCTGCTTTATGGCATGGGAGATCAAGGCTATGTAGGGTCGGAGTCGAGCCCGCAACATAACATGCCCGGACAGGCTGCGCTGGATGTTGATTTGAATGACTTGAATTGGACTCCAATGGACTGGAATCCGTTGTATCGCTGCGACTGGTGACGCTGGTAACTCTTGAGGCCTATTACTGCCGTGCTACATGATTCGGCTCGCTACACTTCGCGGCTCATAGACATACGGGATATCCAACCTTAACCACAACACGGGGTCGTCCTGACCTCTCCCGAGAAAGCACCTAAGCCCTTCTTTATGCAGAAGGACTCCAGAGATCTCCCTCGGTGATATGCTCAACAGCATACTCCTCCGTCTGTGCATGTACCGAGTCTTGTAATGGGTCCAAGTATGCTCTCAGCAACCAATCTTTTCGACAAATGATCCTGTGACGGACCAAGTCGAAATACAGGCACATGACGCACGTTCACGGGCAACAAAGTCTGCATAGGCTGCATCATCCACAATCCTCGACCAACTCTCGCCGCTATAGAAGCATGGTTGGAACAACCATCGAAGAACTGACCCCAAACTTCATCCTCATCTGCATCTCTACTGCAGCATCGACGTCAACGAAGATCACTACCTCCTCCACCCCCAGCACTTACCCATAAAGCGTCAACAGCCTTGTAAGATCCCATCGCTAGACCTTCAGCCACAGATATTAGTGACCCACAATCAAGGAGGAGGAGTAGGAAAGGAAAGCAGAGAGGACCTTTTCAGTTACCGTTTTCGGGACGACTGGAAACGGGGGCCGCAGAGTAGTACGCAGGAGAAGATTGAGCGGTTTCTTAGCATTACACGAGGAGAATGTCGAGAGATAGCAGTACCGGAATTTGTTTGCAATTGCCAAATGTCCTCAAGGAGCGGTGAACTAATACCCAGTATCTCAAAGCCAATCGGCATCACGCCGCCTTCGGCTCCGCCTCGAGGCCCTCAATTATGTCTCCCAGCGTACACGGAGGCCCTCGCCGACACACTATGACACCGAGACAAGAGACCGGCATATTGACGGGATCCTTTCTGGAACGACCAGGCTAGCATCGCAGAAACTTCAATAAGTGAGACTGGTTTACATGCCACAGACTATGCAACGCGCATCCTGTCGCAACAGTGGAAAGAAGCGAAATTTGGAGGCTATGGAGTATAATTATGGACCATTCCTTCACTGGGATCTTTCGAGGACGTGTCGCGATAAAGCATCTCGCTGCACTCCTGAGGCATAATTTTATCTACCTCCTGCAGCAAATGCATGATCGTTTTGAGCCGCGGGTTGAGATGATCCGCAGCTTTTTTACTGTTCCGAACCTTCCTTTTGAGACTTTCGTTACCGATTCCAAGCTGAATTGCTTCTTCTTCAGCGCGCTGCCTGTGTTTGAGTTCTGCGGTCGCCTGTTCTTACCAGTCACTCAGCTCCCGAACCAGTCGAACATTATCTTCTCGGAGTTCGTCAATTATTGCACTAAAGCTGACCTCTGGATGTCTCCGTGGCTACATGAAGTCAGCAAAGCCCACCAGCCAAAAGGGAATATTGTGTACATTCAATGATATCGCGCATACAGACTTGCTGAATAGACAGCTACCTGGTCCTTTTTGGTCACGACGAAGCTCCAGTCGGGCGTGTCACTTCGGTGCCTCCGCCCTTAGACTACCTTCCCGAATGCCGCCTTTTCCTTTCTTCAGCTGTCTGGTATCTAGTGCTCGTCTGCATTTCTTCGCTCGACCTTGGCTCCGCTCTTGCGTTCGCTTTAAGAAACTTCGAATCGACCCATATATTAATCTCAAATGCGCCACAAACGCTCCATATGCGATTACAAAGGTGTATTCGAACGACCATATACAAGCTTGACGATTTGCCTGATCTCATAGACGCGTCCAAATCGCCCGCTCTCGGCCAGAGCTGTGTCTTTCACCCCATTGCTCGTTTCCTCAAGTGTGTAGAAGCGGGGAAGGTCGACTAGTGGCTATGCGTCACTTTTAGACGTGAAGTAGCTAAGTCTAGGCAACAAGCCCGACGAAGCTTATGTGAGGCTATCGCTGGGAAAAAGCATTCCTGCCAATGAATGTCAAAGTCCCTGCATACTGTATCTCTCGATCTCCCCTTGCCTGACCTCAGCTTTGCAGATTCGTACATAAGGACATCTACAGAATGGCTTCAGAGACCTATACAGTCTTCTACAAACCCAAAGGCGTCATTGAGTTGCTGGAATCTGGCACGGGTAGCTTTATAGGGATCGTGGACAAGACCACTGCCTTGAATTTCCCCACAACCCCCGGCGACCACGGAGCACTTGCGACTCTCGACCTTGAAGCGTAAATCCTTACAAAGATTGGACCTCACAAGCATATTATTCGTTCCAAAGGCCAGAGAGATGACGGAATTCTACTTGAACGTGCACTGCACGGATCCATAGCCCAATTTCTCGAAAATCCCACAGCGACAGGGAAACAGAAACTCGCGTGGGCATGTCAAGCCACGAAAGCTGTCAGCGCAACACACGAGGCCAGTGTCTACCACTGCGATATAAGTGTCAATAATCTCCACCTAGACGAGAGTTTGACCATCAAGCTTTGCGACTTCCAAGGACAGCTTCTCCGTCTGGACGGCACTGTCGACAGAGATGGCCTTTCTAGGGAAAACACCAAATCCTGTATGCCTCGAACCGACGACGACTACTCGTATCGAAAGACCGATATTTTCGCTCTCGGCTTTGCACTGTACTACATATTGCAGGGTCACGAACCCTTCCCGGACCTGGATCCTGGCGATGATGAGGAGGAAATCAAAAGAAGATTCATGTCGGGCCAATTCCCTGAGCTGCCGTCCCACTTGATGAACCTCGTGACCCACAAGTGCTGAGCAGGGGAGTATTGACTCGGCCGAAGCGGTTTCGCAAGATTTGGAATCCGAAGCTGTGCCTCAGCTGGCTGGGGCTGGGGCCTTGGGGAATGAAGCGATATTTTTCGGGAGACTTCTGAGACCCTGTGTATGCGGAAGAGAAACCCCAAACCATACAGCCGACAGGAAAATTCTACTGAAGGCTATCTTTCACCACCCTGATTTTACCTCGTTCCTCTCAGGGCAAGCAAATTCCGACAGAACCTAGTATATGTTGAAGGTAATTTGCTACCAGTTGCACTTTAACGTCTACCCTACGAGCCTTGGAGTATTGTTATTGAGTTCTACCAGACTAGAAGAAAATGGAGTGGCAGTAGGTAGGTGGATGCTGTTCATTGAGCCGTCACACTACTTCAATAAAAGCGGCTGCGCCAATCCCACCTTTCCAAGCTTGTGCTTGATATATTCCACGATCTTTCGAAAAGTAGCGCGCCCGCCCTGACAATCATTACTCTCGAGGTGTTGCATCAAGCCGCTCAGGGTCGAAATTTGCCATACCGGCTGTGACAGGTTCATCTCGGGGGGCATATGGAAAGACTCTTCAAGCGGCGAGGCCATCAGATCATGTATCTCGACCAGATCGTAGTGTGCGAGTCTACCGCTCGGAACGCTGCTTGGACCTTGAGTTATAACTTGTCGTTATCATTGCGAACCGTGGGAACACGGAGGTTAGATGCTGCAAGCTGCCCTCGACCAGGCCGACCTGCCTTGCTCGGAGGTTGATAGCAGTCAATGGGGTTCAGATCTGCAGGCCTTGCAAAATGTAGGTGCAAAGGGAGTAGATAGTAACAAATTGGCTATTTTTGTTGTGAAGGAGTCTGAGAAAAGCCAACGCGAACCAAGACGGCGAAAGCCGGTTTAATTCTACCCAAAAGGCTGGTTGGCCATCAGCTGCAATCTCTCCAGCACGCATAGCTCACCCCCTTGCCTCCAGACTCTTAACAGTACCGGTCCGTGCAGCCTCTAGCCGCTGGAGCCTTGTATTTGGGCGCGGCACCCATACAATTTCATCGCCACTGCGCCCCTCGCAGATGTGGACGTCCCGTCGAAAGGCCTCAGCTGCAGCGACCCAGATCTTCGAACCAAGATCGGCATCAGGCATCGACAATACTGCATCCTGCATGATGCTCAGCAAAGAACGAGATCCACGTCTCGAGGCCAGAGTCGTGTACTTCTCGATAGCAATTCTTCAAATTTGCTCCTCAACCAAATCCCTAATTCCCGTCTTGATTTCATGCCTCGAGAAAGGTGGAAGGAGCAGCCAGCTCGAGGAGCTCGGAGATGTATGGAGATGAAAACTGTGAAGGGCGAGAATTCTAGGATACGCGTGGAAGTAGGCGTGATCCTTTACAGTAACTTCAGCAATGGGGCTGAGGGGGACCCGGAGGAGCGTTCGTACAGCCATTGGCTGTCCCGAGGTGCTAGAAGGGCAAGGAGGAGCCGGCCTTCAAGCGAGCGAGGCCGATAAGGGGGCGATGGACTGATTGGAAGGGAATGTTGAAGGAAACTTGCAAGAGGAGAGGGGGGGTCAACGGGATCTATGCAATCACCATGGCGAGGGCCTGGCAGCACCTGTAATCGAATACAGGTCGGCACACAGAGTCATGGACAGCGCTAGTAGCCTGACCCTAAGGTACCTACTCTCGGAAGTAGATCTAAGTACCTTAGGTACCCTTCGGCTCGGTTGGGGCGTTATCCGAGATCTTGGCGCAGCAGTCTTGGCGTTTTGTGTGCCGAACTCCGTGAATAGAGGTAAGAGGCTGAAAAACCTATCAAACAATCTAGTGGAATTTCTATGTAATCACTTCAAGACTTACCGTACATAGTACGATAGCTGTGTCAATTAACATCATTGCTTTGATGTCTATGCTACAAAAGTGTGTGGAGGACGTGACAGGACCCAATGCCAAGACTTTTCAAGGATTCTGAATACGCTAGTACAAAGCGATTTGTCAGGCGAGTCATAGAATATCTAACGGCCGCACGCAAACAGAAAAAAAAAACTTTGTATGACGACCTAACTTCAGAAGCTTTCCGACTCGGAACATATAGTCATGGCCTTCCCACGACGATCCACCATACGACATCCTGGCCGGCCTACCCTCCTCGAGCGTACACACCTCTCTCCTCTGGTAGAACGACCTGCGGCTCATACTTGTCTTCCAATGCTGAGCTGTGAAGAGAGCTCGGGGCTAAAGACATGTCTAGATTCGAGCAGGGAGGTGGTGGGCCAATGACAGATGCAGATCAAATACACAACAATTCGGGTATCGAGCAGGAGAAAATTATCAATGAGCCTACCTTGAGAACAAGCGCGGATCAGCCTTCAGAGGATATCAATGAAGGGAAAAAGATCAAGCGTGAAGGACCATACATACAGCCTGCAGAGCCTACGCGAGGCCTGTCACAAAGCCAGAGTGCAGAGATCGCAATACCAGGAGATGAAGAAGCCCTGGATTCAGATCGAGCACCCATTGAGCGTCTGGGGAGGGAACGACCTGCTAAATTCAAGTCTTCTGGAGCTGAGCTTGCCTTCTGCTACTCTGTTATAGCCTCGCAGTTCATGTCGGTGCGTTTCGTAGCAGCCACGCTCTTCAAGGGTGAGTTCTAACATAGACTAGGAATACTTCGTCTCTGGTTTCAACGTAATCCTACCAACCTTGATCAAGGACCTCTCCATACCGCAAGCTTCTGCCGTCTGGCCTGCGAGTGCCTTTGCCCTGGTCTCTGCCGCCTTCTTCCTCCCCTTCGGCCGTCTGGCAGACATGTATGGTGGATACCCGGTCTATCTCTTTGGCTTGGTCTGGTTTACAATCTGGACTATCATAGCGGGTTTCGCTCAAACCGATTTGATGCTGGATTTTTGTCGAGCGCTTCAAGGATTAGGCCCTGCTGCTTTTCTTCCGTCGGGTGTGATGTTGATCGGAAGCACGTACAGACCTGGACCCCGAAAGAATCTGTACGTATCTTTGGAAACCGCATTGCCTCTTCTGAACCAAATCTTGAGTGTCGAGACATGTCCTGGGAGTGTTGACTCTCTAGACGTGTTCCAAACCTCCCTATACCCTCTCAAACAAGCAAGACTGACCTTGAAATCATAATCCAGGGTCTTCAGCATTTACGGCGGCGCGGCGCCACTGGGATTCTTTGCCGGTGTTTTTATCGCTGGCGTGACTGGCAGTTTTCTTCAATTTGGATGGTACTTCTGGATAGGAGCCATGTTAGTCTCCACTACGATTGTGGCAGCGATATTTGCGATACCAAACGACATTGAAGAGCGGAAGGCTATGGGCGTTCAAATGGACTGGCTTGGCTCCATCTTCATTGTGTCAGGCCTGATCCTGGTAATCTTTGCCATCACTGACGCTTCCCATGCGCCAGATGGGTGGAGGACGCAATACATCTATGTCACCCTTACTGTGGGTGCCTTGCTCATTGGCATCTCCTTCTACATTGAAGGATGGGTGGCCGCAAATCCGCTGCTACCTTTCGATCTTTTTCAAGTACCATATCTCTCAGCCTTATTCGTGGCTTTGTTCTTTTCGGACGGTGTGCTGGGGATCTTCCTTCTTTATGCTACGCTCTATATGCAAGACATCATGGGAGCTTCTCCCTTACAGGTGGCAGCATGGTATGTTCCGATGTGTGCTGGAGGTTGTATGATCTCCATTGTTGGAGGTTATATCTTGCATCTACTCCCTGGCACCGTGCTGATGCTGATTGGTGGAGGGGCATGGGTTGGAAACTCTCTCCTTTTCGCCCTGGCACCGGAAGGCGCCAATTACTGGGCGTTCATTTTTCCTGCTATGATCTGTGCTACTATGGGAATCGACATCATCTACAACGTCGCTAACATATTCATCACGACCAGTCTTTCACAGAGCCGTCAAGGGCTTGCAGGAGCACTGATCAATAGCCTTCTGTACCTGGGCATTGCGTTTCTCCTCGCTTTTGCGGATGTGATTCAGACTGGGACAAGGGATGTGGGACTGAAGCGGAGCTACCAATCGGTCTTCTGGTACCAGTTTGCCTGCTCAGTTCTGGCTCTGGTCATCATGATCGGATTCGTTCGAATTAGAAAGGCGGAGAGCGAGATGACTACAGATGAGAGGGCTGCCCTCGAGGTCCACAGATCTAGGTCTAGATAGCCCAAATATTATACATAGCGTAATTCAATGATCACAAGGAATCCGAAAAGCAAAGCCAATTGATGTTGGACATCAATAATATTTTAGAAGATAGAGAGCAGAAGACATTGAAATAGAGCGACGTCGATCACTTCAAACACTTGCATGTCCGTCTCTTTTCGCCTCAGTCAGGAATTGCGAAATTTCCGCTCTGGCATCCCCTCGGCCAAAATGGCATCCAGTACTGCTCATCTCATGCCAATGGCGAATGGACTGCCACCCGGAATGTCGTCCGACTCCCAAGGTTTCCAGGGGAGGGCGAGCCGCCTGCTTCCAGGCACTGGATCCAAGCGAGCCTACTGCTACCTACCCTTTGCCCTCAAGCTCAAGCCTCACTCCTATGGGATCCCTGTTAGTCACCTTGAGACGCTCTCTAGACTTTTTAATTCAATATGAACTCCACACCCCCCTCGCAACCTCTGCGCCGCTTCTGTCGCCGCTCCACATCTGAGTGCGCAGCCCGCGAGAAATGACATCACGCCTTTGACCGCTGTGTACGGCCTACAACTTTTCATTCAGTTGGTGCAATGCGCTTCATGTAGTCGGTTAGTCAAGCCATAGTGTCAACATGCCACTCTCACAGTGGATCTACGGCAATCACGAGAACGGCTCATGGGCAGGCCCTCATAATGTTCCTCCTTCCCAAAGCCCCAAATCTCGACCTCCGCGAAGTCTACGAGACAAGGTACCTTTTCATGGCACCCTTCCAAAGTACTCTGGCCCATATGGCGTGCGTATACATGGCCTTTCTCTTGACGGCTAGAGCTTACTGGCATGCTAGGTCGGATTCATGGACATCGAGATTCCTGCAACCTCACCTCGCCCTTTCTCCCATATTACACGCCACGGTCGGCATATACTGCAGCTTGAGACAGTCCTCGTCTCCCTCTACTACCCCTCGGCCATAGGGTCCGGCAATGGCAAAGACCCTGGAGGCCACAAGCACTGGTCAAGAGAAGTTTGGCTACCTCATCCAAGGTCAGAAATGTCAAAAGGGTACGCTGCTTTTGCTGGATTACCGCAATGGTTGACAATAATGTGGTTTTTCGTGACTACATGGTTCACGAAGTTACCGGCGTTCAGAAATGCAAAGCTTGCGAACCACTGGCCGCCAGAGAAGAATGCCACTGAGGGCGGTTTCAAAGTCAAGAACGAGAAGGGCGAGCACCCCAAAGGCCAGCCAGAGGAGCCGATATTTCCACTGGTCTTGTTCAGTCACGGTATGGGTGGCTCAAGGACGGCATACAGTAGCGTTTGTGGAGAATTTGCTAGCTATGGATTCGTCGTCTGCGCGGTGGAGCACAGAGATGGTAGTGGAGCACGAACGTTTATCAATCATCCATCAGAAGGGAAAGGCAGTCGGAAAGAAAGGGAGACCAATGGTCATGTTGATCACTGGGAGAAAGAGACGAAGCGCCACTGGGACGTTGTCGATTTCATATTTCCAAAACAAAATCCAATGGATACTAGGCCAAGCAATGAACAGGGCGTAGACAAGGAACTTCGGTCTGCCCAAATTGAGATGCGTCTCGTTGAGATCGAAGAGTCATACGACATTGTCAAGGCTATTGTTGCGGGCAAAGGGTCCACGGTTGCCGAGCGAAATCTACGAAACGCTGATGGAATTGGGGCATCGTCTCGTGGGCTCGACGGTGTAGACTGGGACTCTTGGAAGGGGAAGGTTAACATCGCCCAGGTCACCATGATTGGCCATTCTTTTGGAGCTGCCACGACTGTCGAGGTCCTCCGCCATGCTGATCGCTTTCAATGGGTTGGTCAAGGGATCATGTATGACATATGGGGTATTGCTCTTACTCCGCCAGAGTCAGAGCCGAGACATCGCATCAACGCCCCGCTTCTTGGAATAAACTCAGAAGCATTCATGTACTGGAGCGACAATTTCAGCGCTGCTACTCGTGTCTGTGATGAGGCCAAGATGCATGGGTCTTTAGCCTGGCTTTTGACCGTCCGTGGTACTGTCCACATCTCCCAGACGGATTTCGCTATTCTCTACCCACATATCGCGTCAATGGTTTTGAAACAGACGATCAACCCTCGTCGAGCTATCGATGTAAACATCAATGCTTCCCTTGAATTCTTAGACCATGTCATGCCTACCCCTGTCGCACCATTTCATCGTTGTCTCGAAAACGAGAAGCTGCTTGAATTACCCTGCGTCGACGAGCTACCTACCGAACACAGGCCTGATGAGAAATGGATGGCGGTCCGCTTAAAATTACCTCATGAGGTTCGGGCTCGAGTTTCCCCCAAATTACGGCGAAGATTGAAGAGATATGGAGGGTTAGATGGAGAAAAGGAGGTCTGGATGCATATGGCACCGGGTATAGAGGATCTACAGTGCAAGGCAGGCAGAGGCTGTGCACCCAAGCAGAAAGGAGGAGGCGCGGATGAGGTTGGAAAGATTACAGACGTAGCTGCTACAGGGGATGAAGCGCTCAAAGGCTTTGTTGCGGCTAGTATTCTTGAAGAATGATGCCCAGTACAAATTCTGAAACATGCGTTCTCAGTCATCCACATTACTTGGCCGGCTTTTGACCACAAAATGGGCATTAAACAAGGCTACATGAGTCTGTATCTATTTAAGATTTCGGCTTGTCCTCTTATAACGTGACAACAGCACACACCTCGGAACCCTACATACGGAAAGAGCGACCTATTGCACTGGTAACAATCCAGAGTATCATCCGAGAAACACCGGCATCCTGCCCACGATCCGCCTCAAGAACGGGCTGCATACCCATCAAGAATGGCTCCGTGCGAGTGTGGGAAACGGTTCGACGACCTCACGGAATGGAAAGCGCACTCTACAAGGACAGGCCATTGCTGTGTATATGAATGAAGGAAGCAGACTTCTGCGGCTTCCATCCGTGGCTTTGCCTTTGAGATAGCAACATCATCAATCTTTGTGACGAATCATACACCGGCTTGGTACGTTCCAACAACATTCGAAGAAACGAATCCGAACGTGGGTTGTTAATCTCTGCCTTATGACGGTTGGAAGTATTTGGTATCCTGGAAATTGGATCCTATCGAGACTTGCTACCCGTTGTTTGGCATTTGGCAGGGTCTAAATACTTTCACAACTCCTCCTCCTGAAGGTTTTCCTCCGCTGTCTAACGATGTTTGGAAAGTCCCGGTCCCCTCTGGAGGGCAGCCAAACTTGACTCACCAGTCTCCTGACGGGCTAGCCTCCGTACCCTTCACAAAGTCTCCAACTGCGGTACATTACCATTCATTCAACCCACGGCCCCCTTCGATACTCACGGCAGTACCTCATCCTGTGCTGGCTTCTTCCACCAAGTCTGCTACTACCCCTGCTCCGATGCCACGCCAAATGCCTCCTGCAGGAGATGCTAATCCCAGATCTACAACATCGTCTGTTCTAGAAACCTCCAAGACACCTACTGCGGCGATTCCTCCCGCTCCGACTGCGACTATATAAAAATAGGCTTCTCGAGGGCCGGCTTCAATTCCAGGTCAATGAAGTCAACACTGGCTCTCAAAAGATTGATAACAACGGTGCTTGGGAATATGTCTTCCAGAATTTCAATTCTGGAACGATCATTTTAGCCTCTTCTTCGACTTTGAGATATAGCTAAGTGCGCCGCTAATATGGCTAGTTCCATAATGCAAATATTCGTTATGATCTAGTTCCTCGCCTTGCTAAGCAACTTTTGCATAATTCAGTCAAGGTTCGGAAGGCGTCTCTAACTCCCACACACCTTGGGTCAAACATCTCAATCTGATCCGCCTCTTCTTTCACGGGGGCGACCTACTCTTAACCGATACTCTGGTTCTATACCGGCCGCGTGAGACTCTCAGAATTCTAATGTGGTTCCGTCGTGTTCATATCCCGGGAAAGCACCTGGTACCTGGAAGCTTGCCGTAGGCCCACATGTTCGTTATTAGCTTCTCGACATCATGGGTGCATATTCGAAATTAGGAAAGAATATCTTTGGATGCAGCATACAGATCGCGGATATCTATACAAAAGTCTACTGGCTTTCTTCAAAACCCTGACCCAGGCGACAACGGCCTCATGTGCTACGAATGGGACTACGAAACTCCCACTGAAGAAGCTCCCATCGTCAGCTCCTCCAGTCTATTTGTCTTACAAGCTCGCAAAGAAGAAAAAGGCGAAGGAGCGGTTATATTGAAGTCATGACACCTGAAGACGCATTTACACGTCACAAAGTCACCACTCAAAGCAAGCTCGACGAAATGGGAGCTAATAGATGTAGGAAGTTGAAAGAAGGACTACCGACTAAGAGAGCTACGGCCAAAAAGGTCCATAAAGAAGAACGAGAAGCTGCGAGACTCTGATGTCACCATGGCCGACGGTCAGGCGGACGAAGGCTACCAGAAGAACCGTGAGCACAAGAGGTTTGGTAAGTCACAATTTTGTTGGGCGCGGGGGTAATGGTCTGCGCCAACTGACACCCTCCATAGATCGTACCATCGTCGCCGAAGGTCAGGATGTACAGACTGCCAGCATTTCAAGCGATGTCGAAACAAATCACATTACGGCCAAGTCCCTGTCAGACGGCAGACCTTACGCCTGCTCACTATGCAAACGAGCCTTTCGGATGGAAGAAAGCCCTCGACAACACTACGGAGCCTCGCATCCCGGCTGTTTCTACCAGGTATTCGCACGGACATGTGACACTTGCAAAAAGTCGTTTTCGAGGAAGAATGCCCTTGAAGAGCATCAACGTGTTGAAAATCATTGTTATTGTCACGAATGTACGATGATCTTCGAGTTTGAATCCACAGCGGTCGAGCACTTTGAGGCTTTGCACGCCTCCCAATTTCGGTGCAGTGACTGCGAGCAAGACTTCGTCAGCGAGCATGCTCTGAATCAACATCTTAACGACAAGGTCCACCGAAGGATACCTTGCCAAATATGCGAGCAGGACTTTGGAAGCAAGCCAGCGTTGGACCGACATATCGTGGTAGAGCACCATGCTTCCGACAATCCAGAGAGGGTTTTTTACTCCAGAGATGCCCACGGTTGCTACATTTGCCAACGAACATTCGTCAAAAAGAACGACTTGGATTAGCATTTGACCTCTTTGAAACATCATCCTCTTAGTGATCTCGGGTGCGTTGCCAGTGACAAGTGCAAACGCCGTTTCGTTTCGCCCTCCGCTCTGCTGCATCACCTGGAAAGTGGTACCTGCTGTTCCGGAATTGACCGGCACACTGTCAACAATCTTGTCCAGGACAACGATATCGAGCGTATTATTACCAGTAGCCGTACCGGTCAGGACCTTCATTACAACTGCAGCGGGTCCGAATTGTCTTCATCGACCGGTACACCAGTCTTGACCCCCACATCAAGCGTAGCAAGCAGCCCTGTTATGGCTGCGATGGCAGACAGCACAGGCGAGGAACCAGTGTCTTTCCTCTCACTCGAAGCTTCCCTTTCGACCAGTGGAATTCTCCGACCTAGACCTCCTCAGATGTCTTCTACCCTGGAACCTTCGCCATTCCGACAACAACCAAAAGTCCTTAGCGACTCCGCGTTGCCGGTTCGTTCTCTGTTCCACGAGTACAAAACTCCGCTGTTCCACTGCCCCAGCGCCCTCGCGAGATCAACGCAGCATGGGGCATCACCCAGGAATTTCACCACCTCGAGTGGGCTGGCGCAGCACGTTGAGAGTGGAGCTTGCGGTGAAGGATCGGCTACTCTGAAGAAGGCGATGGAATTTGTACAAGAGCATTTGGATAAGATGGGCCTTGGGACCATTCGCCTGCTGGAATGAAGGTCTGCGCTGGGTGAGGGGAATTGCGAGTCAAGTGATCTCGAGGCTTGGTTCCGTGCGCCTGAAGTTTGGAAGGGCTTTCTTTTTCATTAAGTAGAGGATCGATGACATGACCCTCGAGCTGCACATGAAATCGCAATCGCACACGAATCACGAAGAAGACTCGTGTTCGCATCGATATCCAACATCGGCTTCCCCCGCACTGCTCCAGGCACGTTTCCACGCACAGTATCCCCGCGACCGACCCAGCCGGCTGGAAAAAGGATACGACTTCCGAACCTTCACCCCCGTCACTTCCCCACCCCCTTCCTTCACGGCCTGTTCGATCACACTATCCGTATCCTACAGAAACACCCCAATCGCCCCATGCATCCCCCGCCGTGTCATACCCCCGTCGGATTCACGAACCCCACCCCCTTTTCCCCCTCCCCCACCACCAACAACACTACTCAAACACCCGTCCCGCACGTTCAACCCCGCGTCCCCGATCGACGCGTAATCGCACAGGTCGGCCATCATCGCGACGGCCAGCGTGCAGGCTCCGGTAGGTGTCCTCGCGCGGCGTCGGCTGCGCGTGGGGCGGGGCGGGGCGGAGAGCAAGGAGAAGGTGAAGATGGTGCTTGCGTGGCTGTGGGAGCGGTGTTAGGATGGGTTGGGGTGGGGAGATGGGATGAACGACACACACACGCGCGCGTACCGGTATATTTCGTAGTCTTTCGAAGGGCGCGATGGCGGTGTCGTGCCAGTCGTGGGCGAGGCAGGCCGGGGCGGGGCTGTCGATGCGGCGCGGGTTGCCCGGATGAGGGGTCCGGTGGCGTTGGGGGGGTGGGATTGCAGGCGGGGCGGCGAGGGGCGGGGAGGGTGATGGTGGGGATGGTGGAGGAGAGGGGGAGTGGCGTTCGGGCCGTTTTTGGGGAGTTGTTTGGGTTTGGGAGGGGTTGGGTTGATATCTCTGACCACGGCGTGCGGGGCCGACTCATCGTTTGGGGTGAGCTGGGTTCAGCTAGCTAGGGGCGTTGGGAGATGTGTGGAGTTTTGATCTTGTGCGTGCGGCAGATCGGATCTGGTCGAATGCGCAGGTTGGACGCAGACTGAACTCGTGAGCGGATGTGGAAGTGGAAGTGGAAGTGGAAGTGGAAGTGGATGCGGCGAGAAGGTATGTGGCCGCATGTTGGGGTTGCTCAGGCGCGTGGGAAAAGGCAGGATTGGTCGCGGATATGGCATCGTGTGATCATTGGCCAGGTCTTAAAGAAGTGATGGCGTCGCGGGTGGGCAGTGATGGAGATGAGGAGGGCGAGACGCAGGGGATGGAAGGTTCATGCCGGGAAAGAAATGCTTGCGGTTGGGATAGGACATGGTAAAGCAATAGCAGTGATGAGGGGATTCCGGAATGCTTATCTGCAGCGCCTAAAACAAACAGTTCGCTCTCGATTCAAGAAATCTGCACCGGCGCCGGCCCCGCTATCGTCACCGCAGTCAAGCTGTTGACATCCGCCTTTGTGTTCTGCCCCGTCAGCGCCGCGAACGCGATCCCGGCCATCCCCCCGCAATCGTACTCGTAACCACGCCCTCCCCGTCAACGGTAGCGCGCTGGTAGTCGACCACGTTCGCCTGGTTCACCCAGCCGATGTACAACCCCTTGCTCAGATCTTTCTTGCTTACAGCCGTCGTGTCGAAGACGAACTTGATCGGTCCGCCGCTCCCGGTCGTCTTGCCGGTGACCTTTGCCGTCAAGGCCGGGATGACGGGGAAAGCGGGCGTGGCGGCGCAGGAGCCTTTGACGATGAAGGGCGCCGCGAGGTTGAGGGCGTAGGCGGCGGAGATGCGGGTGTCGAAGGGGGCCGGGTTGGGCACGTCGCTGACGGAGCGCTGGCGGAAGAAGGCGTCGTGGCGGGCCTCGATCGCCAGGATGGAGGCGGGGCCTTGCACCGTCCCGGGGTCCGTGAGGGCGAGGCTCGCGACGACGTCGACGACGGCGCCGAGGCCGACGGAGGTGATGATGTTTGCCAGCGCGTAGAATTCGTCCGCGTTGCCGACGGGGAATGTGTATTTGCACGGCGTGAAAGTGGGCGCGCCGTTCGCTTTCAGTATCCCCTCGGCCGTTTGCACGTGGATGAGCTCCTGCGCCTGCACGCGCGTGACGACGTCGATGGCGTGGTCGTGTCGGTGGTCCGTGTTCCACTTGGTGAGGTTGTGCAGCCCTTCGAGGAAGAAGGCCGACTCCAGGTTCTCGAGGAAGTTGACGCCGGAGAAGTTGGCTATGGCGCCGGGGGAGATGCCGAGGGGGGAGGACCGTTGGGAGGGCCTCCACCAGCTGTGGCGGCGGTGGATGGAGCCTGGCGGGGGAGGACGAGGGCGGAGGAGGAGGCGAGAAGGAGGAAGAAGGGGATGATGGTTGAAGTCTGCATGATAGCTGATGTCTGCTTTGAGGGGATGGAAGTGGGAGGGTGGTCGAAGGATGCTAGGACAGAAGATTGATACTAATGCTGAGTTTCCGCTAATGGGTAGGTAATACACAGAGAACGAGGTGGAGGACACAAAGGACTGTAAGAAGTGTCGTGACTATTCTGAAACCTGTGCTGATGGCCGGTGCTTGATGAAACAATGACAATGTTCTATGGGGGGGGGGGGCAAGCCTCTGATATACAATTCTGCAAACATCACAGACCCCATGTTATCTCGCGAAATAGATACATCAGCGCAGTAATAAAGAGTAGCAACATAATCTCCAACATGTTACAATATGCATCGTCGTATTTAGGGTCTGGTCGTGGAGGACGAGTTGTATGTTGTAAAAGCTCGGGAGACTTGGAGGCGCAGTCCGTAATTGAGCACGCTATTTCTGGCCAAGATACCGTATTTCTGGAGAGCACTGCCCTTCCGCCGCGGACACTCTCGATTAGCTTCTGATATTTGGTAGTCATTGGTAAAGAAGGACATGTCTGTAGAGATTTGATGATGTTGGTGGTACTTTAATAAGATGAGAGATCATGGAGATGAGTGAATGAGTACGGCAACCCATTTGGAACAGCGGGCCAACCAACAAATTTTGATTTTTTGATTTTCGCAAACCCATAATTCAGGGCCCCATCATGATTTATTTATTGTTCTATCACAACGTATACAATAGATCTATAACGCTTAGAGATAATTTATTAAATAGTATATGTATTCGAGATTATATCTAGTCTAAATGTTATTTAAAGCTTAACGCTGTTTCATATCTAGAAAAAATTCTAGAATATCTCATTAGAAGATTATTTCGCGAGAGCGAGATTAAGAACGCTATAGTTGATAGTCCTTAGGATTTTAAAGCAAATGCCTTATTGTGATGTGCAAGGCCTACAATTAATGAAAAATGGAAATCCGTTGGTTGACCCCCTGGTCCAAATAGGTTGCCGTAGTGAGGGAGTGAGTGACCGCGTACATTAGTGTGAATATTTATATGTAAACAAAAGGGTATCAATACTCCGTCTCATCTATGGAGACTTGCCGTTAGTCTCCTCTAAGCGGCCACGTTCACTGTGCCATTTCGCTCTCCTGTCCCCACGCTGCTGTCCACGGAGACCTTCTCATTGCTCAAGTCAAGCACCTCTCTCTTGATTTCCCGATCTGCACCTTTCCGCTTCCCGTCTATCGATTCTCTGTTCTTCGAAGTCCCGCGCTTCGTTGTCCCAGACATGAATAGACTTCCTTTCTTCTTGAGTATCTTGCTCCCTCTTCTCTCTTCCCCACTACTCCTCGCTATGGCCACGCTTTTTCTTTCTCTGCGTTCCTCTTGTTTTGTCTCCAGAACCTTCTTTGCGTGACCCACAGTCTCGTAAGTGTCATTCTTGCCCATCTTTCTCTTCTCTTTCAACAAGGCTACCCGTCCCTTGAGACCCTCCTCCTTCTGCGCTTCATCTTCCTTTCGAATCTCAGACACAATCCGCCACGCAGCATCGATCTTGGTCAATTCTCGTTGCTTGGCCTCACCGTCGAGAGCCTGAGCATCTTTGCCTCCTTGGATCATACGAGCCTTACGAATGAACGCAGTCGGCTGCCGACCCTTGATGAGCTCCTTATGTACCCCCTTGAGCGTGTATCCGAAAGGTCCGATAATGGCAGCCAAGTCTTTGAGCACGAAACCACCGATACCTTTGCCTACACCTTGGACGAAGCCAAGCGCACCGTTTTTGCGAGCCCCATGATATGGCTGTAAGACCAGACCAGTGACACCGTCATAGACACCAAAAGTGAATTCAGAGCCGGCAGCGCGGAGGCCGGAGTGGAAACCTGATATACGTGGGGGAGTGCGGACGGTGGTATCGCCATAGAGACGTGGAGCATTGTGAAAACCTTGCGCGATAGCGAGTGAGAGATCCATCGGGGCTTTCGCTAGTGCCTCACCAGTTTTGGCAAATCCGTGTCCGGTGTCTTCTGCAAGAGCTTGGACCAAGTCTTGACCCGGATGCTCGTCGGATCCTTCCGATCCAATGTCAGAGGTCACATAGTCGTCAGAGACGGGAGCGTTGTTCATTGTTGCCTTGGCCAGCTCGCCATCTTGCTGTTTACCATGCTTCTCAACGTCGTCATGCACTCGGTCCAGAAGAGTATGTGGCTCCGGAAGATGGCTCTCGGCAACCAGTTTTCCTCCATGGGGCAGGTCACCATCAGTTCCGCCTTCCTCATCTTCCGGCCCCTTCTTCTTGTCGGCATGCCCGTTTGATTGTGAATAAGACTTCATCCCACCATCCCTTCGCTGAGCTTGAGACCCCCTCCGCTCTTTTTGTCTCTGCTCCCTCTTTTCCTTTTTCCGTATGCTTTTTGCCCACCTGACAGGCATCCCACCCAGGCCTTTAGCAATGCCGCCGGCCGAATTTGCAAGAGCTGCACCGGCTCCGGTGAGGGGTTCACCAGGCCCTTCAAAGTCATTCCATTCGTAGTGTCGGCACAGCCTGAGGTCCTTCCATTGAATTTTCTTTTTCTCAATCAGGACTTGTGCTGCAAGGGCCGACAGCCTCAAATTTGAGCTCTTCAGTGTCCAGACCGCGACACGGTCAGGGAGAATAGAGCAACGCATTGAGTGATCGCCTCGCATAGGAAGGTGACGGTGGAACGATTCGACAGCGTTCTTGGCACCGTCTCCCTCCGCCGCAATCGACTTCGCAATCTTCTCTGCAGCCTTTTTTGCTTCTGGTGTTAGACACTGCTGAATTCCTTCCGCAAGTGCATCGGCCGAAAGCTTCTTATAGGGTGTGGCCTGGTGAGCACCCGCACCCGCTTTTGCAACCATCGCACCCCAGAATGGTTGATCCCCGAAAAACGGTACGATCATGGTAGGCTTGCCACACTTTAGGCCAACGGCTGTTGTCCCAGCTCCTCCATGATGTACCACTGCGCTGACACGAGGGAAGAGCCAGTCATGCGGTGTGTTCTCGAGCATATAAATATTGTCTGGTGTGTGGCCCTCGTCACCGAGACCACCCCATCCTTTGCTCACAAGCGCACGGACACCGGCTTTTTCGACTGCCTCGAATATAAGTGAAGTAAATTTGTCGGGATCATCCACGACGATGCTGCCAAAGCCGATGTAGACAGGAGGTTCGCCGGTATCCAAGAATTTGGCCAGTGTTTCCGGCGGCTTGAAGGACGATGCAAGATCGAGGAAGACGAAGCCAGCAATGTCAATTTCTGGGCCCCAATCCGTTGGCTTTGGGATCAGCCCGGGTGACCACATGTACGTGTAGGGTACTTCCAGTCGGAACAGCTGTCCGGGCGCCCATAGAGTCGAGACTGGCTCGAGCCCGAGGGTCTTCACTCGAAAGCGATTGACTAGATCTCCTAGTCCTTGCCACGTCCTATCATTCTGTCAGCAATCGCTTTCTACCAGTTCATACACACAACTTGACGTACATCATCTCGACCAGCGGATATGACATGAAATTGGTATAATTGGTATCAACATTACTCTTCTTGATATTCGCTAAAGGATGCGGGAATTGTTGAGTAGGACTGTACGGAAATGTGAACATTAGATGGAGAGGAACTCCAAGCCGTTCTGCGCAATGAACATGTGCGAAGGATGGTGGATTGGCGATGATGGCATCGGCAACGAACGGATGCTTGCCACCCATCATTTTGAGATTGGCTGGAAGGGTCTCATCATCTGTCGCGTTGATACATGCTCTCCAAAATCCTTGGAACATCTCAAACATTGCGTCTCGCCTTCGGCCAACCTCGCCTGCCCTTACCGTAGATACGGAGGGCATCAAGCCAGGGTTCTTGACCATAAACGCCATGAGCTCTGCTGGATCGCCTCCAACAGAAAAGAATTCCAAGTCCGAATCTTGTTCGACGAACTTCTTGAAGGCTGGATGAGTGGCTATTCGCACACGATGTCCATGATCTTCTTTCAACAGCTTCCCAAGCTTCAGAAATGGTTGTATGTCTCCTCTGCTTCCAATCACCATGATCACAATGTTCAGAGGTGGCCTTGAGGTTTCTTCGTCCAATGATGGTCGCGCAGAAAGAGCGGACAGCCTCGCTACCAGATCTGGTCGTCTGATGTTATCCTCCTCATGTAATGGCGACAGAGTCCGCTCCAGTTCTAGTTCGTCGTCATCGTCAGGGCGCTTAAAATGATGTTGCAGGGTTGCACCGAGAGCATGCGCCAAATAACCATGATTGTTGGTCTCGTTGACACTAATGTTCAGGCGTCCGTCCCTTTTCGATACCTTCCCCTTTGTCTTGTAGTTTTCATTGCCCACAGAGAACTTTCCAAATTGCCCTCCACCTGATCTTCGTCTGCCGTTCTCGTCTGCTTCAGGCACACTTCCAGCACGTCCCCTAGTGCTAGGCGATCGACCGCTGCGATTCGACGGTCTGGAGGCCAGCTTCATCTCTGACTCGTCGTCTGAAGAAGACGATTCATCGTCCGAGGTATGGCCACCAGCTGCGGTGTTGAGAAGCGTAGGCACGTGTCCAGTGTAACCCCTTCGCGGCCTCAAGAACGTCGATGTTCTCTGTGATGGTACAGGCCGTTCCGACTTGAACCTCCTCTTCGCCTGTGGCCGAGGCGCCTCGGGTGCTCTCCCAAGACTTGGTGGCCCTGGTGCCTTCGTTGGCGTTGGTGCCCCATTGTCGACGAGCGGGTTCCTGCTGCGGACTGAAGCATGATGTGGGGCTAATATTGAGGGCGCCTTAGATGGGGCCTGGGATGATTCGGTGCGGTTCTGGGGAAATGGAAATTCGAGTGCTGGTGGTATTGGGAGGATGTTGGTCGCGTTGTTCTCTTCCGAGATGGAGGAGGAGTCCTTCATAGTGAGAGGATAAGGGACACAAGCCTAGCTGTAATTATGTGTGTCAATTTCCAAGTAGTCCCAGGTGAGACGATGGGTTTGGGACTGCCGTGACTTGTGGAGTGCTTTGGGTCATGCGTACTGGGAGTGAGGCTGGAAAGAGGTAGAGATTAAGTGAGATGGCGGAAAAACGTGGAGCGAAGGATTGGCATCTTCACCAATGGGAAAGTAAGAGATGTGGGGAAGGGGAAACAGAGTTGCCATATTGGAGAAGAGAGTGAAGGAGAGAAGGTTGCTGCTGCCCCAAGATGACAATGACATCGAATGCCGACCATTGCTTCATCCGACACATCTTTCCCCCAAATTCCGAAGACGCCAAGAATTGCATTCATTATGATTTATGATTTATGACTTATGATGGCATCCGGCCCGGACGGGATTTGCTGAAATAGCATGTTCAACCCGTGATCGACAGCAGGGTGAGGTCATTATCCGCTTTGCTAGCTGCCGTTTCGGGGGCTCATCCGCACATGCCGAAAGTATGATTTACACACCTGATACGCTGACACGACTCACGAGTACAAAAGCTATCAGCCCTACCCATAGACGTTGGATCTAATGGTAGTGGACCACAATGCTTTGTATGTAACGAAGAATGCTTCAAGGAGAACAGTAGGAAACATACAAGTACATACAAAAAGGTAGCTTTGCGAAGATCAACGCCTATTGTAGTCCACAAAGAGACTTGACGAGGATCAAGCATCGTAAACAGGATATAGATAGTACAGGGAGACAGAGATAGGCAGAACATGGACCCTATGCCTGGGAGGACTAGTGAGAAAAGCAACACGAATCATTGCAATCCTAGGGGACACCTTCGACTCCCCACGTGGAATGAAGGTTGTTGCTATTAGTATCTCCCTCATTTACTCCCATTACATATACTGCTGTATACAGCCGAATCCACCCCATCAATCATCGAACTCAGCCTTCAACATCTCCACCGCATTAACATCCCCACCGGCCTCCTCAATTGCCCTCAACGCCGCCAAGCTCAACTTCCTCTTCTTCTCATTGGCCTCCTGCTCCCTCCTCGCCTTCGTCTTCGAGCTCCCGCTCGGCGCAACCCCGGTGAGGATCCTATCGCTATCATGCGCCGTGAAGTTGACAAAGTTGCCGAAGCTGGAGCCGGTCGATTTTGGAGACTTGATGTTGCCGAAGGATTTGGCTGATTTGAGCGTGCTGGACGATTTCGGTTGCTTCAGTTGGCCCACGGATTTGGTCTTTTTGTGGCTGCGCATTTTTGACCGGCCGCGAGATTTGGTGGGAGAGTGGAGCGGTGGGGAGACTGATAGGGAGCGTAGCTGGGGAGGATGGAGGGCGAGCCATCCCAACTAGATCGGGGTCATCGTGTCCGTAGAGCGCAATGGGTATCTCCTCTGCGCCTGGCGACTGTAGCGGGTTGGACGACACGATCGAGTAGCCAGTCGACGGGTCTTCGTTGACGAACTGACCATAGGGTTCGTATTGGATCAGGAAGTCTTGGCGCATGTAGTCTGACGACGGCTGTGCGATTCCTGGCGTTGACTGCGTGGCACTGGCGTTGTGTTGGTAGGAGTCTATATTGACATTTTCTGGAAGCCTGTGCAACCAGCTGGGCTGAACATGGTTTGGCGACGCCGCTGAGAAACCGAGGTCAAGAGGAGATAGCGGCAGATAATTCCATGATGATGGGTGGCGTAATTGTCGCACATGCGTGCGTTCGCTTCCCTGTTCTTTGCCTTCAGCTTCGACGTCGCCGCTTGTCGAGGGCATGGAGTTCATTTCAGCATCGCTCACTTGGCCTTGAAGGGCATGAGCGTTCGGGAGAGGATGATAAAAAGATGTCTGCGGAGTGGTAGATTTCTCTTTGGGTGCCTCTGACTTCACATCAGAAACCCTCATAGCATCTTTCGGATGCTGTTGTGTGGACTTACGACTCGAAGTCACAATATCGCCGGGTCTATGGTCTCGAAAGCTACCTCTACTCCGTGGAGGTGACAATTGAGGGGTATTGTTCGGCGTCTGAAGACTGATCTGCTCGAACCGCCGTGTCCATTCATGATACGCCGGCGTGTCTTGCCGATAGTGATAGGAAGGACGCATCATCTCGCTTGAAGGAGTTTTGAAGACTTTCTGCGACCTGCCACGCTGTGGTTCTTGTGCGGGAGCGCAGAACTTTGCTTTCCTCCGTAGCGTTCCTCCGAGCGTTGGAACAGCTGAAGGGGACGAAGATGGTATTAGTGGAGCCTTCGTTTGGCGATTTTTGTGGGACAGTTTCCCTTCCAGTTTCAGAAGTTCGCTGCTGGAGATTGCACTTCTCACCGTCGGCGCCTCGCATCGGATGAGAGGAGGGCGGCTTCGCAAGGGTGGAGTCAGCTGAGGAGGTGAAAAACGGAGATCAGCTGCAGGTAGTCGTTGGGAAGAAGGCAGGCTGGTGGTCTTGCTTCCAGTAGAATAGCTTCCACTCGAGACCGTCTCCTCATCAAACGCAAAATCGAAATCGTAAAAGTCGTCTGATCCATCTGCCGTATCGCTGATAGTGGTCGGGTCTTGGTTCAGCCATTCATCAAAGAGGTCATCGCAAGGGTCATCGATCTGTGTGCTGGTGTTGCCGAAGTCTTTGTTCATCGAGCGATAGCAACCGAAGTTCAGCATTGTGTCTGGCTGCATGCGTGCAGATGAGTAAAAATTTTGTAGTGCGATCAAGAGGCAGGGGCTTAAAGGGACTTCGTTAAAAGGAATTGAATCGTTCAACTGAAAAGCTGAACATGATGAGACCGGTTTGCGAGAACTTCGTTCAAGTTGCCGCAGCGAGCAGAAAACAACAAATACAAGTGCAGAACGAGTAGGGTTTTAAGATACAAAAATCACTTCCAGCCCTCGCTTAGCATTCCCAACTGTGCGGGGAATGTAAAATACCAGTCCAGAAGCATTACCTGAAAACAGTCTGGTGGCTGGTGGGCCAACTGCGAAGAATGCTGTTCGATGAATGCAGCCTAGAGAAACTCCAAGCGAGTTAATGCCCAATTGCAATCCAGAGAAGAATTGATGACTCAAAGTAGGATGAATAGTAGGTTAGAGCGCAAGGCTCTTGAGGACGAGTCTGAAAGAAGTCTTTGTGTCACGGCTTACGCTGTGCAACCAAAGGCTCCCAGCGGAAGGCTTACGAAGCCAGAGGACCCGTTCAGTTTCGATTCGACAATGCTTGCTGCAGATCCTATACACCACCCGATGATGAGTAACGCCATTCAGAGTTCAGATATCGAAATTCTGAACTTCTGGCATCCTGCCCAGTCCACCTCCGCCAGTCCCTTTCACGCTTTGTTCCAGTCCCTTGCCCTCCACCTTCGCGTTCGGTTCCTCATGAACGCCACCAGCGCTCCGATCAATGACATGCTTCCTCAACATTGCTAGAATCTCACTATTCTGCCACCGCTGTGGCACAGGTCTGTACGCAGGCTTGAACGTGCCAACAGTTTGAGCCCATTCACCGCTTCTAGGTGCGCCTTGTCTCCACTCGTCCGTCTCAGACTTATCCATGGCTTTGCCTTGAGCAGCCGGTGTAGACGAGTCCGAGTCGCCACCTTCTGCGGTCTCACGGGATGTTGGTGTCGGTTCTTGTGTAGCCCAATAGTAGATATCCCAGTCGTTCTCATCGAGGAAGAGGTCGTATTGTTGGAGCTGCTTCGTGGTCATGCGGGGGAGGTTGGTGTCAGCGAAGGTGGAGAGGAGGAGATCACTTTCGAGGGTTCCCCTCTTGCGGCTCTGATCTGTTAGAAAGAAGGTCTGGGTCAGCCTTTGCATGTCTTTGATGGTTAAGTCGAGTAGAGAAACGGACATAACAACCTAGCGCGCATGGTGTTGCCATCTTCGCCAGTCCGCCTCAGTGGCTCCACCTTGAAACTTGCTCCCTCCATCTCGCCCACCTCAAGCTCCGCATTGACGCCGCTCTCGGGCGCACCCTTCTGAGCCCCCGCCATCATACGCTCGGTGTTCTCCGGGATCGAATCTTTTGGCACGAAATCTGGGTCGACGGAGGTGAGGAGCTCAGGCGGTGCCTTATCGGCACCTACACTTGGCATCTCATTGGCAATGGTAGAGTTGGTATTGGTCATATGTGGCCCATCGGGCTTGGACTTTTGTGATTCTTGCCATTCTGAGGCATTCTCATTCGAGTGAGGATTTGGGAAGGTGCGGGGCATAGAGGTTGATATGGGTCTGAAGGCTCTGGAGACTGGCCGAGCAGAGCGTGGTATACATCGTAATAGAGACATGGTGGGAGGTGATTGAAACGTGCTTGAGATTAAAGGAAGAGTGTGCAATCGTAGAGATGATGGTGATTTATGGATTTTGGGAATGACATCAATATCGCGAGTCTTGGCATATCTTCACGTCTTGGCATTGTTCGAAGACGTATATCTTTCCGTCAATACAGCTGTTCAAACCACGACGCTACTCGTATCATGTACGAAGTTTCTGCCGTACCTCCTTGGCACCCTTCGTTTAGATTGGAAACGTAGGTACCTCTTTATAAAGATAGGCCATCAGAGGTGAAAAATATAGGGCGAAAAAAAAAAAAACTTTTGATGGGCTGAACTGGGATTTGAACCCAGGACCTCTTACATTTTGTGATGACCCAAAGCAAGAATTCTGCCACTGAACTATCCAGCCACTACGATTGATTCAAATATTATTTATTTATATATACACATATTTTTAAATCCTCTCAAGCTGGTTCGCCTTCCCTCTTTTGAAACCATGATCCTGCTTTGAGTTGCCAATTTACTACATCTCAAGGGCCAACTGCTATTCAAGTGGCTGATTCAATCATGCACCTCTGTAGCTTCTATGTAATGGGGCCGAAAGGCTGAATTTCGACACACGAGCAGTTCAGTCCATAGCCGTAGAGCTGAGACCCCTTTGCGAATTTCACTGCTCAATGTCCTCTTTATAACATAATTATCTCGAGACGGTCTCATTGTTTTGTTCTTCAGATCTAAGCTCATCAGCAAGGTTTCTAAAAGGCTCATGCAAGAGTCACAGTCAGAGTCCATAACGATAGATCAAAGATCGAGAGGCATACCGTGACCGACTTGGACGGATTCTTGATGGATTTCTGCTCTTGCCGCCAGGAGGAACAGTCGCACTGGAGGCACGTTCTGCGTCAAGCTTCCGTCTCAGAACGGGTCGCAGCGATTGAGTCATGCACATTAGAGTCTCTTGGGCGCTCAGCATCTGCCAACCGCTGACCAATTGAAACGCTTACCGTACATCAAGACGAACAAACCAGGCTAAGTCTATCTTTCCGTGGTTGTGGGTAAAGACGGAACAGGTCATGGCTTCATCTATGTTGGTTTGCTAGTAGTCCACAGTAGTCCACATGGAGGACTTCACTCCAGAGTGTGTCAATATACGAGGCCAGTGTATAGTGCTAAGGCAGCGTACGTTGTTGAACCCTACCACTATCCAGGTCACTAACATAGCCCAGTACTTTGCGTGGATCATTTCATCACGGGCTACTCGACCAAAAGGGACCAAAATGGAATCAAGCGCGTCGAAGACTTTGCAACCATCGCCTTAGTAGCTTCGGTGATTCTTCTCAAGATACCTGTAATGTGAAGCAAATAAGAGTTCTATGTCTCTTGTGCGAAGCGGTCTATACTCATTGGCTACAACGCATATCGAGTGATTTCTCCTCTATGCACCTACTCTACCTACGTTTTTGACGACAACAGTGTCTCATTTTGAGGTTCAGTTGTCTCGTACTCGATTGGAACGCACAGGTCACAAACACAAGGCCACAGCTAGATATATGTACAGTGACATCAACTGTGGATCAACTATCAAAGCGTTTCAGAACCGGAGTTCATTCCGTCCTTCTGAGGCACAAAACGACTCCGAGTCGAAGGACAGTTGTGTTTGCGGAGGGCTTGCAAACACGCCGGGAATCTGAGTTGTGTAGACGCCGTACACCGAGCAATTGTTGCGTGATTTCGCCCCCAGTCTGCATGGAATAAACCGTCGAGCCGATGTCGTAAGCCCTGGCGGGACCTTCCATAGCGAATCAGCATCAGCTACAAACGTTCCAAACGTGGGCCTGGAAGATCTCACAATTCGAAAACGCGTCTTGGGATATCGTGACATCTGATATGTCTAGGTTGTTGGGTACTGGGTTCTGCGGAGTCTGCGAAGCCACCAATGTACAGCCAGATAACCACTGAATTCTTGAAACAAAGGTGACCCCAATATAGCTGCAGACCTGAATGTATGGACCGCTGGTAGATGTCATATTGACCCCACATAGTAAAAATTATTGGTACATTCGGCGACTGCAGACGGGAGTGCAGATGTCTGTACAGAAGTCGCACAAGACCCGATCGGGTAAATACTACACACGGGAGATGGGACAGCTGTTTCTGATAGGGTATCCGACGACGTAGGAGTTGGAAGAGTTCCGGAAAGGGAAAAGAGGTCGTTGGAGGATGAGCGGACGCGTATGTTATGAGGGCGCTTATGATCTCTGCCTGGAGGCTTATCAAGGTCGCATTGCCTGAACCGACTATCACACATTTCATGAGGTTCCAAAGGCTTTGGAAAGAGTAGTAGGGTGAAAAATTACTTATTGGAGTTACCTACGGAGCGCAGCTGCATCCCGATAAAGATCCGACTGTGCAAGTTCCGGTTGCGGCGGTGTTATCACCTAAGCAAGTAGTGTCCGGACAACAAGGCTAATCCTGAATTAGCCAGAGTCTTTTGGTCATTGAAGTGATCGAAGAGACCCGCTTACCGCTGAGGAGTTGTTTGGGCAGCCAGAAGACGTGGTTGTAGCAGAAGGTGTGATTGCGGACTCAAAACCGGTAGCTGGAAGGATGTTCGTTGCGGCTATGGGCTGGTTCTGGTTCAAAGATTCGTCAAATAGAATCAGAAGATTCACTGCAATTACCTTCATACTGGCGTCCTGGTTGAGAGTGCATAAGCCTGGGTTTTTACCACAGATGTAGTAGAGCAAGATTAGGAACTTACGGATACTAATGCCAGCTGTGCTATTGCTCGGCCCGCAGTAATCACTATCTGCAAGTTGGCCGCTAAGTCAATGTTTGGATTGATATCCGCCGTGCTATGGATCAACAAGAATGATTGTAGGGAACCGTTGGGAAGGGCCCATCGCTGCTATTGCGAAGTTTACTGCGCACTCGACAGATCTTTTGCGTAGTTTGCTGCTTGAGCACGTCTGTTCCGCCTGGTTTTGGAGCCATTGCAGCGCCGCTGATTGTTGTCAGTGTATCCCTATTGATCAATAGATTTTGGTATCTTCAAGGATGTCCATTTGCATCGTAGAGTACACAAATACAAGATGTGACAAGCATGGCATAACGCGCCATATAGAAAAAGTAAGAGGAATAGTGACGCTTTTCCCAGATGAACGTGTCAAAAACCTCCCCGTTTATTGACTAAATATTAAAAATGGAACCACTCACTTCAACCGTGCTGCTTTTAGGCCGAGGTTCTCGAACCACAAGATATAGGCGTGGGCGGTACACCTCCGAGAAGACTATCTTCTCGCCCTCAGAGACGAAGAAAATGACATTTTTGCTTCGAAGGTCTTTGCGCGGCCGGTTCACCGTCTGCAAGTACATGAGAATATTGGCAGATTCACGTTGCCAGATCATCGCTCGAGGTCCAGAGCTCACAGCAACGAGAAAAACGCACACTCGAAATCGCTACCGAACACGCCCCTCGATACGTGCCCGCCCGGTCGCTAACCGGCGGGAAGGTCGGTTCGGTATGCAATGCTCGCGAGGGCGCCGTCTGGGTACGGGGCTGGTCATGCAGTGGTGGCGAAGATGCCCGGAGACTCGGGTTGCAATCCTTGTGCAGGGTTCCGTGGGGAGGATCCGAAGTCTATACTGAAGTTCCGGGATTGTATCGGAGTGACCCGGACCACGACGAAGAGATCGCATGACAAGAAGAACCATTAACCCATCGGAGAACACTGCTCGACTTTTCCACAATCTCAACAACAAGGTCGTTATATCGATGATCCAAGGCCTTCAACTGTCGAAAGTGGCCGTCTTCCACAAGCTTACCTTCCTCTTACCTTCCACGAGAAGTTGAATATCTGGTCGAATGAGATCTTGAAGTTTTCAATCTCAATCCAGCATTATCCCCATAAGCGTTTTAGAAAACATTTCGCGGTCTGCTGGAAAAAAATATCTTGATGTGACTCGAGGATGTGAGACCTTGCAGGACTTCAAGGACTTCGGTGTGATTCCCATCGAACTCATCGAGGCCGTCTATGAAACAACAGAAACCGTGTGGATTCGACTGTTTTTCAACGATCGAGGACCTCTGCAATGTCGGCGCGCGTCCAATGGAATACTGCATCGTTGACCCTCTGCAATTGTGACTGACATATCTGCGAAACTAGCCCGGGCCGCTCTTGAAACACATTTTATAGGAGAGTCTGCAGAAGACCATGTTGAGATTTCTGCGTATATGCTCCCGCATTCCAAAAGAAGAAGCTGGCGGTCATAAGTCGATTTTCTCCTGCCCAGTTGTGGAGTGCTCTTCGTATCCTCATATTGGTGACAAGGGATTTCATAAGTGTAGACTTTCCTGACCCAGCCTTCTCACTGAGTGAGTATATACCGTTACGCGCTTTCAATTAATCCAGCACAGAGAAACCCCGGGACCCCACCAGGCTTCATATCTGTGAAAAGCCAATCGAAGGTTGACGGGTAAGCCTCCACTACGCGTGCTGGCCTCTCAGAAATCATCGCGAGGCGTAAGCTCTCGATAGGCTTTAACTGTCGTGTGCTTGTGCTGCCATCAATGGCGAGCGTCAAGGGTTGCAAAGTTAAGTCCTTGAGGGGTCCGTCAGAATCCCCGGATATTAGAACAGTCAGGCGATCTAGCGACCTCACGATGTCCCTCTTCAGCTGTGTTGCTTGGTTCTCTACGGACGTCCCAAGGCTACGGTGGCGTGAGGCCTGGTTTTCCAAGGCGATGACAACATTCGACTGTTCGTCCTCTTGAAGGAGAAATCAGTAATGAGTCAGCTCGTGGATCTTATACCTACCTGAGAAGTTTGATGAGGTGAAAAACGATCTGCGAACGATGATCGTTTAAGCGTCCACTATAATTGTCGATTTCTTTTGTGTCTTCCAAACATTTCTAAGGGCTTGGCGTAGGCTTTGCAATTTTTTGTGATGACCTTGTACCTTCAGATCACGCAATATAGACAATAGCTCTTTCCCGACACTGAATTGTGTACGATCACGATCCAAGAAATGAGATGACATCTAAAGTCTGAGCGTGACTCTAGCAGGGCTTGCACACTGGAGAACCATCGATGACATATTTCCCTTACCCAAAGACAGTGAGGCTGCGAGGGGGGCAGTAAAGAACGTCAGAGAGTTTTAACGCAAATCCGACTTCTTGAAGACTACCCAAGGTGCAGCAGGGGAAGTATGTGCGGAAGCGATGCGAAAGGGTCTGATGGGGAGGGGAAGAGCTCGTGCTGTACGAGAACGCAGATTAGACAAACCCTGAGGTTGAATCCGCGATGCTCGAAGTGTATTCTAACGATTTTGTAGCGAAAACAGGCGATATCCGGCTTCGACGTGAGGTGGAGCAGGTGTAGAAATTGACACATTAGCGGCGATTGAGCCAAAACATATACGGATGAGATCGTGGTATGTGTTGCTCAAGACTAGTTCATGATCATGCCTTGCTTGATGACTGGCATCGAGTAGTCCCTGGGCACAAAGAAGAAGAACCTGTCTGTGTTCATGCCATGATCAACAATCCGTCAAATGTCCCCCAAATCGGAAAAGAACCACCACCTTCGTTGCAGAGACCTGACCTTTGTGATGGCTTCCTTCCTTTGCAACGCTCGGACTGTTCCTTGATTCTCGCGAACCATCCAGCGACCCAGCTGCGTCCTTTTATTCACTTGCTAGGCTTGGGTTTCTGAGCACTACCCTCCTCAAAGTCATCGAGCTTTCCAACCGCTGGCCCTTTGCATTTGGGGGTGTAATTGTGGTAATGGAAAGTACAGCTTCTGTTGAGATCAAGCACATGGTCGATTCTGGATATCTTTCCGTGGTCTTGCGAATATAGCAAGTACTTGGCGAACATCGCTGCTATTTCACCGCCTTTCATGATTAGCTCCCGGAGGTCGGCTGGAAGACCCTTGTTGGAGCTTGATTTCAGTGTCTGCATTGCTGCGACGACAACCATACATCGTAGCATCAGATGGCTGCTGGTGTTGTCGAAGACGAATGAGAGATCTCGAGCGGAGACTCTCGCTTTGGAATCCCGATAGTATCCTCTGATGTGATCAGCAGTGAGATTACCAAGATGTTCAATCAAGACTTTCTCTGCCAATGCCAGTAGACCGAGATGTGCCGAAAGCTCGTCGTCATTGCTCGGCGGCTTGAGATTGCCACCATAGAGCCAATTGACAAAGAGCTCAAACGACGCGTCGTTGTCGTCGGGCAAATAGAGCTCTTTAGATTTGGCTTCAGCAAACTCGCCTTGGAATGTTGCTTTGAAGTAGTCCGAGCGGTCGCACAGCAAATGTTCGTGAAGGCGGAAGGTCTTGCGCTTCGGTCCGACGAAGACGTCAACCAGCTCGATAGTCAGAAGCCTGTAGCATGTCAGATGAAGCCATGTACCAATTGTATTCAGGAAGAGTACATACGAGCCTAGGGGCTTGAGATTCAGCACAACGAGCTCATAGGTAGTGGATGGCTTGGAGCGCGCCTTTAACGGGGTGGCATCCTCTGCTTTGGGAGCCATCGTGGTAGAAACGAGTCTTGTGATGCTTTATGGTTGGCGAAGAAAAAGCATGCGAGACTCAGCAATTGGAGCGACCGAAGACCAGGTGAGTCGGAGACTGAAGGAGGTGAAGCGAAGCAGGTTGTAGACTAATCAATTAACGTGAGATTGGAAAGTGAGTTATCAGTGAATCTACCTCTCGATTTAATAGTCAGAGTGTGCCTAAGGACCGAAAAGAAAGGGAACAAGCAGAAGAGAAAAAGATTGCAGAACGGTGAAGGGATGTGGTATCCAAGGTGAGGCTGCTCGGCGACTTAGCGGTCAGGATGCGCCGCCAAAGGCTGAAGACGTCGAAGTGAAGAACTGAAAAAAGCGTAGACTAGATGATTGACGGGTCTGATCCTCGAGTCAGTAGTCGAGGTGCTCATTTTAGTACCCTGTGCAAAGCTAAAAAGTACATATAATGTAGTAATCTGACCGAATGTAACGCAAAATGCCAGCTGTAAGCATGGACTAAATCAGATGCTTCGATCTGGGAATGTGGAGTCAGTGTCGGCTCCTGCCTATAGCAGGGAAGCAGTCCGGAGGAACGTACCTGAAATAAGCCCTCAAATACACAACCTGCCACGCGCCCAATCCTACCAGCATTCCCATGGTCCCAAAAGCGAACCATTTGACGCGCTCATTGGTGCTCTCGTTCGTATCCCTAAGCTTCTGTTCTCTTGTCCTGAGGTAGTCCATCTCGCCAACAATTTCCCCAACCAGCTCTTCAATGCGTCGCAGCTCCGTCTCAACCGGCTTGAGCTTCTCTTGTGCCTGGATTGCAGACCAGTCTCGGGCATCGGCGCCAATATCAATGTCTAATTCAATGTGGCGTGACGGGCTCCCTCCTCCTGGACTATTTATTAGCACCCTCGGGTTTGTGTTTGGGGGCAGTGCTTACGAGATGAGACAAGTTGGTTCTCGAAGCATACATCGAAAGCAGCGTCAGCATGCGATGTAAATGCCATCCTTTTCTCTCCCACAATGTCCTTGGGTCTTCCATACTCATTGCCCACAGCGTCCTTTATCTGCAGTACAAACGTAGCGTCAGCAGGATTGCCCTTGCACGCAATTGGCGTAACGGGAAGACTGACATGCATGTTGACTTGCTGCCCATCTCCTTTTTGCCCGTCAACAATCGCCGTTACAAGGACCAATGTGTCTTTGGCCACGAAATTCCGTATACATCGTTCTCTTCCTGTGTGTGCTGCTAGATCAAACTTGAGTGCCCACGAGAAAGGTAAGAGGGCAAGAGAAAGGAGGGCGTAGAGGACTGGTTGGCGCGCCATTACGGGCAACAGAGGCAGATCAATCGAACACGGGTGACTGTTGAATACGCTGGTATCGAGGGGTGACGGCGTTGTTTTGGGCAGGTTCTGTTGGAAGCTCAGGAGGCCGTGGAGGCCCATCCAAACTCTGGCAACTTAATCCAAGTCTCGGCAAACCTTCCTTACTCCACGCGCGTCACGCTTAGAGTAAGCGCTCGATTAAACCTAGTAAAAATAGATAGAGTAGATAAATCATTGTTGATCTTTAATTTCTATATCTAAAGTAAATAATGTAGTAATACTTGAGCGTGAGGATGATGAGTTACGTGGGCTACTTCAGCTTAAACATTGGTCTTGAAGGTCAAGTTTTTGATGCATTGACTTCGGCAGAGTGAACGAATGCAGACAGACATCGAAGGCTGCTTAAAACGGGAACTCAATGTTCTCCAACGTGAATGGCTAAATTCTTTGGTTTGACGTGCACAGAATGCATTGAATTGAAAGGCTAAGGGGCGAATTGACAGAACAGGTGATAATATCGAGGCGTGGAATCTTTTATGTTTCACGCAATCTTTCGGCATCAACCAAGAGTATTCTGTTATGGATGATCAAACCTCTTCAAGGAGACTGATACATAACGAAAATTGTAAGCATGGCTGCTTCTTTGACCGAAATCTTAACACTGCTTCAGGTGCAACCTTTCCTTGCACCTACCCTACCTGTGTGGCTGTTAGATTGAGAAAATACTCAAGATTTTCTCCGTTCATGGCTCTTGCTGGAATCTCATACAAGAAGGCAGGTTCACGATTTGCTGCCATAACAGTAAGAGTGGTTCTTGAGCAAGCCATATCTATGTGATTGTATCTGCAAAACGGATTTGCCCGTTCTGTGCCAGAACAAAGCTCGATCAACGGTTACAAGAATCTCTCTGCAAGAATTTGTGAACATTCCCCGTCTGCACCATTACCAACAATTCCATGACCAGTTCTGTGAGCTTTACCTGACCAGTTCCATGGCCACGAGCAATCTACTTTGGTCAGCCGAAAAACCTGGTCAGCGATAATGATCTGTTGCTGCTCACCTCTTCTATGTCTACTAATGGCGACGGCCTGCAGGATTGTGTCGTCCATCGTAGCGCCTACTCGAGCTCGCAAAGCTAGCGTCACTATCATAGCTATCATCGCGATCTTGCGAGGGAAGGTCTTGCCGGCCTCCGTTATGACGAGAGCTAGCATCAGCGAGTGAAGGCTGTGCAGCTGAACGTTCGCCTAAAGGCATTCCACCACGTCGAGGTGGTGGTGACGCTCGGTGACGATAATCACGTCCTCCAAAGTCTGCAATGTCCTCAGTCGAGTATCCCGTATGTCTATGCGCTGGACCATAAGTATTGAACGCCCCAGATTGAGTACGAGCACCGAGGTTGCCACTCCCTCCTTCAGCGTGGAAACCGTCGGACTCTCCAGCCAACGACTCGTCGCCATAGCGAGCCTCATAGTCTCTTCTACCGATGCCACGACGATCACCATGACCATGGGACGAACCGCTCGCATGGCGATCACGAGCCTTACGTGAACAAGGTATCCAAGACCCAAGATAATCAAACCCTCCAAAGCCATTGGCAGCATAATCAGCTCTATTGTTACGAGCTTCATCACGACGAGAGGCTCCTTCCCACTGATTTTGGAGCTCAAGCTGCTCCAAAAACTCTTCGTAACTCATGATGGCAGCCCGGGCTTCAGTCCTCTCGAAACGCGCTCTACTCGCGTGATACTCTTGCTCAGTCAGACTGCTTAAAAATTCCTCCACCCTTCGGCTTGGCATGTTGATGATTTGGGAAATAATCTGTTGAGGAAAATTGGTATTAGTAAAATGCTCAAAGAAATCTGAATACGGAGTTGTGTCTATGGGTCGTGGATACAAAACCCAAAGAAGGAAGATGCAATGGCAGCTTTGTTCGCGCAGAGTGTTGGGGATGCAAAAAGAAAAAGACGGAAAATATCGTAGTAGTTATGTTGGAGCAGACTGCTGAGTACCTAATCTGAGAAAATTTGCTATCCCAAATTGCACTTGAAAGGCAAATTTGTGACCACGTCGATGATGATATTCCTCTTGAGAGACCGGAAGACTGAAGAGTGGTCAGACAGGGATTGTCTTTGTGTTTGATGATCTTTGAGGTCGGGGAGTGAAGGTTGGTGATTCAATGTCAGGAAAATGAAAGTTGAAGATTCAGTGATTCATAGACACTAGAGATTCTAATTCGATGGGTAAATTGCTAAGTGTTAAGAGTCTGTGGTGGCGAAGAGAAAGTGTTAAGAATCTGCGGCGGCGAAAAGCACAGTCTGGTTCCGTTGAGGTTGCAGAACCCAAAGCAGCTCCCCACGGCCTCGGTATTGCTGAAAGCAGTGTCAAATGTTTCACCCTCAAACCTCACCAGACTCCCACACAACCGGTACACAAGATCTCCGTCATGTTGTATCAGGAGACCAATGTGGTCATGAGACTTGGCATAGCATTTGGTGTTGGAGCATCTTTCTGTTACGCGGCATCAAGGTTCTATCTGGTGGTAGAGTCTTTTCTTAGCCTACGCCCCGTTCTTATCCGAGTGTACGCCGCAATTTAATGGGTCGAGAACATCCCTCTCGTATAATGATTATGCCATAAGCGGTTGAGCGTGATTTTTGGTCTTGACAGAGTCGCCATCACCAGGTCTCAAGGGTAGCAGCTCTATTGAAACAATTGATTAAAGCCAGTTTCAAGTATGGTATATGGAGCCATAAACGCATCATATCCATCTGCTAGCCATTCAAATGATTGCCACCTCCTACGAGTAATCTGTATTCATATCAATGGTGGAAAGAGGCACGCGATGAGGATCCAAACCCCTTCGACGTTATGATGAGACGACAAAAGAGCAAAGTTGTATGCAAAAAGGCGACAAGGTTAACAGAGCGAGCATGGAATAACGCACGACAACTCGATTTCTCCTCGACTGCTCAGTTCCTCAATTCATTCGATCGCATTAAATCCGCACCATCTCCTCGCCTTCAACCCGTCCCTCGCACCCCCAAACGTCGTCTTCTCAACCCTCTCATGCGAAAACCAAGTCCAGATCGGGTCCTCCTGCAGCAACTCGACAGACTGTATAGCGCTCTTTTTCTTATGAGGAAGTGAATTATTTGCTTGCAGGCGCTAGAATCGATCTCAACAGTGAGGCGCAAAATTTCGGTCAGCGTTTGCAGAACCTCGGTATTGACGCAGAATTCAAGCTACGCTCCATGTGGCACTCTTTGGCAAAGACAAAGTCAAATTTGATTCCATCTACGTCGCGCAAGAGCAGCTCCCGTCGTTGTCTCGCCATCGCATCTACGCGGATGTCGTTCAAGACTGATAAGGCAGTTGAGTGTGAGAACTTTCGTGTGCGTGGAACCGTTGAATCATGGATATACATGAGGATATTTTAAGAAGATAGAGAAAAGCCATGGAATCGGACATTCGAAACGATTTCGACTGCAAAAGACGTATCGCATGTCTAAGGAAAAGAAAGAATTCGGGCAATATAACTCTGCGTTATGAACGACCTGGGTAATCATCCAGTGGACCCGGGACTTTCTGATGGGCCTCGTGAATCCGTTCTTGCGATACTCCTCGGTGCATTTTCCCGTGCTGGAGCAGGAATTGCTGCACTTGAAGAGATGGAGGTAAGTTTGGCTTTAGCTGCAGGCCTACAGTCAGGCGTTGCATTAGAAGCATAGTGATCAAGAGGAAAAAAAGGCCGATGTTTTGGCAAGATCAAGGAATACTGTACTCCGTATACACTTAATATTGTGAACAGTGACAACAAAGTTGAGCAAAGGAGGAACGCCCGAAAAGGAACACCGTTGATGCCAAGACGCTAAGATAAGAGTACTCTACCGATACGTGAGATGCCCGCCAAGCTCTCAACGTCATTCTCCGACCGCGTCCGAAACCGGTTTGAAGCACACGACACCATCAGGTTTCCCCTCCCCTTACCCCTATCCTCCCCCCGCATATAACAAACAATCCGCACCGAAACCAAACCGCCCTCCACCCTCTTCCACCCCCATCAACCCCCACCCCCATACCCCCCAAAAAATCCCACGACCACCTCCTCAAACCCACACCAAACCTTTCAACCCCCCAAACCCGACCCCACGTCGCCAAACATGGCCGGCTCCTCCTCCGACACCTCAGGCGGCATGAGCGGCGCGCTCGTCGCGACGATCGTCCTCACGGTGCTGGCGGCCGTGGCGGGCGGGATCTACATGTCGGGGGCGGCGGACGACGTGGTCAAGTTTGTGATGGAGAAGTATTTCAAGGCGGAGGCGAAGGCGGAGGAGAAGATGTTGGAGAAGAGTGGGGAGACGGCGGCGGAGGGGTTCTTGTTCGTTTTTTCCTCTCTCTTCTTTCTTTCTTTCTTTCTTTCTCCCTTTCTTTCGCCCCGCCCATCCTACCCCCTTTTCCTTTTGTTCACACACACACTCTCTCTTCTTCCCTCCGTCTCAATCCCTCCGTCTCGGTTTCGAAATCTGGATCGGCACTGCGGGAAACGCAAAGCTGACGTTGCGATGTGGGCAGGAAGGATCGGCTGAAGAAGAACCCCGTCGTCTCCAACGATGAGCTCAACCAGGTTTCCGGCGGCCTGGGCGACGAGGCGGCCAAGGAGTTTGGGAAGGATTTCGGCAAGGGCGGGCTCGGGCAGGGTATCGGGAAGGCTTTTGATTAGATTGGCGGTGTGCTGGGGATGATGGGGAGCGTGACGTGTTGGAGAGGACGGAAGGGTTGGGTGGGGAGGCGGTGAGGAGGGGTGGTCGGAGGCTGAGGCTGGAGATGAGAAGTCGCTGTTAGATATTGTACCATTACTGTTGGCAAAAGTATAACATTGCTCCGCTGTGTAATAGCCGGAGATGGAATCGACTTCGAGGCTTGCTTGCTTCGTTGGTTTGAATGTCTTTTTCGATGTCTAGTCTATGTTCCAGTCTCAGAGCGGATGGATGCCCTTGCCATCTCTGGACCCCTGCGCTTGTTCCCCTCCGCTATGCAATCCCTATCGCTAATTCGAAGAAAATCTAAAGTCCTTCAAAGTCATCACTCGCATTACACCATTCTAGAATGCCTGGAACGCCCAGTCACCGTACACCTCACGACCCTGGCATGCCGTCTGGTGGGCCTCATAACGGCAGCGAAGTCCTCTCCTTCCTCGACTAGCAGCCTCCATCACCTCGACGGAAGCCCCTCCTCGTAATCCGGCGGCTTCCCCTCCAATCCGACCATCTCCCTAAACCTCGCCATCCCCCTCAGCTCGACCCCCTCACCCCTGTCCAAATGCGCCCGTTCGGGCTCCTTGACATAGGCCGGCGGCGCCTCCCCAGCCTCGTCCAACCCCTCGTCCCTCCCGGTCCCCCCTCTCTCCTCATCCTCGAGCCCCTGCCCGGGCTGCCTATGCCTGGTCCAACTCCTCACATCCTCCGACAGCACCCTCTGCTGCATTCTACTCAATTGGGCCGCGGCCTTTCTCCTTCGTCGGGCGAGGGACCAATAGATTACGAGGATAGCGACGACGAAGACGGCGAGGAGCAGGAAGTAATAGTTTAGGATTCCGTTGTGGGGGGAGGAGGTGGTGTTGTTGTCTTGGCTGCCGTAGCCGGCGGAGTCGGTGGCGGAGGGGATGGCGGAGGAGAGGGAGGAGGGGGTGAAGGATGAGGGGGCGGTGTCGCCGTTGGCGGGGTTGTTGACGAGGGAGGGGATGGCGCTTGAGGAGGTGGTGGAGGTGGGCGATTGCTGGGGTTGGGCGTTTAGGCTGCAGGGTTGGGTTGCGAGAAGGATGAGGAGGGAGGAGAGGAGTTTGGAGAAGAAGGAGGACATTGATGTCGTCGGCCCGGTGATTGCCATTGCTGTAAGGAAAGTAGAAAGAAGGGATTTCGAAGTCGTGACGGTGACGGAAGAACTGCCCCTTCCGGAGCAAAGTCCACAAGAGGAAGAGAGATTCAAAGCGAAGAGGAGTGAAGGAGGAAAGGCGCAGCTTCAGGCCATTTTCAACAGGAGAATAGGGAGAAGCATAACACCTATAAACTTCCCTTAAAAGGTGGATCAGGTAGTTTTAGGGGGTAAACATGATTGTGGATGGAGATAGAGAAGCACTCCGGATGCCATCGGATTCCGATTTATTCAGCATGCTTTTCTGGCGTTTGCATTCCTCAGCCCTGCACAAACCCAAATTTTATGCATGAATTAAACCTGCACTAACACTATCATTGCTCATCGACTGGTTCTCCCAATGCCCTTTCTCCAAACAAAACCCCCGCATCATACCTCAATCCAGCCAGCATGCCCAAAGCCGTCAAAGGTAGACACCGACCCCTAAGGGTAGGTCCGCCATCTCCCAAGCCCGACTGACCCGACAAAAACCCCAGGCGTCCTCGTCGAATGCGACCCCTCCATCAAAGCCATCATCCTCAAGATCGACCAAGCCAAGCACGACTACATCGTCGAAGATCTCGACGATCAGACGCTCGTGGTCAAGGAGAGCCAGTTGCAGCGGTTGAAGGCGAGGCTCGAGGAGGTGAGGAGCCCCTCCGTAGATGGTGTTGGGAGGAAGGGAAGGGAGGGAAAGGAGAGGAGGGAGAAGGGAATGGGGTGTGCTGATATAAAGGTGTAGGAACTCTCGAATACGCAGCAGATGCCTGATGACAGTGCGTCCGATTGAAGCTGTGACGAAGGTATGGACGTGAAGACGGTGTCCACGAAAGGATTGGGGAGCACCTGAGCGGGAGGAACTTGGCTACCCGGGTTGCTAGGAGAAGGGTGGCTGTGAGGCATATCGGGGAGAGAGGGCTATGAGACACAGAGCTCAAAAGTGGGCCGCTACGGTTCGACAGACTTCTCAGGATGGAATTCCATCAATGGCCGTGATGCTACGAGCCTCTCTGAAGGAACATGCCTGGGGCAGAGGAGTTGGTTGTTAGTGGTGCTGGAGGAATCCTTGCCTAGGCTGGCTTTCATAGACGGCTGGCAGGATTAAAGCAAAGATGCAGTACTAGGAATGGTGCTACATCAAATAGTGGAGCTATTGAATGTGCAAACAATTACCGTGTGCACTTGATATCAAAATATGTGCTTGTGCCTCCCTCTCCTCCCGATTCGAATGCTTGTATGTGTTGCATCCATGAATGCTCGGCTCTACATTGTTGGGCCTTCGTATGCCCTGTTACTTGAAGCTGCAGTCGTGTACTTGGCAAGCTAATATATATACTGCGAATAAACGACGGCGGTGTCGCTCCCAATGCAGAAATCAGAACCAGCCTCCTTATGTCCAGTCTCGACCATGGCTATATGCATATTGATGTTCTTTGCGGTAATTCACGAAATCTGCAATGCTATTCCTGGGACGCGGAGGCCTAAATCATGCCTCAAGATGGGAGGCTGGACAAGAACCACATACTTGGAACCCTGGCATTTCATTCGCATCTGGGAAAGATGCTGGTGTCATGAATGGCATTGCGCTCTACAGGCTCTAGACTGCGTCTCTTTCCGCAGCATCAAGCATTCAAAAGACCTTCTCGGACTTGTGAATCCCCCTTTCGTCAGCTCTCTTGTGTGAGGAGTACTTGGAAAACGTGTCGACAGGCCGTCAATTTCAAGGGTAGCGACAGTTTGGAAATATTGCTCTGACGGTGAATTCAGTCTCATTTCCCAGTGCCGAGAACTGTTTTGACGCATCCCCTCCCCATCACTCGTTGGTGGTATGCCAGCAGGTTCGGATACCTCTCCTGATTCAACTCTTCAAACTCCCCAACGATATGGCTCAACACTGGCCAGAAGGCGCAGTCGATGATCGTCCAGTGGTCTCCGGTAATGTATTCCGCGGCTCCTGCAAGAGTTTCCCAGGTCCAAAGGCTGCTGTGGAACTCTTCGAACAACGACGTGTTCGGCGTCATTGGCCTCTCCAAGTTGAAGCGGTGCGTCGGTGGTGAGTTGGGTCCCTGCAACTCTCGCATCTCACGCGAGAGAAATAGAAGTTCGTTGGCCTTTGCAGTCTGGCTATAGATGAGGGCAGTGGCTTGATCAGATTGCGCCACAGGCGCCTCTGTACCTGGGAAAGGATAATGCTTCTCCAGATAGAACATGATAGTAAGGTCGCCCTCTATAGCGGTAGCATTTTCATGGATGTCCTTGAAAACAGGATTCTCGCTGTTGGATAGACCATGCATCCAAGGATGGAATCTGGTCTGGAAGTCCTCAGGTTCAGGCGAGGGGGGTTTGTCCTGTTGGGTGGCTGCACAGGAGATCGATTTCTCGCACAACGAAAGCTGCACGCGAAGATTGGCGACCGAGTCGTTGCAGAGAAAGAGCTGCGCTTGTTCGTTCACCAGATTGACGACATTGAAACCACTTCCGTACTCAGCCTCCCAGTCGAAATCTGTGTCGTGGTTTTCTTTGCCGAAGGCTTTGATCATGGCTTCCATCTGAGCGTTGTCCCTGGTGGAGATCCCACTAGCTTTCTGCCTCGACTTGCTCTTTGCTCCAGAGCCCCAGATCGTCTTTTCTTTCTTGTTCATAAAAGTACCGATCTGCCTGAAGGTGATCGAGATGCGCTCACCTTCAAAGGCTTTCTCCTCATCCGTCTTCTCTGAAGCAGGTCGTTTGTCAGCTCGAACTCCATGCAACCACTCCTTGTTGCTTTGAGGTCCTAATACGAAGACAGAGTTATGTGGCATCTTGATACGCTGTGTCTGCCTCATGCTGGGACTTTCTGTACCGTGTTCGGACTTCTTCGTACGTAGAATCATGACACGTTGGGCACCGATGCTCACATTGACAATACTAGTACCGCGAGCAATATCCAGAGTCTATCATGGTCAGCTCAAATTTCAACTCCGCACATTGTAAACAAGTACCTTGTCAGAGTGCTCGGAGATGTTGTCCTGTCCGTCACGGTATAGCTGGATCAGGGCGTGGTTGAATGACTGCTTCAACGCTGACACGACTTGTTGCCGAATCTTTTGAACCGTGGGAGTGAATGGTAAGAGCGGCGGCGACTCATCCGCAGGATGTCGGTAGATTGGTATGTCACCATTTTTCCCAATCTCTCCTTGCACTGCTACAAGCCTTGGCACTTGCCCACTGCGGTGAAACATGGTCTGCCAGTCAACCTCTTCCTTGATTTGGCTGAATGCGTTATTGATGATTGGAGAGCCAATGACATTGTGGATGATTTTCGAGTCGCCAGACCCGATACTGTCATTCGGTCCTAGTGTAACCGATCTGGATTGCCAAGAATTTCGATCCCTCGAAGCAGAAGGCCCCGATCTGGCTATTGGCGAGACCTCTTTCTCTTTCAGCGCCTTCTCGACTCGCGGTGCTGTTTTGTCTACAGTAGATAGTGATGCTTGCCAACTGGGATCAAAAACGTCGACTGGCGGCAATTGTGAGCGTCCGCCAACCTTGGTCGCACCGCCAACTTCAGCGGTAGCAGGTCCTGGATTGCTGAAAACCATACCTTCCATCATAGACCCACCTTCTGCTGCCTCTTGATCGGAATTTAGTGAAAGCTCCTCGAGAGTGATACCAGGTGTTTCCGCGTCGGGCACTGGACGACCTCCAGACTCCTCGATGATCTCTTCACTATCAATACCATTAACACCCATGATGTCTGCCATTTGACGCAACGCTTCCTCGTGCTTGTCTTCACTTCGATACCCAAGGCAGTCTTCAACGACAGTTACCTGTAGTCCATGCTGTACTGCGTCTGCTGCAGTAGAGTACACTCCCACATTCGTCAAGATGCCACAAAGGTAGACCTCGGTGACCAGCTTAGTCCTCAAAGCTGTAAGAAGTGACGTCTGGTCGAAAGCCGAATAGTGATGCTTGGTCACAATCAGGTCTAGTTCTTCGTCCACCACATCCACCAGCTCGTCACAAATCTCGGCGCCTCTGGTCCCAGCAATGTAGAACCTCGCCTGCTGGCCTTTCCTGGGTTTACTCAAATGCTTCTCGATAGAGTCGCCTTTGTCGTTTTTGAACACCTGCAGATCGGCTGACCGTTTCTCCGCTCTAGTCTCTGCAGAGGCTTGCGCCATGATGTCCTTCGTTTTGCTTGACGGATAGAAGCTAGGATAGTCAGAGCCTCCTTTGGGATCGATCTTCTCAAGTCTCGCTCTCCTAGCAGCCTCCTCTCGTTTGGCGTCAAACTCGATCTGTTGCTCCTTCAAGTTCTGAGCTTGTCTGTTCTTTTCCGCCACTTCGTTAGACTCTTCTTCGACGCGAGCAGAGTCAGTCGGTGGGGGTGAGGCAGTTACCCCCATATGTGTATTGACCCAGACAATATCCCCGTTCTTGCGGAAATAGGGGATCATCTCCTTGAGGCGGGGCACAAAGTCATGGTTCTTGGTGATATAGATCTCATCCTTGACGTAGAGGGAATCATTTTGTAGATTGATGATGATCAACGCCTTTCTGGTCTCGAAGGACGGTATGCTTGAAACCGGGACGTGGCTCATAGAAGTAAACATGTTGGAAATGTACCTTGTCAATGTGAGTGATAAGCTTGTACCGTCCCCTCAAGACAGTATTTGCGATATCACATAGTCAAAGCTTTGCGCTTTATATACCTTCATAAGCAGCGGATACGGTGTTGAGGGGGAGCTGATGGGTTTTCAGCTATAGGGACCTGGAGCAAGTCATCACGAGGCAATAGGGTGAATGCGACTTGGATGAGATTGCTCTGCTTTCAATGCATGATCACATGGTCGTCTTCCATCCGACTCTACTTTGGGAGTTGCAATCTTGTGACATTGATGAGTCAACGGGTATAGGGACAGAGAGGCAGCGGGGAAATGGCAGAAGGGGTTTCCGATTTCCGAAAGAAAGTAAACACCCGTTTGGGTAAAAGAATCTTGGGGTTGTCACGTTCACGTTCCCGTACACGTAACTACTAGTACACGTTCACGTTGAGGAGAGGATTCGTAGATAGAGGTACGAAGGTACGAAGGTACAAATAGGTACTCGTGGACATGGGGACCTTTTGAAATTGGAAGGGAAAAAATGTCGGCAGTCACAGTCGGAAGACCGTTCAGACTTCAGCGGGATCTCAGGCCCACCAGGCCCCGTCCAGTGTGGGGTGAGGGAAAACCAACACCAGCTCCTTCCCTGTCCCCGTTCAAACTCCACCAATCCTCATCGCCGCTGACTTCGCTTTGCATGAAGCTTCGTATGCAGCTTGGTCTGGAAGGCTTGCTCTACGTCAAATTCAATGGGGAACTATGAGCAATCTACGAGCAAACTACGTAGTAGTCCGCAGAAGTCCAACAATCATGTGCTCGCATAGCTGGCATTTCTCGGCGGCTAAAATAATTGACAGCTCATCGCTTTCTTTGCTACTCTTCCGCGAAGCGAAGGGGAAGGTGTGTTCTTCCTGCCTACTGATCTCATCATGCATATATCTCGCTTATGCCTCTGCTTGGGCCTCGTGCTTTACGCCCTCAAGCTCCATCTGCGCGAAGCTTACGCGATCCAACGATATTCTCCTTCACTCCCTTTGCCTATTCTATCAATAATCACTAGCCAATAATCACCTTTCCTTAACGACCTTTGGCACAGACGTCCAAGCCACACCTTGAAGCAGGCACGGCTGCAGCCTGCGGGCTGAAGCCGTCTCGCCGCGGCCCTGCCGCCATCATCATGCAGCGTCTGCGTGAAATCTTATGCCACATCGCTTCGGTGATGCCGTCATTTGTAGAAGCTGGTAATCTTCTGACTCCGGTCGTTCGATTTCGCGGGGCTGCCCTTTACCGTGCCGTTCTTTGTTGCGCTTCTCCTCTTCCTGTTCGGATTTTTTTCTGGGGAACTTGTGGATGTTGCATGAGATTCAGTCTTGAGGGATTTTGCAACTGGCTCACAGTGATCTTCTGACTTGCGTTCTCTTTTCACACCAATTTTGTTCAGAGACTCTGCTGTTAATCGATCGCCATCATCTGACTCGTACTCCCGTTTCAAACCGAGCCTCGGTGGTTCAGTCACGGGGACTGGCAGCGGAGCATTGTCCTCAGTACTGCTATGGTCGACAGTCGTCCGTGCGTCGCCCTTCTCATGCTTGACCGCAACGCCCTTCTCCTTGACATTCTCCTCCTCCGCCTCGACCTGCTTCTTCTCTTCCTCACCCTTGGTAGACTTTTTGGCATTTGAGAAGAAATTTGCAATGTTGTTCTTATTGTCTGTGCTTGCCACGGGCACGATGAATGTTGGAGAATTATTACCAACCTTGCCGACGTCCTTGGTAACAGGGTAGCATTCGAGCTCCCCTTCGAAGGGCTTCAATAGTAACTGAAGGTCCTTCGACCACTCGGATCTGCTGGGATCGAGCCATGTCCGTATCTGATCCGACCCATTCTCCAGGATGACAGGCATTCGATCGTGAAGGAAGGAGAGCTGCTTATTCGAGTCTGTGGTGATGATGGTGTATGTGTAGTGTTTCTCATCAGATCCCTCATACTGAACACAGTCCCAGAGACCCGCAAAACACATGAGCTGTTCGTCCTTGCGCTTTACGTAGTGAGGGATCTTCTCCTTGCCGCCGTTCTTCTTCAGCCATTCATAGAAGCCTTGGGCGACAACAATGCACCTCTTCTTCTGCTTCATCGTACTCCACATACCACCTTTGCTGGCCAGAGAATCGTCACGGGCGTTGATCGTCCTCATCACCGTGCCGTAATCTGGATTTCGTTTTGTCCAGAACGGAATCAGACCCCACTTCATGGATTGAAGCTTGTAGCGTGTCTCCTGAGGATCCTCGAGTTGAGTAGAGGGCCCCTCCTTCTCGTTGGTTGCATCTTCGTGGTGTTGTTCTCTGTCGTGAGGTCTGCCACCTGAACCGTAATCGGGCGCGTCTGCTCTGTAGACTAGACCATGATTGCCAGGAGCAAAGTTGTAAGTCTCGCGTACGTCGTTATCGTCTGGGGCGTCTGCTACAGGCATGTCATGTGCCTGGAGCTGATGGCGGACAAACGATGCCCTCTGGAAAGACGTTAGTTCTGTGAGTAATCAAACCTTCGAGCAGAGGCTTACAATGCCTAAGGCATATCGCCCGCACATGATAACCCTTTCCTGCCTGGAGAAAGCAGGCGTAGCTATTGTGCAAATTCGTACGAGTGTTCAGACGTGTAAAGTCAAGCTCCTCTAGAGTACTCCATGCGTCATCCATCGCCAAAATTTGGCCGAGGCTCAACCGCAAACACATTTATCACGATCATCGCAACAAGCCATTGAACTGTTTGTCCCTATTTTCAAGCATCCAAACCGCGAACATAATTCTCCACCATGTTCGCAAGGGCGTGTCCTCGACCTTTGCGATCGAGCGCTTTGCGTACAGCATTGCACGAGCGCCCAAGATGTCAGTCAGCTTTCCACACCTACTCCTCAAGTCTTACTCGACCAAGAACACAAATGGCGATACGCATACAGTCTCCATGGCCACGAGCGCGACGAAATATTTCAACACGAGAAGCAGCCATCAAGCTCTTCAAAGAATACCCCTTCTCCATGCCCTTCGCCTCCATCCTGTACTCCCCCCATCCTCTACTCACTCCCCCACAAGTCCCTAATACCCTCCCAGAATCCTCTTCGGCATGGGCATGCTCGTCTACGTAAATTACTTCTACCAAACCTACATAATCGCCGACTTTGCCGCCTACCCGGAGCCCGTCGCTGCCAAGTTGCGCCGGGCCCTCTACTATACCAACATCGACTTGCAGCCCAAAAATGCTCTGAAATACTACCGACAAGCACTCAATTTGGCTGAAGAGATGGGTCTCGATCCTTTCAGCGACGAGCTGCTTGGGGTTAAGTTCCAAGTGTCGCATTTTTTCGAGAAGATACACCAGTACCAAAAGGCGATCGATGTGCTGGAGATCGTTCGGGGAGATTGTTTGAAGTGGATGGAGGTATTAGGCGGGAAGAAGGGGAATGAAGGGAAGAGGACGAGGGTCTTGCGGAAGACGATTTCCGTTAGTTTGAAATTGGGGGAGTATTACGCGAATGAGCAGGTTGGGGACCAGGAGGCCGCGGAGGAGAGGTTGGTGTGGGCCGTCACGGCGTTGTTGAAGGAGCAGAGGAGGAGGGAGGATGAGGGCGTGAAGGAGGGAGAGGGCCCGTGGATGAGCAACGAGGAGATTGGGGGATCTCTTGAAGGTGGCTTCCTTTCGCATGCATGCATGTGCGATGGCATTGCTCACTGACACCCGCCGAACCAGCACTCGGCCACCTCTACGAATCCAAAGACCTGCATTTCCTCGCGGCTCCCCTCTTCCTCCAAGCTCTCGGGCTCGCCCCGCCCGGCGGCTGCCACTCCGTCGTCCTGATGAACAACCTCGCCATCTCCCTCGCGCAGCAGAACCCTCCTCCCAGCCTCTCGCCGAACCAACCTCCCGTCTCGGCCGCCTCCCACCTCTCGGATGCTCGCCAGTGGGCTCGAAAGTCCCTGGCGCTCGAGTCTTCGATTAAACCGCCCGAGCGGACCAGGGAGTGTGATGAAGGGTGCGCGGTTGCTACGATTAACTTGGGGGAAATTGCCATGATGGAGGGTCATGTGGATGAGGCGAAGAGGAGGTATGAGGATGGGAAGAATATAAGTAAAGGCATTGGGTTTCGAGAGGGGGTCGCGAGGGCAGACGAGCTTCTTAAGGAGCTCAAGGAGAAGAAGTAGAAGAAACAGCATGAGCATCGGGTATGAAAAGCCGGGCTTTTAGCACTTGCGTTGGAAGAGGCTATTCTTGAATACCGAAGGATGCAGAGTCTCCACAGTATGTCCAGTCCGCAACGCTCATTTGCATGAAGTTTTCCGGGCTAGCTCTGTGGAACAGCCATCTCGCAGCAGCTGGCTTAGCATCTACTTGAAGATTTTCGATGCCATCCTCTAGGATACTTGAACCATATCTTCGACCATCCATCAATTGGTGGTCCCCTCTATTGCCTCGACATAACACCCCAAGCCCTGATCAAGTTATCCGTGTACCCCGCAAACAATGTCTGCCCGTCCGCGCTCCACGCCAGACTTACACACTCCGGCTCCCTGCTCTTCTTGCCCACAGCCGTATAGTCGGGCTTCAACTCATCAACCTTGCTCTTCTTCTCGAGATCGAAGATGATGATGGAGCTCGACGTAGCAGCGCACAGCCAGTATCGGTTGGGGGAGAACACCAGGGCGTGGATCTCGTCGCCGGCGGTCAGGGAGTAGAGGTGCTTGGACTCGTTGAGGTCCCAAAGCATAGTTGTACCGTCTTTGCCGCCGGAGGCGCAGAGGGAGCCGTCGGGGGAGATGGTCACGGTGTTGATGTAACCGGTGTGGCCGATGTGGTCGGTTTGGATGCGGCACGAGGCGAGTTCCCAGACCTGAAAAGTAAGACACTGTCAGCGAAGACGTTTCCAAAAGCAACAAGTCTCGGCAGCTCAAGGCCTTTTCTTTGGTTGTTGTCATCAGTGCATTGGTGATTGTTTGTCTCATTGCTCGAAAGCTCTGAAGTAGCAAATACTTGTAGGTTGCAAAGCATCCTCTGACCGGGCTCCCCTTTTGTAAAGAGCAAAAGACGTACCTTGACAAGCTTGTCCCATCCCGCGCTCACAATGACCGGGTTCTGAGGATTCGGGCTGAACCTCACGCACGAGACCCACTCGGTATGACCCTTGTCGGTGATGGTAAATTTGCAGTCGCCCAGCGTGTTCCACAGCTTGATCGTGCGATCGCGAGAGCCAGAGACGATTTGACGGTTGTCGGCGGAGAAGGAGACGGAGAGGACATCATTGGTGTGGCCGACGAAGCGGCGGGTCGTCACACCCGTAGCGAGCTCCCATAGGCGGAGAGTCTTGTCCCAGGAGGCGGAGAGAGCGTAGGCACCGTCGGAGGAGATGACCTAGAAGACCGAGCGTTAGCACCAGGAGTTCTAGGGACCTGGGGGGAGAGGACGGCATACGCAGTCAGAGACGATGTGGGAGTGGCCGTGTAAGCTCCGCTTTGGGTAGCCGTAGTGCGCATCGTCGCGAGTGAGGTTCCAGATGATGAGGGTTTTGTCACGGCTGCCGGAGAGGAGCATGTTCGGGTTCTCCAAGCTGGTAGCTAATGAGGTGACCCAGCCGCTGTGGCCCTCGAGCGTCCCACGCATAACCAATTGCTCCGCCATGCTGGGCAGATAGAGGATAGTTGCGCTTTCAGGTTTTCGTGAGATGGGTGTAGTACTCGCCAGGTGCAGGTGCAGGTGCAGGTTCAGGTGCAGGTTCAGGTTCAGGTTCAGGTTCAGGTTCAGGTTCAGGTTCAGGTTCAGGTGCAGGTTCAAGATTAAGTAGGCATGGATTGTTCGAGGAAGAAAGTCCGCCGTGTCATTTGTGGGCCGAAGTTTAAGCGAGAGCTTCATGACCATTTTCACCTTTATCATTAAATATTTCTGGTACGTATGTCAAACTACGCATATACACTACGCATGTACTCAGTTTTTGGAGCTGTCTAGCTCTACACATTCATGATGTTATTGAGGGGGGTCAATTGTGTTATTCCAGCCGGTTGAATCTCCATAGCCGTTCGTCGCCCTCTGTCCGAGGACGAGATGGGTCTCGTTGGCAGAATGGAAGATGCACAGCATTATCAATTTCTCGCTCAAGGGTCGCAACCAGAAGACCATCGCAGAGGTACTTGATAATGTCACCTGACTGGCGTCTTTAAAGCGCCGTAGGAGGGGCAGCTTCATTTATTCCGAATGCGCAGAGTAGCTTGATGTTGCATTTGCATGTCGGCTTGGATAAAGGTAACCAGAAGGCTTCAGTCCCTCGAGGTTTCTTTTCACTTGATGCCGCCTTCGTGGTCCGCCTAGGTAGAAGCCCGCGTGCCGTCAATCGCCCTCAAAGTCATATGTACAATAATCCACTGCCCACATTCTTTCTCACATGCCGTCTGCGCCAACCTTATTGGTCTTTGATGATCGAATCCAGCATCGCCTTCCCTCAAACGGTCCCCTGATTTTCCTCCCTTTCCCGCTCAAGCTTCGCGTAGAACAGATCGCGCTTCCGTGTGGCAGGCACGTGGTAGCCTGTACGAGCCTTCAGGGTTCTGTTTATGCCATACAGACAGGAACAGCCTTGCTTGGCGTATACATACCGTACCAGTAGAGGTATCCGAATGTCGTTCCCAGACCTGCTCGGTATCGCATCAGCAAAGCTCCTCCGGCGGTGTCCCGGCCCGTTGTCCAGAGGGTGGATTGAGCTTTAAAGGGGCCAATTGACTGAATGTGGGCTCGGGCTTACCGAAAGCTACGCTGAGATCGAGCACAAGGCCCCGGCGGAGCATCTGTTGCACGAGATCAGCCATCATGTTCGACAAGCCAGGCTTCGTATTTATGCCGGAGAGCGTGTGGCGAGACTTACTCCTTCTATCGGCTTGATAGGCATCTTGAAAGATTCTATCGAGAGTGGTAGAGTCTTGGAGTTGACGAGTCCTTTCGCCTATTCGTCGATGGAAGACAAGAAGGGCTGCGGAGGTGAGAGTTCGTCGTTGCGCCAAGACGCAGAATAAACGCTAGCCCGAAAACGAACGGGTCTTGGCGCTCCTCGGAATACGATTGGCGGAATCAGCAGCGCAAACCACGACGACACTTTGCACACCACCTACAGGTACCTGATCCCCCCGACTCTCGAGCAATCCCCGCTCTAGATACTAACCCCCTACCACCGCCACAATGTCATCAACCTCCTCCTCCTCCTCCCAATACATCTACCCCCCCTCCCTCCCCCTCCCCCTCCTCCGACCTCGACTCCCTCCCCGACTCCGCCCCCAGCGACGACACAACCTCCACCTCCGACGACGAAGGAGAATCCGACGCGGAGAAGGAATGGAAGGAGTCGCTGCAGCAACTCGAGCTCATCCTGACCATGGTGCTCGTGCCGTACGCCGGCAAGTATTTCGGCAGGAAGTGCGCTTATTGGGGTGGGTGTGCCGTTCCCTTGTTCTCTTGTTCCGTTCCGTTCCGCTCCATTACACGAAGGAAGGTGGTGGAAAGGAGAGGGGAGGGAAGGAAAGGAGGCCGATGAATGAATGAATGGGTGGGCGCGGGCTGACCGTGTGCACACAGGCTGGGCGAAATTCATGCAGTGGAAGTACCCCGTCGAGGTCGTCTTCACGAGCAAGAAGACCTTCAAGGCCGCGGGGGCCGTCGAAGCTGCCGCTTCGTTGTGAAAGAGGGGGGGGGGTCCACCTTCCTACCACTACCCTACCCTACCCTACCTATCTACACGGAAAATATTTCCGCCTCGCCTTCGAGCGTACGACCCGTCTCTGCGAGTGGAGAGGCTCGCTGCCCTATGGCATCCATACGTTTCTCGCCATCGAGCGTGCATGATTTGAGCCTTCTCCGCACTGGAAGACTTCCCTGCGCCTCAGCTTTCGGATGCGCGGTTCTACCTCGGCGAGCCCAAAAGAGCGGGAGAGTTACAGCGGCTTCGGAAATGAACACCTGGTCTGTACCAGCATCACGGGCTGTTCTGTTCTATGCTACGAAAGAGATAGGGACGGTCGATCTCAGGCTCAGCGGAGCGTTGTCGGAGTACATACCCTGGTGACATTTTCAGACGACACGTTTGATACAAGATACGTCAAGAGCTTGGGTTGAAGGCTACCGCGTATTTCGCACGGGGATATGTTGCGAGTTTTCTTCAGTACCAGGAGGATTTGGTTAGCTACAGGATAAACTGCATTCTGGGACTAAGTGAAGTGAGTGAGAGTATGTAGGATGCAGAACAAAAGGAGCCTAGAAATTTGTACATTGTATTCATTATCCAAGGCCAGCAATTGCGATGGCCATATCCGTAACCTTTTGAGCCCAGCGACCAAGCCCATGCGGTGCAAAAAGCCAAGGTCTAAATACAGTTGCCCGCCCATGATAGATCTATCAGCATTATACTACACCTCGGTCGTCGGACATGAAATTCGTGAATTTATTCGTTGGAGAACATGGCATCAAAGATTGTCTGTTCCAGAACCTTGGGCAAGAAGACTCCTATGGGACTGCTTCGGTCCAGCCTTGAGGTCGACTGCAGAGTCCAGATCTCATACCAGGAAAAACAGACGCAGGGCTTTGTCAACACAAGACCCCTGTCTACGATATAAGCCCAGGTGGTACCGTTATTGAACCCGGTGCTGTTATGGAGAATCCGAGCCTTCCAACTGGCTCTTCCAGCAACGGAAGCGGTCCCTGTCCCTTGTCACATGTACAAATCCGCGGTAATCGGACCCCCCGGAGTCCTTTGGCTCCAAGTTCTCTGACAACTCCTTGCACAGGGCCAACAGTGCTTGAACTGTACCAAGCAAACAATGATAGGAAACACAGAATTATATGGAAAGACACTTGTAGTAGAACAAGGGTGAACGGGCAAAGGCGCAAAATGGTTATCTCAGTGTGGCATGATTGGATCCGTTCCTGCAGGTCTCGCGGAAGGTATTGGGACCTGGTCGCTAACCCCGGCCAGGGCAAGACAGAGATAGGAATCTCCTAGATGATTGTCAGTTAATGCTCAGTAGTCAAATGGCGGGTATGGCTGACCTTAGCAGACTACATCAACCGATCTCTTCGTAGCCAAAGTCGTTCTCCTGAGATGATCTATAGAATACAGGATCGTGATGCCCAGGGCCATACTCTGGTGTCAGGGGCTCAGTCCATGGAGTGCTTGGAGTCCGCTTATCATGCCACTCCATGGGAATGTCCTCCGGTAGCCTGTGAGTGCACTAGGTACAGTCATAAGCGTGTTGAAACCCAAATTCGTCACCAGTGGATCACGTGCCTTGGTCTTCTTTTTCTTACAATTAGCGCAGGCGCCTCCTGGGCAATCTCTTACCGCCTTCGCGTGGGCCTTCCCCGCATCTGTCAAGGTTCTCGGTTTCCGAGGCTTGATTGTTCTAGGCTTCCTCTTGCGCTTTTTGGCGAGACCCTTGTTCGCAGCATCATCGTTGGCATGGACAGTCACTGGGCTATTGGGGGCGTTAGCTTCAGCTGACTTCCGGAGAGAAAACCTGGTCCTAGGCTGTCCTAAAAACGGAACGTCAAGACGGCCATTGTGAGGAGCAATACGCCTTGTGTCCTGGGTGGATAGCTGCCGGTTGGACGGGATCTCCTCTTCAGTTGGCCGTATGAAGTAATTCTTGGCCTCTTGAGGTCTCCAATCCGCGGTTAAACTGACATCTCTTTGGTAGGGGTGGTAGACTGAACCGCCATCTGTATGGGGGTGATTACCGCAATTGGCACAAAGGGTAGAGGGATCCAGATATGGAGAACTCAGAGCATCATTGAAGGAGGCAGACATCTGTGCAATTGGTGAGACATTTGGTCTCCAATCTGTGTTCGAGCCGTATGGGCTGATGGAATCCGGATACCGCTGTCTGGGATCTGAGATGGGTTCGCTTCTTGCATGCATGAGATCCGAGATCCCGCCCTCTTGGTTTCTACGTTGGGATCTTTCTTGGTATGCCCAGCCAACGGATCCGTAGCCGCTGGCAATAACTTGAGATAAAGCATTGCCAGAGTAAGCGTAGTACTTATCTGAGGTCTCCGGACTGGTGACAACGTATGGACTATGAAACGGGCTGACTCCGAGACCAGGCTGGAAACTAGGCACCTCCCCTCCGAGAGACCGTCTCCTAGTGTGGGATCCATGGTTTGTATGGACCAGAGAGGATAACATGGGCTTGTATTCATAAGCTTCGCGCCTCTCAGGTGGGTTATATGGCCGATCCTCATGAATAAACTCGCCACCAGTGTATCTTTGTGTTCTAGGTCCGGGATATCCATAGCCATACATGTCACACTGCTGCCTTTGATCCATGAGCCTCGCAAAGAATCCCGTGAATGACTTTGTAGAAATGAAGGAAGTAACTCCAGACGCCGGTATCATAAGTTCGATTGGGAAAAATGATGATGCCGGGAAGGACGATCCTCAATTGACTTCAAGTACGATTTCCTCTGGCATCCCTCAACTGGCAAGCCTCAGACCAAAGCACGTGGAAAGAATGGAAGTCCGGACGTGAGTTACGGCCCGATGGTAGACCGCCTAAGGACCGCCCTTTGACTCGAGAAGCATGAGATTTCCAAGGGATCCTGCCTTTCCCGGGACCAGGTAGAAGAGTCCTCGCGGAAGCGGCGCGGAAAGTCAGCAAAGCTGTTCAATGATCGATCCGGAAAGCAGGAAGGCAAGACCTCCAATTGGCGCTTGGTGATTGCAAAGATCCGACGCCTTGTCAGATCCGGTTAAGGTACTGTGATACCCAAGCGGAGCGTTTCTTGGTGCTCCCGTCTCCTTATGTGATTGTATCAGGCCTGTCCCTGGAGGTTTTCTCGTCCGGCTCTCCTTTTGCGCTGGCCGGATTTAGTCCTGACCTGGTGGCTAGAGTGCCTGCTCAGACTTTGGGCCGTCGTAACGTTAGATATATCTTTGTCTGGTTAGCTCGGAGGGTTTGGAGACCAAGGCTGGATTGGAACCAGGTGGCCAGCTACGCACAAGGTTCTCCTTGGGCCGGGGCAGTGTCCGACCAAAAAAAAACAATTGAGTTGTTGATGGAGTATACACCTGGGAGGATATCCAGTGGTACGGAAAGTTGAGAGAAAAGCGGGGGCCACCATTTCTACCTCGGATGATAAGTATCCAACTCACCGAAAGCATACCGAAAGTGCAGGCAAATTCAAGGCAGCAATTACTAGTAAATGATACACAACGCTATCACGGTGACATAGCGGCAAGTGTACACCATTCCCATGAGTGGTGAAGGTAGGATGTCAGAGAAATTGGCCATGATTGGCTCACTTGGCGATGTATAGGCATTGCTGCCCAAACTTAGCGGTCACTGCGGTCAGTGAACCGTCTGTTCGTTGGCCACGTGTAGCCGCTCTTCTGCACCCTCTTCCTTCACTCAAAGGTCAATTGGCTGTCAATAACTTCCTGCTTGCTCCTTGGTCTTGAAAGAGGGTCGAAGGGCTGCTGGAAGTGGAATGAAGGAGGGTTGGGGCGGCAGAGCCGCGCTTGGGATAGGTGAGATATCGTCTAGGTAGATGAGTAGAGTATAAAGAGGATCAATGCACATGGTTGTGGTTGTATGAGACAGTGCCCCTGCGCCTGCTGCGATACCGAGGTGAAAGAGTGTCGTTCCGTGGAGGTAGGTCCGTATCTCGAAGGGTCCACCCGGTCTGCGACTGCCGAAAGCTTGGCAACGGGCATCTTGCGGCCAATAATTCATTGGCCAGACCTTTCTTTTTTGAAGCAGTGTCTCTCGAAGAAGGCTACAAGCAGTACCTAGCATGAAAACGGTGAGTTCTTTACTTAATGATAACTTTGATTCGCCGATATCTTTCGAGTCAATGAAATCCCGAAGCAGGGAAGAGAAGTTGGCATTCGTCAATAATGTCAAGGATTACTCCTGCCAATTAGAGGAAACTATCGAAACTACCTATGACCGGCAGTCTCCAACTCCTCGCAAACAATCAATCATCGCGCCACGCACTGGACTCCTGCCTCACCAAGTTCACATCATCATTCGTGAATTGAAGATTACTGATTTTTATATTGCTCCTACTAATAGCCCGTTATACACATGTACACATGATACCTGCCAACTCTGCCAAACACGCGTGAGCCAAAACCACACGCCAACCCCCAATCGCCGTCCGACGTGTAAGACGGCGAGCGCGGAAAGGGAGGACGCAGGTCGAAGCAGCTAAGGTTAAGACGGCATTGAGCGAGGAACATGACGTAATGACGTCGAGAGAAGGGAAGTTATAGTCGAAGTGCGTTCAGACTTTCCCAGGACCTATCGCATCAATTAGTCTTTGATCGACATTGCAGTGGCAGCAATGGACATGAGCGCATGCTGCCTACCATTGCTCTAGACCTGGGACATAGCGGGCCCACCTCTTCGGATGCCGCGCATGCCCGTTGTCGTCCCACCACCCCTTGCCGACAGCCCCGAGAACACCAAGCTTCCCAGGAACGCGGCGAAACCGAACCAGAGAAACGCAGTCGCCGCTTGAGCTTCTTGGCACCTCTTTGTATCGTTGTTTGATCCTCGAGTGACCTCGTTGGTCGTGATATAATTCTATGGCCAACGGTCAGCATACGTTCGAGATCGCTTCCTTGCTCTTTGCCCCTCGTGCTTACCTGGTTGTGGCAGCTGTGCACGTTGAGGTAACCGGCAAGCGCGATACCACCAACGAGGAAGAAGAGGGTGTTGAGTGCATCCGCTGCGATCATGAAGAATGGCGAGATGGCGAAGGTCTCGCTGATGGTCCCCGCAATGAGGTAGAATAGCGACAGCATGCCGAAGACGGAAACGAACATGACATAGTTGACGATTGATGGATTGCCGCCGTGTGCATCAGCGATCATGTTTCCGACGAGCGCCATTATGAGAAGAGTCCAGAGGAACTGTGTGGAGAAGGATTCAGTCAGTACTTAGATCGTAGTGCGATTGCGACTATGGGTGACTGTGAGTGATGGTGGGTTGGCGCTCACCTGGAGTCCTCGAAGGGACAAATTGATTATCGATGCCATTGTGGAGGATGTAGGTGGATTTTGATGACGAGAAGGAAGGCTTCAGATGAAGGCAATGTCGGAGGCGATTTCGAAGGAGACGTTGAAGAGGTAGAGACGGGTGGGAGACGTTGGTAATATATGCGCTGGTTGGAGCTGTCGGCAGCGTGCCGGAAGCTCGAGGATTTTGACATCAGATGATGACGGAAGACGCCGACTTTTTTTCATCTTACGTCAGCGGCAAATTCCCGGAGCTTGCTCATAAATCTTGATTGAGGTACGGAGGTCTGCACCAAAAGTCCTGCACCCGCCAAGACTCTAACGCCCCATCCAAAGGGCTACCTGGACGAATGCGCTTGAAGTTCTTCGGAATGGCACCTAGCCCCAGCCAAATTTCGGGGCTTCATGCCCCTATCAAGCCTGAAAGAAGTACCTAAAGTCCCATCTATGTGCTGTTGGAAGATATTTCTAGGCTCCCCCTCTACAGGGTCGCTTTCCGAAACTAGGGTTAGGGCTACCACTAGCGCGGGAGCAGGACTTTTGGTGCAGACCTCCGTAACTCCGTAGGAGCCGTCGGTGCATATTCCGGAATCTTGGCCCGGATGGAATTCTACTCTTTACAATGGAGAAGAAAACAAAAAGTGGGTAGAGGAACACGTCATGATGGAAAACATGATGGAATTTAAAAGCACGTGATATGACTGCTTGGTACGAGTAAGCGATACGAAAACGAGATGTTTCCGCAGGCATAGCAATTGCCACTGTTCGTCTGGGCGAATTTACCTAGGCCATTTTGCATCGAGTATCGATCCATCGGTGATCTACATACTTTACTCCATATACCTAATTACAACTCTCAAAAGCTCATATTTACCGGCGGCTCCACCACAAGCGTCCGAACCCTCTCTCCTGCAGTTCACGTTTGGCCGCTCCATCCATCGTCACTCCCTCGCCTTCACTCGTAGAGCTACCGCTACTGACCTGTTTGGCCCTTGACCCATTGCCAACGAATCTGAGCAGTAATGTCATGGCGAACGCACTCAGTATGGACAAGCAAAGAATGCCAACCATAACCAGCGTGCTCTTCCGATACTGCTTCCTCCCAGGCTGGCTGTCTGCCGGCCAGCCGGTAAAGAGGGCGTACGTGGTCAGGATCGATCCCAGGTTCCCCAGTCCGGATACCAGTGCGGAAGCAGCCGCGACGCCGACTTCGCCGTGACGGGGCTGGAAGATCTCGTTGGTCCATGTCATGGTGATGGGGACCGTTGGTCCGAGTCCGAAACCGACCATCAACAGACCGCCGTACCGTGGCCAGGGATTGGCTTCGCTGCCTCCGTAGGTGGTCAGGAGTAGTCCTGCGATCTGGATGCAGACGGGTACGCTGAAGAATAGCGCACGGTGGTGGTGGAAGCGATCCGAGAAAGGCGTGACTAGAAGGATGGCGATGAGATCCATCTGTGTTGGATCAGCAGGAGTCACATCCACGTCAATATGGAGTGAACTTACAATCCAGATTGGTGCGGTCAGCAAACTGAGATCGATGCTTGTCAGTTTGGAATTCGTGGACTGGATGATGACCGTAGCATAATTCTGAACGCCTATACCCACGCCAACCACTCCAAAGTACATGAGCAGAAGCGGCCATACCCGCCAGTCGATGACTACGTGCCATAGATCCTTCACACCCCAGCGAGATCGATGATACACCCGGGTCAAATCACGATAATGGATCAACGCATCCTCACCCGTCAAAGCAGGCCTGCTTTGCGGGATCCATTTGTGCCAGCCACTCCGGTCCGGGACTTCTCCTGGTGGTAAGGGCCGGTCTGGAAGCCACCATAGCAAGCTGAAGCCTACGAGGATCCCCACAAGACCGTAGAGCAGAAACATCCATTGGAAGCCCACGAGACCTCCTAGCCCGTCCATCTTCTGGAATCCGGCCGACACCAGACCAACTACGGCGGCTGAGACCTGAGCGGCAGTGAAGTACTGACCGATTCGTTTGCCGGTGCGTGATGGTGGGTAGAAGAGGGTTAGATAGTAGGCCATGCCGGGCCACATCCCTGCGATTACGATGCCGAGGAGCAACCGCAGAAGGTACAAGCTCCAGGCAGCTTTCATCGCAGCCATGCAGCTCCCTATGATGCCGACACCGATCACGATCCGGCTCATCCAGACCCGGGGGCTCAGTCGCGTCATGATGAGGTTGGACGGAAAGTCGAAAATGACGTAGCAGACGTAGAACAGCGCCAGACCCGTAGAGACCTGCTTCGGCGTCAAGTGCAGGACCTCTTCCAGGTCGTGGTGCTGCGCCTCGTTCATGGTCTGCGCGAGACCGACGTTCGATCTGATGGCGGAGCACAGGAAGTAGAGCACCCAGAAAGCTGGGAGCGGTCAGTTCCGGCGTGGGGGAGGGAGGCTCCGGTGGATACATGCCTGGGATGATTCGGTGGTCGAGCTTCCTGGTTGCAATGGACGATCAATTGAGGTTTTCAATATCAACATTTGGCCTTAGCAGAGCTCACCTGTAGACCTTCTCGATCCTTTCGATATCAACGGTCTCGATCCCGGCCTCGGGATCCTCCCCCACCAGGCCGGAAGAAAGCTGGCCCACCGTCGGAGCCTTCTCCTCCATAATTTGAGGCTTGCGAATGGGTAGAGTTTTTCGTTTGTCTTTGTTTTCTAAAACATAGATAGAAAGGATAGAATTTCCGATCGTCAGCCGATCCACTGCAACGATCCAATCTGCCCGGGAAACCGGGGGAAAATTCTAGGGTAGAAGAGGATCGATGACTCGCCTGCCCCCGCTGTAAGTACACAATCAGTCGCATATGCACGAGGCACTGATTTCGGTCAAGCGGGCGACATGGGAAAATAGGGAACTATCACTATTACTCAACGGCGATACCGGAGACTTGCGGGAAACCGTTGCGCTGCGGGGACCTAAGATTAATTATTATAAAAGAGGTTTGACCGAAAATTCAAAATGAATTGGCCCTTTTTTCCCCCTTTTTTCCCGGGGCCTTTTCTTATTCCCCCCCGCGGCGACATTTGCATCACGGGTACGTATACGATTTACGAGTGCTGTCGCTTCCTCTTCACGACCTCCTGTACGTAGGATTTTGGCGTCTGCTGGATTATGGATCGGTAGTGACGTCGATGGAGGAAGGGGAGCTGGCTGCTTGGCCCCCCCCTGTGCTGCCGCGTCCGAAACGAGGCAGGTGGTGCCGGGTGGAGACGGCCGTTGCCGCTGGAGGGTTTTTCTTCTTCGGGGCTGGCGGGGCTGCGAATGGCTGCCCGGAAAGTGGACGATATGTGAATGCTGCATCGGATTGGCGTAATGGCATTGGGGATCGTTGTGCATTCTTTTGGAATGAGGCTTTTCTGTTGTGTGAGGAATGTAGATGCCTTACGAGTGATGTATGGCCTTGTGCAGGGATTGAGACGTGGCGATGATGGATGATGGTACTATTTGCAATGAATAATCTACAAGATTGTTTTCCCCAGCCCTCAGAGTGCAAAAGGGGTATTTAGCAATCACTCAACCCAACACCATCCCATCTCTCTTCCCACAGCACTCGTTCGAGATATACGTAATATTACAAGGACACTGATAAGGCTCGCCCCGTCCATCCAGATACCGCGATGAAGGAATCATCTCTACCACTGATCCCCGTAATCGCCAGCGCCAGCACCAGGCAGACCGAAACGGGCGCAACGGGGTCCAAACCCAGCGTCTTTGCATCCTGCGCCGAGGGAATGGCGCAGAAGCAGTCGTCCTCGGCGTCACCCGGCCCGCAGTCGGAGGGGGCGCTGCAGTACTGGCCGCATGTTGTCAAGTTGTGCGAAGATGCTGGTGGATCCGCATCCGCGACGATCAATGTTGCGTTGGGCGGAGCGCGCGGGATCGGGCCCAGGAGATCCGTAGGCCAGGTCGCGGGACAGAATTGCTTGCCGTCGGGACCACAGGTACCTGCCGGGGGGGGTCGGCGAGAGGCGGTTCGACGGCGGTTGAGGAGGGAGGATCTGCATCTCGCCCTGCTGGGAATCTGTGGCGCCGAGCGTCACGGGAGCCGTCGCCGTGTTGGGCGAAGGATTGGCCGGCGACTCTGTTCCAGAGTACGGAATTGAAAACGTCCGCCGCGGGGCCCTTTTTTCTGCGGGACCCCGTTACAGGCACACAATGGCCAGCAATAGGTGCGGATTGCGGCGGCGAAGAAGAAGTTGGGGCCGTTGAAGGTCCAGTCGTGCCGCGGGGTGAGTTCGTCGGAGAAGAAGACCGTTTTGGAAACACCGCCGCCGGGCAGATCGGAGCGGTGGCAGTATCCTCCGGCATTTGCGCCACTGGACAGAGGATGTGGTGAGCGAGGGCTGGAAACTCATGTGGGCGTGAGGGAGTGGAGCACTAACCTGTTGCCGCCGGAGAATTGCACTGCGCACAGCTCCTGCAAGGTGCTGAAGTCGGAAACCCGGTAAGGCGAGGGGAACGGAAATCTGGGCAGGGTACCATGGCATTCAATCTCATTTTCGGCATTCATGCTTGAATAAGTGAAGCGAGGGTGAGTGTTGAATTTGTCCTCGGTATAAGCCAGCTGGCTCAGAGTCTGTAGTTCGTAGACTTGGACATCGCTCGTACCAGCTGTTCCCTTGTGCGAAATCTGCGGTGCATCGACCGTGCTGCCAGGCTCCGCCGATCCCAAATTCGTGGTCCAAGCCACGTCAAAATCATCGACTATCTCGACCTGCAGCTCGTACGTCTGATCAGACTCCCAGACGTTTGTATTCGGGACTGCTCTCGGCTGGGCTGCGTTAGGTCCCAAGTTGTAGTTGCAAAAGCAGCGGTAGGAGCATCCTAACATGATGCGGGGGTTCGCCAGAACCGGATTGATTTGTGCGGCCGCGCTTAGGTCGAAAACCACTTGGTTGGAATAGCGGCCCCATTGGCATCCAGCCACCGACATGTTGGCCGGGTGGACCACCGCCGAACTGCGTCTTGGCGCAAAGCTGCTGCATGCTGACGGTGTTGGGGTTGAAGCCCGCGCTGATGGGTAAGTCCAAGTCATATTTGTCTCCGACACACGTTATGTTATTGGTTGGGTCGGCATTGGCTGGATCGAGGTTGTCAGTTTGAGAGGAGGATAAGCTTGCATCATCAGCATTGGCCGCAGCAGGTGATGAACTTCCAACGTCGATTAGATTAAGATTGTCTATCGCAGAGAGTGAGCTTCCAGTATTGCCTGCTGAAGCGTAAGGGGCGTAAACGACAAGGAAACAAGAAGTAAAGAATGCAAGATACTCCGATATAGAGGGAAGACCGCGGGAAGTTGGTATCATGTCCAAGTACCCTGAGATCATTGAATAAGTATGAATTGCACAGCGGCGTAGTAAAAGAGTGATGCCTTGATAGTTCGATCATGACGCCGGAACAGCTGGTTCAAATGAAAAAATTATCCATACCCCGGGCTTTGACGCACCAGTGTTGCAGCTATTGAACCAGCAGCTGAAGCCTAAGAGTGTTTTTGTCCATACTCCCGGGTTTTACCCAACCGTGTTGCAGCTGTCAAAGCGGCTCTGTTCAAATGAAAAAATTCTCCATACGGCGCTGTGGAGCCAAGAGTGTTGCAGTGAAACCCGCTGAAACCTTTTGGGGAACTTTGTTGACGTGTTTCATTCTTGTATCCTTTCTGGCATCTGAGTTTCGTTTGTTGGAATTGAGACGGTAAGCAACGAAGCACGACGGTCAGATCGAGCGAAGAAGAATCCGGTGTGATTGAGACGATGGAGGTCAAAGCACCACGGCAAAGTGCTATTATAGAAAGCCTGATTTCTGTCGAGCCTTTGTAGTCCACTTCGATTGAGTCTTGTATGCGAGATTCGTTTATTGCTACGAACGTGAAATCTTGGTGTGAAGTGGAATTCAGCGCTTGTTGGGTAAAAGAGGGGCTGCCCGAAAGAATCTGGAAGAAAGGGGGAAGGGCTGCATGCAATTTGGTTTGACTTGGTCGGTCCAACGTTTTGGACCCAAGTCTCCTTAATATAACCCAGCCGCGGAGCATTCTTTGGGGTTTTTGAAAAAATTTTTTTATTTTTTTTTTTTTGGAAATTATTTCTCTTAATGCTATGCCGTTGGCGCGACATCATGGGGTGGAGGGGGAACTTTTGCGAGTGGTAAATGGAGGTCAAAGCACCACGGCAAAGGCTATCATGAAAGCCGATTTGTCGAGCCTTTTAGTCCACTTCGATTGAGTCTTGTATGCGAGACTCGTTTTGCTCGCGTGAAACTTGTGTGTGGTTTTGTTGGGGCTGCCCGAAAGAATCTGGAAGAAAGGGGAAGGCGGTTTTTTTTTTTTTTTTTTTTTTTCCCTTTTTTTTCCCCAATTTCTTTTTTATTTCCCCCCCCCGGGGGGGGTTTTTTGGGCGGATGTCGCTACGATGGCAAACATCGTGAACTATGCGATCCTCTTCGACGTATGATCGTTTTATGTCTGGAGCGTTTCAGATCCTCAGAGACGCCATCCTCCAAACCCTGGCAGCCGTAAGTATTGGAGAAACCTTTCGGAAACGAATAGCCTGCTTTGGACTTGGTATATGAATCACTTTACTTGAGTAGCGCTTGAAGTTTGCGATTGATGGAGAACGGTGCTTTGTAGAGGTGGACTGCAAAGGTATTAGTAGTAATAGGAAGACGTGAATGACGAAGAGGCGTGAGAATCTTTTCAAATCTATCATGCGGTCTATACTTATCTCGTCTGGCTGGCTGGCATTGAATGTTCCACGTCTTCAAATGGCAAAAAGAGGAATAGGAACCTAGAGTCGCCACAGCCAAAAGTGGAAAACCTTCGTAAGGCTTTGCGACCAAACGACCCAAAAATCATGATCGCCTCTATATCTCAATTCTAGGAACGAGCAAACTCCGTTTGTAGCTAACGCCGCCGGTTTCACCACTAATACTGCTGCTGACCACCCAAATCGCGGCCATAACTCTAATAATGCCGCTCGTCGCCCATGTATCATGTATAGTCGCTCTTCTACCCGCGGAACGACTCGTAGCGGTTAAGAGCGATATCCGACGAGTGAGAAGAGTTGGCGTTGAGGGCGAGGCGTCGTTTCTTAGCGCCGAAGAAGACAACGAGGGCGGTGATGACCAGGATCGTGACGGCGAGAACGGCGACGACAACGGCGCCGGTATTAGAGTCTGCAAGAACAAAGCCGCTGGTTCAAGGGGCATATCAGTGGGATTCGTGCTTCGCGGAGTGCCATGGAAGCGCTCAGTAGGGCGTGGAGGAGGAAGAGGGGGGCAAAGTCGAGGGAGCTTACAGCACGGCATTGACCATTCCGAGCAGGACGACTGATCTTCCAGACCAGAGATGCAAATGAGAGACCGTGGTGCGCTGTCCAAGCTTCTTGTAATTACGGTGGTGGGAATAGCCGAAATAGATCTGGGGGAGTAGCACGGCGACGGCAATGATGCCTAGGATCTGATGCGTCTGGTTGAAAGAGGCGTATTCGGGATCCAAGACGCTCAAGCTAATTGCGCAGATCAGGCCGACGAGACAGATCGCGCTGGCGGCCACCTGGAGCATCCAGTGGAACTTGAACGAGCCGAACCACCGCAGGAGGATCACCCCGAGGGGAAATAGGAGGAAGAAGGAGCCGGCGAGACCGATGGCATGGATGACGACCAAAGCGGAGAAAGCACTTGACAATGGTTTGGTGTTCACGTTGGATGTTCCGGAGATGTTGGGAGCGGTCGTTGGTGAGTCGGATCGGGCGGCCGTCATGTCCGCAAAGAAGTTTCCTGTGGGGAGAGTTCAGTCATGACAGGCAATGATTGGCATGCATCACCCGTGCATTACCTACCATTATTTGCGTGTTGGTTAAAGTTGGCGGATTGGGAAGCAGACACCAAAGAGTCTCCCGGCCCAACTGCCCAGATCCATGGCTGCTTGGTCGAATTCACGTCTATGGAGCTGCCCGAAGACCACTTGGTACAATTGTAGCATACTACATTGGCTGTCATGGTAGAGTTCTGGATGGTCGTAGACAAGACGACGAGATCGATGTCGTTGGTAGCTTCTGGCGTGTTATGACCGCTGGCAGGAGGATGAGTAGGATGATACAACCTGATCTGAGGTTCCAACTCACTGGGCAGTTCTAACGCTAACGGTGACACCTATTGGATTTGGTTGGTTAGTTTGGCCAAACATGGTTACTGAGTATCTACCACTTACTTACCATTGTCTTTGCCAGATGCGTATATAACAAACATCAACGATCCGTCCATCCGAGTGCCTGAACCGACCGCACCCCAGCCAGCAGCCTGGGGGGCGGACAATTGAAAAAGAAGATTTGTGGAAGATGAATTTGGCGCACTGGAGACAGCGAAGCCTATCTTGGAAGAGGAGTCGTAGAACTGCGCATCACTGGCGAGGGCAGAAGGTGGTAAAGCTGGGGAAATTAGATCAGCTTTGTCTTCCTCTCCAATCGCCCTCATTCATCCCAATGGTTTTAGTGAGGCTTACTGAGGAAACGCAAAAGCGTTAGGGCAATAAATGAAAATACCCGGCTGCATGCGCTAGATTGGAGGTCATGATGCATCGTGTTGGAGAGGAAATGCAGACAAACAAAAAGCGATATGCTAGATTAGGAACTCTCAGTTACAATCGTGTGAAAAATGAGTAAAGTATCATGTCATTTATTGAAAAGAAGAGGGAAAGGGATAGGAAGGGCGGTGCTGACAGCGCTAGGTGTGCAGATTCGACCAATCAGAGAGGCGCCATTGTCAGCTTTGCCAGGAACAGCCGCTTTCGCATTACTATAATCATGAATCAAGATATACTATGCCACACTTTGCTTTTCCTCTCGCCTTGCATCTGCCATTCCTTGACGTAAAGACGTCAACCATGGAAGGCCATGTTTCTCCTCGGACGATGTCGCCAATTACAAGGTTCAATTGCTTATTAGACGTTGCATTTGACCACCCACATTACGTGGACTGTCGTCTCTTCACGTTGCTGAAGTCATAATGGATCTTGGTACGCTGCACTTACGGCGAAAAGGCAACTCGACGGTGCCTGAAAATGTCCATCTTGCTGGCGGTGCCGAGTCAAATTTGGGAAGAGTGAGAGGATAAGAGGCCCATCCAGCACAAAATCCAGCAGCGCCCATCGAAACGGATGAGAACATGGACGCGCTGATCGAAAACAGTGCGTAGCCTGGGCTAGATCACAAGTTGCAGCCACGGTTTAGGATGAGGCTGCTGGATGTCAGATATATAGTGGCACCAGTGGGAAAAGAAGCATTTTTCTCTATATGCACTCAAAGATCATTTGATTCTTGAGACCTGATATCCGCGCCATTACGGTGTAAAAAATAGCTTGGTCATAGCTACATCTCCATTGCAGATGACGAACATCAATGCTGTCTTGCATTCTAGCACTTCCTTGACGCCTGTATCCATCCGAGAGTGCCCGAGAAGTCCCACCCTTTCAATCGGGCCTGACTTGACTGCCTGAAGTAGCCCCAAATGTCAACTCCAAATTCGGTTCAATACCCAACTCTGATCCTTCAGCGTCTTCCTTCCTCGCATTCCACTTTGTGTTTTTCTTAATACTATTCTCTGCCTAATGAGCTCTCTGCCTATGTTCATTGGCTGTGGCTCTCTCCAGAAGCTCTTCTGCCGATCTATCGGGGATAAATCTTTCCAATCGATAATCGTATGAAATAGAGGGGGAAGTCGGAAGAAAAAAGGTGGTGGAAAGATTGATAGCAGTCATTTCATAAGAAGAGCCAGAATGAGCAGCGCACCGCTTTCCTTTATACCCGTCACGCCCGCCATGTCCCAGATCATCTGGTTGGGACTGTAGCTAGCGGAAGCGATGGCGCGCGCAAGTTCTTCCATGTACCTCGGTACCGCTCGAGGCGCCAAGACCACACTCTAAGCAAAAAGGAGCAAGTCTTGCCGAGCCATTACTTTGGGTGGAGATTCATCGCCGTCATTGTCCATTTTCCCTCTCGATACCCAATTCCTGATTTAGTTCGCCTGAATGTTCGCTCGGACTGTGCATAGAGCATTGCTCAGGCCCGTCGCCGTTGCCAGCCGCCGCAGCGTAGCAACATTAGAAGGAAATCCTTACATCGTACGTCTACCAATCTGTACCCAGCATCTCATACTCACAGTTTGACCAGTATGTCTTTCCAGACGACCGATCAATCAACAGCCATATTCTATCTCTTCTCTCCTACGCTCCTCCCAGAGCCGAGCTTGCGGTCGGCACCACTACCAAGCTTCCCCCAACACCAGACTCGTTCACCGAGAACCACAGATTTCTCGACATCCTGCAATCCGTCATTGCACAGCATGCATGTGAGGATGTGAACGTCATATCGCAAGCACAAGCAATGGCCTCAACCTCCGGCTCAAGTCTCGGCTCCGGCGGAGCTTTCTTCCCACAGCAGCAGCAGAAGAGACGGGGGACAGCGTACGGCGGCGGCGGCGGGACTGGGGGGGACGGCGCTGGGGGAGCGAGTAGCCAGGGTGGTGCTGGTGGCGGTGGACGGGGTGGCTATATCCACGTCTACGACGAGAGGCATCCACCAGACTTCGGTCGGATACCGGACCCCGAGGATATCTTTGGAAGCCTTGAGGTGGATGGGGAGGGGAAGTTTGTCGATGGACATGGGAGGTATCAGAGTTCTGGGAGCTATAGGGTTGTTACAAGAGATGGCTTGTGAGTTCAATGTCTGCCCTGACCGAACCATGGTTGACGAAGATCCAGCTTGGGTCTAAGTCCTTTTCTACGACAAAAGCTGGTAGAGAGACTGAAGCTGGAGGATGCTAATTTGAGGTGACTATGTGGCATTGGACAAACGCATCGAACGTGCAAGAGGATCTTTCACAGCAATTCTTGATATCAGTGGCTTCGAGGGCCTCGGAGCGGCGCCCGGCCAACACTCTTCTCAACAGCATATTCGCTTCCACATCGCTCCATCTAAAGCCTTCACGTGGGCTCGTTAGGAAATCCCGGACATCCAACGCTCTTTCCCCAAGCTAAGGCTAGGATAATTCTGCCACCACCAAAGTCGGATGTTGTGCGGCTAATGATTTGAAAGATACAACGAGTTCGTCTCGATTGTATAGATCTTGATGAGCAGTGCTGGCTCGAGTGTGGAGATGCCTCCGAAATCCCACGCCTTTCTGCTTCGAGATCTCTCAGTGGGCCAACCAGCAGCTATGTGGAGATCCTATCTCCGAGGATGCAGCATCTTCGAACCATCAATCTGGTATACAGTAGCCAAGGGTACGAGGTAGATTCTACACCATTGATGAAAATGAAACCGATGCCCAGCCAATATTCTTTCCCAATGGACATCATGATCATCAAGCCAATAGCCATTCTTCAAGCCTTTCTATGCTAGATGCGGTAAACCATTCCTGGTTGGGCGATATTTAGGACTCCCTGTGACATTCACCAAGGGAAGCGACTGTTGAGGCATTCAGATAAGGGCATGAACCTTGTAGGGCCGTTAAAAGGTCGATGAATTTCGGTTCGAAAGACTTGAACCATTGAGGCTCCCATGTCTGATGCCAGCGCCATGGTATGGGATGAGTGGAAGTGCAGGTAGACCGCCTCTCCAGGCTACGTACAAGCTTTGCATGCACCACTTCCCACGTCCATCCCAGGATTTAGCGTGTGCAAACCCGTTTTCCAATTTCTTGGCATCACCAATCGTTCCTTCGTCCACCGTAGATCTAGTTCCAAGAGAAACCTCCACCTACTACTTGACTTATGACAACTACCCGTTTATTGTTATGAAAGTAGGAAGTTGGAATAAGAAGATATATATGGGTTTTGCAGACGCTAAATGGGTTCACTGCTAAGGTACTTTAGGCCCCGGGAGCCACAGGTATCTGCCGACATTAGCGGCTAAGGTACTTACCTTAAATATTGTAGGGGTAGCTCCAGCCACAGGGCACACTTATCAACTAACTTGAAAGTGACTCGACTTTCCCATTCATCTTCAACGCACTTTACCCATCACGCATATTTCCCTTACCTCTCCGCCTCACCACAACCTTGCTCAAATCCTATCAAACTTTCTCTATCGCTATTTTGGATATCTTTCCCACCACACACCGACTTTCATACGTCAATTCGGAAATCTTCGCTCTCGACACCGGTCAATAGACACAGACTTCCGTACCCTCACCTTCCGCGACCTTCCCCATTCCCAACCACCCAGAATTCATTCTGACCACAAAAGAAAGCTGTATGAGGCTATACACAATAACCAAACTCCCTCCTGAACCCCATCTTCGGAAAACAAATTGGCAACCTCTCCGGGCAATACATCTACCTTCCCCTCGACTGTTTGGTGAAAAGATAGTTTCGGCATATTCAGAGAGCGAGAGACCGAAGCGCTGTGTCCAAACACTCGCCTGAGGCTCGTAATCGCGAACTCGAGCGGAGCTCTACAACCTTCATACCTACAACATTGGTACTGAGTGGTACAACGAGATGGCCTCTACTTTCGACGATGAGGAGCTCTCCATGTCACTCTCTGGGCCTGCAGCAGAACGTCGCAATCAACGACATGCGGCCAGACCCAGGACAGACTCTCATCAAGCTGCTAGCCGAGTAGCCAAGATCCCTGCCGACCGTCGCATTGCCCAGCAAATAGGTGCATATGACGTCGTACGGACACTAGGTGAAGGGTCCTTTGGCAAAGTCAAGCTGGCGACCCACCGCTTCACCAAACAAGAGGTGGCGCTCAAGATCATATCGCGCAAGAAGCTTATATCAAGGGACATGGCGGGGAGAGTTGAAAGAGAGATTCAATACCTGCAACTGCTAAGACATCCGCATATCATCAAACTGTATGAACATCTAGGTTTCCATGGGAAAGAGAGACAGTAGCTGACCGTTACAGTTACACCGTCATCACAAGCCCCACAGACATCATCATGGTACTCGAATACGCTGGGGGAGAACTCTTTGATTACCTTGTCAAGCATGGAAAAATGGCAGAGACCAAGGCTCGTCGGTTTTTTCAACAAATCGTCTGTGCCGTGGAGTACTGCCACCGGCATAAGATCGTCCATAGAGACTTGAAGCCAGAGAATCTCCTGCTCGATTCTGACCTCAACGTCAAAATTGCCGACTTTGGGTTGAGCAATATCATGACGGATGGCAACTTCTTGAAGACCAGCTGTGGTAGCCCCAACTATGCGGCGCCTGAGGTGATCTCGGGGAAGCTGTATGCTGGGCCAGAGGTGGACGTCTGGAGCTGCGGTGTCATACTTTACGTTTTGTTGGTCGGCCGCCTGCCATTCGATGACGATTTAATTCCGGCACTCTTCAAGAAAATCGCCACCGGCTCGTACCAGACGCCGCCCTTTGTATCTTCTGGGGCGAAGCATATTATCCATAAGATGCTAAAAGTCAACCCGGTTCAGCGCATTAGCATTCCAGACATCCGCCAGGATCCATGGTTTAATGAAGGTCTCGAGGATTACTTGAAGCAGCCTGTCGAGGAATTCATCGACACAGGAGTTGATCCAAATAAGGCCATAGATCCGCGAAAATTGGCACCTGGAAAGCCGCCGGCCGTGCAGGAACAGATTCATGAGTCTGTGATCGGTAAATTGGGGAAAACAATGGGTTACGCCAAGGACGATGTACAGGATGCACTTGGCAAGGATGAGCCAAATGCGATCAAAGACGCGTACTTGATCGTGAGAGAAAATCAGATCATGCAGACAAACCGTAAGTAGTACCTTCCCTTCGACGTCCTGCAGGTTGTCAGCATCAGATGATTTAGTCGAGGGGTGACTAAGTAATTGCCCCAACAGCGAATCTCACGCATGCCCAAAATCTAGGCTTCCTCGCAACCTCACCACCAGCATGGAATTCGACATCACACCAATTCTCTTCGCCAATGGCTGAGGCTGCCCAGTCAAACTTTAACAGCTTCCCCACCCGTAAAAATTATCAGCAGCTACGTGAAGCTCAGCTGGACTCAGCTACCGCATCGGCAGGCACTGAGCCTAACTCCTCTACCCAAGAGACTGCTGTCGACACGACTCGTGAAGAGGCACTGGAAAAGCCATATGTCAGCAAGATTGGTATCCTAACTACGAGTCTACCTATGTACCACAATCAAATTATGGAAATGCGACGGGCGGATCAACGCCGTAGGCGTGCAGAAGAACGAGGCGAGGCTCTCGAGCTTGAGGGAATGGACAAGCTTTCCAGAATGTCACTCGATGTCGATAGCCGTGAGCAGACTAGTGAGGAGCAAGCTGAGACTGCTCGGCGTCTGAAACCACACTCTCGGTCCACCATTCAGCTTCAGACAATCACTGCCAACGCCTCCAAAGATCCCACGGGGGTCCTCATCACTGCTCCCAAGACAAAGGGTAATCGCACCAAATGGCAATTTGGCATTCGAAGTAAAAGCGAGCCACTAGACGCAATCAAGTGTCTTTACAAGGCATTGGGTTCAATGGGGGACTGCCAATGGCAAGTTGCGGAACCTCAACAGAACAAGCCTCGCGATGGTGCTCCTTACCCTGTCAACGTTGCTGGAGCCACTCATCTTACCGCGGCCGAATCTACGCTTTCTGAGAGTCCTGAGAAAGACAAGCACCATATACGTGGTGGCCATCGCGCTGCCGTCAACGATCCTTCAGATTCTAGTGGGGATGATGCCGCCGCTTCCGAAAGCGACCGCACTGAAGCCCGACCTTCCTATGAGGACGACTCCGACAGCGAGAACGATGATGATGTCGATATCAACCATTTTCCTCCGGGCTACATACCCAAAGATCCTTGGTGTATCCATGTCCGTTGGGAGAAAAAGGGCATGTCCCCACCCGGCGTGATCAACTCCAATTCTGCACAAAGCAGCCGCATCGACCTCAACAGCAACGATGGATCAGGCCGACGCGGTAGTGTTACGCTTGGTAGCCTGAGCTCGGCAGCCGGATCTGCGACCAGCGTTGCCGGCATAGAGCATATCATCGACAACTTCGACAACACTGCCTGTTTCGTCTACCTGGACCTTCAGATCTACGTCCTGGAGCTAGAAACCTACTTGGTAGACTTTAAGTGTGCCGGGTACGAGTCCATTATTGGAGAACATAAGACGGTGAACAAGAAGGGTGAGGAGATCACGGAATTCATTGGGTCTGGATATAGGGTTGCAGACAAGGACGTTACCAGTCCTCAACCATTCCTCGATCTCGCCAACAGACTCGTCATACACCTTGCGAGGGGCGGAGGATAGAATTCCTGTGATGGAAAAGAGAGAGAAAGACGGGGGGTCTTCAACATATTCTTATGCGTTGGCGGTGTATGCAGTCACGATTTAGCGTTAGGCGCTGGAGGTCGGCGTTGTTGCTTGGAATTTTGCAAATTTGGCTTGCATGAAAGGGTGGGTTTTTGTTCGATTAAGATACCACATCGGCGGTCCCCTTTCATATACGCAAGCATAGGATCGATTCCCAGCGTATGTGTGGCAGTATAGGTAGCATTGCGACAGCAGAAACATGAATAGACTCTTCTCAAAGGACTTGCATGCGCTTCATTGGGTATCTAGAGCCGAACCTGTCACTCCCATAGCCTGTAATGTTCTCTACTGCAGCCTCCTATCATCCCCCCCACCTCCCTCCCCTCCCCTCCTCTTCCTCCCACCCGTAACCGCCACCTCCCCCTCCCCCCCTCCACCCCCCCCCCCCCCCCCCCCCCCCCCCCCCCTCCCCCCCCCACCAATCATCATCATCCTCCTCCTCTTCCCCCGTTTCTTCTCCCCCCCACCACCCACCCCCCCCCACCACCACCACCCCGCTCTCCGCCTCCGCCTCCGCCTCCGCCTTCCACCGCCCCACAACCTCCTCCTCCTCCCGCCCCTCCATCCCGTGGAAGCTGGCGTGGTGCCCGCACCCGTCGCACAAGTACGACGTCCCCGCCTGCTGCGGGTGCTGCATGAACCGGTGGCACGGGCAGCTCGTCACGATGGACGTTTTGCTCCGGCAGGGGCCCCGGGGGGGGTGTAGGACATCTGGGGGGGGGGGGTTAGTGGGGGTGGGGATGGGGGAGGGGGGGATGGGGGGATGGGGATGGGGATGGGGATGGGGGATGGGGATGGGGGATGGGGGGGGGGGGGAGAAGGCGGACCTGGGCCCAGATGCTGGGGGGGTTGCTGTTGCGGGGGTGGGGGGCCATGGTTGGGGTGGGTGGAGTGGTGGGCGGTTGGGGGATTTGGAGCATGCGCGTTTGCGGGCTGGAGCGGGGTGTTTGTGCGCTTGGCTGGCTGAGGAAGGAAGTGGAGGGGTTGGTGATGGGTTTGCGGTGTTTGAGGGATACGGTACTGGAGTTATGGCGGATTTTTGTAAATAGACGGAATGGTTCCGTCTTGGCGGTCCTGGTCTTGGCGGGATCTAAAACTCTCACTCTTCGCGATGCTTGTTGTCGAAGTCGATGTTTTCAGCTTGGATATTTATGGGATGGTGGTATTCTATGAGGAATTGACAATTGATGAGACTGATACTCTCTCGGTACGGTGACCAATAGTTATGGTTCAATCTTCCACGTCGATTTCTTTGCATGCGTGAGCATACCTGGTAAGTGACAAGAAGCTCTCGAGAGGCTGTCTCTCGCTGTGCTTTCCATACACGTGAAGAAGCATCTAGACTTGGGTTTTCTTTGCGAATGATCCCCGACAAGCAAAGTGTTGCGAGGTTGCTTTTTGGTCTACTATTCAGTCTTCGGCCCTGTGTCCAGACGTACTTACGACAGAGATTGTTGTAACGGATATCCTGGCCTGATGACTTTGGAGATGTGGCCGTAGATGTCGTCGCTGTGCTCCCGAGGGAGGACGGATTAGCCTCTCAGGGGACTAAGTGCCTTCGTGCTGCTCAGAGCTGGTCTCATAGCTTCGGAAGAATGAGGGGAGCTCGTCCGGCGCATCTTTGGGTGACGAGACCGGATGTATACCATCTGGTGGAGCATTATTTCACTGTCAGACGGATATTGTCCTGAAGGATTTTCCTTACCAGGTTGGGAGTAAGACACGGTCCGAGTGTTGCTTGGTACGCACAGCATGATGGAAGGTAAAGTACGCAGGGATGCATGAGTCTTTGTTGCGCTGTCGAGGCTGCGCTATTAATGATGCACAGATAAATTCTACCATCGATCATACATTGGAATGGATCAATTGAAACTTTCTGCAATTGACACTCCTTCCGACCTCGTTAAGACATGTGCCTGCAACTTGAACATCCACCAGCCCAGCTTCCTTCGCCTCCATAAGCACTACGGCCACTCTTTGTGTCAGCGTTGACTCCTTTTGATTTGAATCGTGCGACTGCTCTCGAATGAGATTCTTTCGGCCTACACCATCTCCCGCGCAGGATCTCCTAGAAGTACGTTTATTAGTGGATAGACTTCCCAAAGATCGACACACTTCCTTCTCAGCTTCATCATTGTAGAAATGATCCTTTCGTTCTCTACCTCGGGACATGATTCATACGCTCGGAACACTCCGCTTGCACGAAGGCCAATGTGATGTGCCGCCTTGCCGCAGACCGTGGTTGCGATGCGTTTTTGACTTCCTAAGATTCCGTCTTCTGTGATGGGTATACTCGACTACAGCCTCGATACCTCCCTAATGTTGACTTCGGCCTCGTGAGCTTGAGCATAATTTTGCATACGGCTCAGAGCAATAGCTTCCTTGTCCTGCCCAGACACCATGTCTACATCGATGGCCGCACGCGTAGGCCGACTCAAGAATTCTCTACAATTCTGGGCTGACGATCTGACGTACAATCTACGGAACATTGGATTCGACGTTCTCGGTTTCATCTTCCAACACCTATGTTCGGATTTTTTAGAAGCTAAAAAGTTGTTGTAAAGGATTCTCTGTGGAAAGCCCTCAGCCGCTGCTGGATCCACATCCTCCCTGTAGCGGTCTTTCTATACCTTCTGAGGCTGAGACTCAGGGGCTACTATATTGGCGAGCACCTCGGAGGATCTTCAAGCAACGATCAAGAGGATAGTGTCACATTAGCATTCATTCAAGTCGCCGCCAAAATCCAAGTTCGTAATTGCATTCCATTTGGCTCATGAAGACATTAATTGACGTGTGCATTCAGGAACTACTCATAGTTGCATGCTACACAGTTGTTCTGTTTCAAGTCACAAGAGATGAAGTGTTACGTGGCGATGGCCTTCCTCTGGGTATTGCAACTTCTGGTTTCTCATTCTCACGCCTCAGCTATTTCGGCGCTTGCTTAATGGGGCGGTGTTTTTGGGGATTCTGAACTCGGCACGGAGACGTAGTGGCTATTCAATAAAGACACCAAAGTACACTTTCCCAAGGATCTTGCAAGGCACGCCTAGAGGGGAAGGCTTCAGCGTCGAAGCCTGGTCAATTGCGCCTCATGCGGCAACCGGTTTTTTTCAAACATACCTTTGGTCTGACAAGCACTGGTCTCCCGGTAACACTACACCCACCAGCACTATGTCAGCACAAGTACCCTCGCAAGCCTCGGCAGTACGCGCTGTCTGGACACACGATCTTCAGACCTTTAACAATGAAACATCGAAGCTTTTGTTGCCTCAGCTTCGTGAGTATGAAACCTGGATTGAAGGGGATGAGCAAAGAGGACCATACGAGGACATCATACTGAACCAGCCACTTTTCGCCATGACTAACATATCCTCCCTCACCACGATCTGGATAGCGCCAAAGTCCAACATGAACTCCGTTACGACGGGACTCGTGGTCATAGGTCCTATAGAAGAGAAGACTGGCCAACGTTACGGAGTCGGCTGCTCGATAGATGCCCGATGGAATAAAGCACAGCATATCATGACACAATCGTCATCATATTCGCTAGAGAACACTGGCAAATATATTGGCGCAACGATCAGCAGTGCACGCTCTTCGGCGGAAATCGTAGATAAAGCTTTACCCATAAATGGTAGTGACGGCAATTGGAGACACATATCAGCAACCAGGATGGCTTGAGGTCTTAGATTACATGGTGCCCACACAAGGTTATCCAGGAGAAGATACCCCGGGGCAGACTACCACCGCGCTCACAAACTTGATTCTCGTCACAGACGTCACATTAGACAGCTTAACCTTGACAACTTCTCTGCAGGTTTTTTGGGTCCAACAAATTGAGACCGTGCTTTCAACTGCCTTTGCCGACGCCGCGTCACGCGTCGCACTGAATTGCAGGAGGGTAGCCTTGCTCTTTTCACAGACTTTGCGACCGACTGTTCCGAGATCCCAAAAAGCTACCACTTTTTTTTTCCTGGACGTCTGGAGTTGGGCTTCCCAATGACCTTTAATGGCTCTACCACCGGTAAAACCTCACTTTCCCAATGATTATCAGCAAGGTGGTTTCTCTAATTCTACCTTGCAGGCTATGCGTATAAAGCTTCAAGACCAACAAACTATTCATCAATCGCCGTGCTCTCGCTCCACATCATCGTTGCCATAGCTCATACAACGAGGCTACTCCTGACGGAACGCAGTTCTGCATGTTGGGAGACGTTCGAGGAATTTGTTTTGCTTGCCCAGGTTTCAAAGAACCGATACCGATGATGTCGCCAACTGTTGCGCAGGTATCAAAAGATCTTCGACAATGGGATTGAATGCTCGCATCAGGCCGATACCGCACAGGGCGGCCGGGAAAGGCAAGCAGGAAGATTTGCAGACGTTCATCTCAAAGTATCATAGCAAAGTCACTGAGGTCGTGAAAGAAGGAAAGCCCTATGGTAGATTGTGAGAAGAGGGCCGTGTGGCGGGGAAAGGAGTGGTACGTGTCTAGGGCAGTAAGTCTGTTACCATGAAGCCGGCGACCTTGCGTACGATAACAACTTCGAATCTACACACATAGCTCAGAAATCAAAACGCCTTTTGATGTATTTTTTCAAAATATTTCGGCGGCCATTCCTGATTCAGCGCCGTCTTGCGATTAAGTCTGCCGCGTCGTATCTTGCTAAGATAGACGAGACCGTGCTTATGGGTTTGATTGCATGTCTACAATTACTCATTAGTGCACCAGTCATCTGTCGTTGATATTCTAGGCCTCAATAAATCGTGCCTATACAGCATAAGGTACACAGACTTGGTATCCGTTGGTTCAATATTCGCGAAAAGGAGCCGAGGAAGCACGGTAGGGCTTCCATCCTTGTGGGTTTCCGAGCTGTTTAGGGGTTTCATGATTTGTAACGTCCCGATTCTCGGGGCTGCCGCGGCTATCAACTGCCCCATCCGACAGACTGTCTGGTTCGTCTACTTTCGTCGCAGCCTCGTCTGATTCCCAAAACTCTAGTGCCTTTTCCAGCCATGTGTACATGCTTGAGAAGTTGACGCCGTGCTTCATCGTGTGAAACAAGATGATTCTGGCGGTGGAAGAATGTTGCAAGATCTCTCGAAGCCAGGAGTTGATCTGATTCCTTCCGTTCGTTACCTCGGCAGTATATGAAGGTCCTTTGGGCAAGACGGAGGTAGCCGATGACTTTCCTAGTGAGTCCGCGCCATCTGGTCCAGGCTTTCCACTCAAATCATTTGTGCGTCGAAGTCTTGTAGCGTGAAAAATTGAGTCGTAGCGACCCTCAAATTCATATCGAGAAACCTTGATGCCGTCTCCTAGCGAATAGCTTGGCTGTCTTATTTCGCCGCCATAATCATTAGAGATTGACCTGGGGCGGAAGACCGATGCAACCATGAGTCCATCTACGATGCAGCCTTCTTCTGAGATAGCGGTATTTAGCTCCATCTCCCACGGTCGTTCCTCGGGAGGCGATACGGATTTTGCGCCACCGATATGGTCATGCATTGCTTTCACAGCTCTGTTATTATAGAAGAGAGCCTCCCAACGTCGGTCCCGAATGCTATGGAAGTCATCGGTGAGATTTTGGTCTTTGCTTTCTAGGCCCCGATGGAAGCCCCTTTTTTGATCAGATCGACGGTGTTTGTCTAGGAGTCTATCAGAAAGATGATAATTGTGACTAAGAGAGCATTGATGAAATTCTTGAATATGTTGAGCGAATTTCTCCACGGAATGATACGACAGGAGCAAGTTGCATTCTCCATATCTGTGTTCGTCTACTAGATGCCTACCTCGCAGGGACCATTCTGGCGAGTCTTGATCAAATTCGTCCCCACAATAGAGGCAAATAAAACCGCTTGCAGAAAATGCGGCTTCAACACCAGGCAGAATGTCGCAACTCCACTCCACTTGTGTCTGGGAAGGCCGTTGCAGGAGCTCCTGGGACTCGAGTTTCGTCCTTCCGAAGGCAGGACGTGTCGAGCTAGCATGTGCCACATCCGGCTCCGAATCTTTATCTTCACTATCCAATCTCTTAGAGGCAGTGAGCGCTGGGTTAGAAGATACCAACTCGAGAATTCGAGACACATTGGAAGCAAGGCTCGACATACTAGCGCTACTCATCTGCGATGAGTTTTCTAAACGATCCAATTGACTTGAAACTGGATCTAGATGTGTAACGAAGCTGTTGTCGAATTCGAGAAGTCTGTGGGTAGATCCGTGGTTGAACGATGTCTGAGCCTCAGCAACATTTTTGACCTCTTTAGCGATGACGCTGCCCTGTTGGAGAATATGTATATTGTAGGAACTAGATTGATTTCAGCCCTCCATCGTATGCAATTGAAAAGACATGCATACCATCCTAGTAGATCAAGACTTAGCTGCATCCCCTGAAGATGTCGCGCTACTTTTTGATGAAACACGCTGTAAGCACTTTCCTCGCTGGCGACACGGAGCTTCCCGAAAAAGGATTTTATGATTTTCGAAGAATTGGCATGATGCATGGGCACATCTTTTACCCATTCATCTATATCAGCTCGGCAATTTTCGATTTGCGATGCAAGTCTACTGGTGTTCCGGGCTTCTGCACCAACAAGCCATTCTTCTGGGGTTCGCCTGAGGAGATCGGATATCGCTGTCAGAGCACTTTCAAGAGAGTCGATAGCTCTGAGAAAGCTTTTCACCGTTTCTGAGGCAGTCGAAACCCCGTGAACGAATTCCTTGAGCTTCAATATGCCATGCACGGCTTGTCCAACGAGACCTAGTATTCCCACAACGCCAGCGACTCCAGCGACACCTGCAACTACCTCCATTGTGTAATGAAGGAGGGTTGTGAGCTCCTTATAGATGTTTCAAGTGCGGAATACCCGCTTCGGTGTTGGTGTTAGAGTTTCAGCGTGTGATGTGTAGGTTAAGTTATTATCTATCTCAAAACTCTCCTAGGGTATACCTCTAAGGTAACCCTATACAAATTTAGTAATATAGCCGACACGCGCAGGAGTCACAGCTAAGACGTGGCTAAGAACCATATTTGGACAATTGGCGGTGGGCTTCTTGTTGCATCTTGTAATGATATGAGAGATGCCTTGGGCGGAAAGTGTAAGATACAAGTTACTAGATGCGAAAAAAAGAATGCGTAACAGCCTCGTCAGGAATAGGTGGCGTGCTGGCCGTACAGCCACGGAGGAACGCAGCACTCAGCCTTGATTTCCAATCATTGGCGAGAATGTTGGCCCAACTTTGCGCAATGCATCCAAGTTGATAGCCGTGCAGTGGCTTCCGGCGGGCACATACTCTAGGCCGAAGAGGTGACCTGCAAAAGGCGCTTGGAACCCAAGCATGCGGAACCCTGGGCCGGTGTTTCAACGGGGAATCCCCACACGGGCGCTGTCTACCTATAGGTGTGCCTACAAAGGGGCAACACTATTGCGAGAACGTGAAGAGACAGTGATAAGTTTAAGCTGTAGCAAGGCGGTCAAGAGCTAATTAGTATCTGTTAACACTGATGGAATCACTTAGAGGCGGACATCACGTTTAAGGCGGACATCACATCAACGGCACTCATCCTACCATAGAGATCTGACTTGCTGAGTAGCGATGGTTTAGTACCAATATTAAGAAGGTGACATGGAAACACCAATGATCGTTGTCTCTCTCGCTTTCGCAGGGGAACCATCATATCATATCTTATCTTATATTAGCGTTATCACTAGTGTATGCCAAGACCTGGAGAAGATGCCGAGGCTCACAACAATTCTTCGAACAATCAAAACAGAGCATCTTTCCACAGCACAGCCTTCTCTCTACCTTTAGTCTCCACCATGTTGGCGAACGCATATCAGATCGAGTAAAGTTGCAGCCATATTGAGACCATATCCAGCCTCAAACAATCCCTCGCCCCACGATGGCAGACCACTCAGCTCCCCCAGCATGCAAATACTTCAACGTCACTTACCCCCTCCCGTTCGTCGCCCACGTTGAGATCAACCGCCCGGACAAGATGAACGCCTTCAAAGAAGAGTACGTCCGGATTTCATCCTTCCTCGATATCTGCCTTTCGACGGTCCTAACACTCGACAGAATGTGGCACGAACTCCCACCCCTCTTCACCCACCTCTCCACCTCCCCCTCCACCCGCGCCATCATCCTCTCCGGCGCCGGCCCCAAAGCCTTCACCACCGGCCTCGACGTCCAAGAAGCTTCCCAGAATTCGATCCTCGGCCCCAACCCTGACCAATCGCGTCCGGCTCCCGACGGCGCGAGAACGGCAACGAGGCTGCGCAGGCACGTCGACGCGTTCCAGGCTTGTATATCCAGCATCGAGCGTTGCGAGAAACCGGTCGTAGCGGCGATACATGGCTGGTGTTTGGGGTTGGGCGTCGATATCAGCGTCTGCTGCGATGTGAGGATTTGCGCGCGGGAGACTCGGTTTGCGGTCAAAGAGGTGGATATTGGCCTGGCGGCGGATATAGGGACGTTGAGTCGGTTGCCGAAGGTCGTGCGGAGTGGGAGTTGGGTTAAGGATGTTTGTCTTAGCGCGAGGGACTTTGGGGCTGAGGAGGCGGAGAAGGTGGGGTTTGTGAGTTGGGTGGGGAAGAATGGCGGGAAGGAAGAGGTTGTGAAGGAGGCGTTGAGGTGGGCGGAAGTCGTGGCCGGCAAGAGTCCGGTGGCGGTGCAGGGGACGAAAGAAGTCTTGAATTGGAGTTGGAATAGAAGTGTGGAGGATGGGTTGAGGTATACGAGTGTTTGGAACTCGGCCATGTTGCAGTCCGAGGATACGAGAGAGGCTGTGATGTCGGGGATTACGAAGAAGAAGCCGAGGTTTGCGAAGTTGTGAGCCGATTTGGATTACGGCGTTTGCATGGCGATTGGGTGGGGTTGAGGGAACTTGATGTAGGCGTTGTGGGTGTTGGGAAAAGCTAGCTGATCTACAGGAGGAATGTAGACTGAGTTGCAGCATGAGGCCAGAGTAATTGGAAGCGAGCTTCCAACTAAAGGTGGTTCAGGCAACCCGGATTGGTGTGTCGAAACAGTGTATTTGAATCATTTGGACCTTCAACATTACTGTTTGCCAATACGGCCTATACTGCCCGTTGGCGTACCATTCCCCTGACCTGCGATCGCCGAGCCTGTTGCTGTCGTGTTCAAAGATTCGTTACTAAAAACTAGTCCTTAAGTGAGACTGACAGGATTCATTGCTTCGTTGCTGACGATGGCACACCCCAAAAATGCAGGCAATTGTTGCTTTCTTTTTTGGCATGGTGATTGTAGATGGAATTCGGCTCAGCTGTGCGTAGAAGACGAGGAGATTTCTGTCATTGGTGAAGAAACTTAGCAGGTGCGATGTGAAGAATCATTGAAGGAAATCTACCTAATCCGTAAGAATGAGCGGCTCAGTCGTTCGCTACTCTCAGGCTCGTGCAAGAGACAGACCGGGTCGTTCACTCCATAGAAAGCGCCTAAGTCCGATCCTGAAGCAATGCTGCTTCGATCTCGAAGAGGCGGATGGGCCTGTCGCGTAGCTTTGAGAATGCTCGTTTCACTTAGCTGAAAATCCAAGTTGCAGTCTGCTCAACAACTTGAATTGCGGCTTGTCTGAAGACGTATAGCGTGCAGGCAATTTGTTAATGAACAAGCACTCAAAGTCCAAGAGTCTCGAGAGATCTCTTGAGGTTGTCAATGGACATAATCTGCACGCATAGATTATCGGAGGTCTCGGCGCTTTGCTGGTGGTCAGCGCAATGAAACGCTGTATGTTGGCCTTTCGAAAATCGCTCATGCCATGAGACTTGTCTGTCTCTCATTTCCTGGACCAAACCAAACAAGCCATGGGAACCTTGAGAGTTGTTGACCTCCTGTGCTACAGCCTTTCTGGCCAGTGTACGCCACTCATCGCCACTGAGATCAATGTTAATGGCCATGGGGCAGTCGGGGCGGCCCGTGTGCCGGCTATCAAATGGCGAAGATGGATCGCCGAAACGAAACGCTATCTTCTCGGCTTGCTTAGACCTCTCCTCAATGTGCTTGAGAAGCTTGGCGTACTCGATGATCAGCAACTGTAAGAGGGCCCCAAGCAGCATGGTATTCTGCAATGCGGTGTTGTATGCCTGCAAACAATTATGACATGCAACAATGCTGCGGCCGAGGCTTGCTGCGCTTCTCAATGCTCCCATCGAATATGGGAATGATGTTTCTGGTAGCGAGTGGAACTTTGCTAGCATCGAGTAGAGGCTGGACAAGCAAGAACAGCCTATTACGGCACTCCCAGTGCTACAACTGTTGCTGTCTACCTTGCCTGGGACATTAGGTGGAGTTTGCAACCGTAGGGGAGTATCGGCAAGCGTAGAGAAAGGTTGGCCTAGATCCTGCGAAGGGTCCCAATCAGGAAGGCCTTGCTCAAGATTGGACGCCGGGCCTTCAGGAAGGTCAAAGCTGAAGCAGTCTGTATCTGGAAAAATTGATCCGTTCCCGGGTCCAAAGGGGAACGTATCTTCCTCTTCAAGGCTGTTTCCAGAGAAGTGGAAGCCGTCTGTCCCCAATCCCGGATCGTTTCCAGAGAAGGTTGCAAGATGCGAGTCTCGGGGTCCCACATCTGCTGCACCAACATCTAAACCCTCCGAAGCTCCCATGTTCTCTTCCCTGTCTGTACCTCCTGCCTCTTCATGCCGCCGTTTCCGCGGTCTTCCCATAGTCTTCTTCTGCGAGTAGTGGCAGGTGGTGCTTTCCGATTTGCAGCGCGAGCATCCTGCAGCTTCCCCCGAACACTTTAGCTTTCGCGTACCTGCATAACAAATATCGTAAGCCACAGGTCCTTCAAATGACAGAGAATAGCCTACGGCACTCGTCGCAGGCACTAAGCGTCTTGTGAATCGGAGGTGCTGTTGGAGTGGGCATGTTTGTCACCGGGTCAGGGCACTTCTAGCTGTGGAGACCTTCTCTATACAAGTAGCCAAGATACGGGCCGTTCTGATCGTATTGTCACCTAGGCGCATAGCCATGGATCTATATAGCAATGCTCACCAGAGTCTTCTGAGGTATAATTGGAAAGCTTGCTTTCTTAATGCTCGAGACTTCAAAATAAGAATGGGTGCTACGCTAAGAGGCTAGTGACTAATCATATCCTCGGATTTCACGATTTTCAGTCTAAAACATATCTTATTTCTTCATTTTTGATCTAAATACGGGTACGTCCCAAATAGGAAGCACTATAAGGCTAAACCCCGATTATTAAAATACTATTTACATCTTTCTTTAATTTCTTAAACGCTATATACTATATAATAGAAAAGTAGATTACTAAAATTATAAATCTACTTAAGCGTCTTTTATATAAATCTATAAAAATAATATTTAACTAAGTATTAAAATATATATATTAAAAGTAAGGAAAATAACTATTTAATACTCTTATTCGAGTAAAGTTCGACGATTTTTAATTAAAGCTATATGAATTTTTTCTATTAAATTTTTTCTAATTACGAGAATATCTTTAATATAATCTTTCTCGACTAAATTATTTTTATTATATTTACTAACTAAATAACTAATTAGATATAATCGCGAATATCTAATTAATAGCTTTAAAATCGCTCTTCTTATTCTTTTATATTCTTATTTACTACTCTTAATTTTCTATATCTTTCTTTAATCTTAAAGCGAAGATTACTTAATAAAATTAACTTTAATACTATTACTATTCAACTTCTTAATTCTCTTATTATACTTACGAAGAATAGTTCTAAATAAAAAAGAATTAAGAAGTTTATAACTTCGAGATAGTAGTAGTTAACTTAAAAGTATATAAAAGAGATAGAATAAAAAAGATATATAAGAAAGATAGTAAATACTTAGAAACGTTTACTATATAAGTAAAGAGATTAAAAATAACGTTATACGCGTAAGATAATAAGAGTAATACGTCGTAAGATAACTTCTCTAAATTCTCTTACGCCTATATTAAATCCTACGCTTACATCTATTCACTATAAAATATATAATATTTATAAGCTATTAAATATCGTAGTACTATATCTAGATCTTATCTACGATATCTATAGAGTCTAGATTTAATAATATAAGTTTAAAAAGTATAATATTCTATATATATATTTCTTTCGTAATAAGAGAGAGTAGAGATAATATTATAGCTACTATATAATTAGATAGATCTAAAATTAATAATCTATATTATTTACTTTAATTAAAGATAATATTTCGCTAGAAATACTTTAATCTTATATTCGAAATAAGGAAATATTAGTCTTAACTTACTTTATAAAGAACTAGAATCTAATCGCTAATTTCTATATTAAGCTCGATAAATTAAAGCGAAAGATATATAATATTTACTAGAGAATCGAATTTAATATAAAACTTTAAATTATCGAGTTATAGACTATTTACGATAGATATTAAAAGAATTATTTAAATAATCTTATTCTCTATTTAGCTAAGAATATAATAAATTTAAAGTCTTTATCTTTTTATCTATTATAATTAATAATAGCGAAAAAGATATTAATCGCTAGAGTATATATTTAGATAAATATATTCTATTTTAAGAAATATTAATATAAATATAAAGGTTATATAATTAGTTAAATATAGAATATTTCGAAAATAATTTAAAGGCTTTTATCTCTATCTTAAGAACTTTAGATATTAAATATAAAATTTTTCTCTTTAGATAAAAGTGAAAGCGAATCTAATTATAAATATTAGTTAAGATTCTATATATATTATTAATATATCGAGATTTAACTAGTCTACTTAATTGAATATTATCTTAACTATTAAAGATTTTATATCGATTAAAGTTATTTATTCTAATTATTAATAAATAACTATATTATTAATAATATATTAAATATTCTAGATAATAATAAGAAGAAAGATAGTAAGTATATAAAGGAATATAAGGGTATAAAGATTTAAAAGAATTTAAACTCTAAAAAGAAAGTTCTAAACGTAGATATATAGCTATAATATTCCTTAATTATCTTTCTTTCTCTCGCTCTCTCGAGTTTATAAAAATAGTTCCTTTAATAAAAATCTTTAAAGAGCCCTCGAAAAGCTTTTAAAGAGTCTTTTAAATATTATAACTTTATTCTTTTTTTTCCTCTTAAAACTCTTTTATTCTTCTCTATTTATCTTCTAATTTTAAATCTATAAGAAGGCCTCTTTAATAAAAGCTCTTAAAGAGCTCTCGAAGAGTTTTTAAAGAGTTTTTGAAATAATAAATTTACTAATCATCTGCAAATCTAAAAAGTTTCTATAAAATTTGAAATTGCTGATCGCGCGTTTATCGCGGAAATTATAAAATCCGTCGAATTAGTAAATCTAATTAGAATTCGTCTAAATTCTATCGGTTTAGTAAATCTGATTAGAATCCGTCTAAATTCCGCCGATTTAATAATTATTTTAATCTTTTTTACTAGTTCTATTAGTTTAATAGTAATACGTATAAAAAAGAAAAGTTCTAATAATTAACGTTATAATAATAAGATTTTATAACGATAAATATTAACGCTAACTTAAATTTAGCTACGAAATTAGATAATTTAATAAAATTAATTATATAAGTAATACTCTAATATAGCGTATAATAATATATATATTAATAATAATATATATTAATATTATATATATATAGAATAGTACTTAGAGTATATTAGAGTATATTATATAAAATTTTTAAAGTTATTAAAAATTTTTAAAGTTACTAAACTAATAGAACTAACGAAAAGAGTTAGAATAGTTATTAAATCGACGAAAAGAATTAGATATAGATAAAGTTTACTAAATAAACTAAATCGTACTTATAATACGAACTCGACGGAAATCGTATGAAAAGAAACTTTTTAGATTTATAGATAATTTCGATTACTTAATTTTAAATTATATTAATAACTTAAAAGTCTTTAGTAAAGAGTTATACGTATCGAATCTTATAATAAATCTATTAAAGCTTTATATACTTTAAGAATAGTTTAATTATATATCTTTATCTTTAATTAAAACGAATATCTCTTTATACTTTTTAAAATATAATATAATTAATAAATATAATTATTCGTTAAATATCGCTTATATAGCGTTTTCGACGCTATTCTTAAATAATATAGTCTCTTTTTATAATATTTATATAAAAGACGTTAATTTTAAAAACTATATTAAATACTTAATAAGATATAAAAATAATAGATTTATATAATACTCTCGCTTTTATTAATAAATTTTTAATATTATAATAAGAGCGTAATCTAGAGAAATTAATAAATAAATTTAAAAACGCCTAGTTAATCGTAATATAGATCTCGATAAATTATAAAATCTCGTTATTAATAATAATAGAAAAATCTTAAATATCTTAATTCGAAAGATCTAGAGTTTATAAGATATATATCTCTATTAATAGCGAGTAAAGATCGAATTAGAGTTATTTATCTATTATTAAAAGACTTTAAATATTTTCTTTATTATTAATACTACTAATTTTTAATAATATAATCTCTATAAATATATACTTAATAAGAATAAATATTTTAATATTATTAAAGTCTAGCGTTATAGTATAATCTTTTATTTAATTTAATAAAATTCTTATATTATAGCTAAATATTTAGATTTATACTTTTATTTTTTATTTAAATATATATTATATAAGAAATTCGATCTCTTAAATTATTAATATTAATTCGAATAGTAATTATAAAGAAGTAATTATATTTATAAATTTCTATAAATCTATAATATATTAAATATTAATTATATTATCGAATATCTTAAGTATTAGAGAATTAAGATTATCGCTATTAATCTAGATAACTACTTATCTTCTATAATAAAGTATTTATTTAATTTTTTTTTAAAGTATACTAATACTCTTTATAAGTTAGCGAAGCTTCTTAATCGAGTATAGTATTATAAATATATATAAAAGTATTATTAATAATATAATAAGACTATTAAAGAGATTAGATATTAATTCGCCTTTCTATAGCTAGAGTAAGAGATTTCTATTATTAATAATTATAGTAATCTTATCTATCGAATCTTTAAATTAGCTTATAATAACTTATAGCTTAATAAATATTAAACTACGATAAATATAGCTTAATTATTAAATATCGATTTCGCTTTATATATTAATAAGAAGAGTATAATTTATTATCTCGCTAAATATATCTTTAAAGAGAAAAAGAAGTTTAATAAACTCGTCGATATAGATAAAAATTTCTTTTATAATCTTTTATCTAATATCTTTATACTTATCTAAATTATAAGATTATATAATAAAATAATATTAAAACGTAGTTAATTTATTTAAGAGATATACTATTTATTATTTAGCTATAGTCTTTATAATAGCTCTCGCTTAATAATTAATCTTAATATTTAATTAAATAATATTTAATATAGAAGGCTTTATTTAAACGAAATAATTACTACTCTAAATAAGATTTAAATTAAACGCTATTACTTTTATAATAAAACTTTAGAGAATTAAAGTTTTATATAAATTATATGAAATTATATCTAGCGAAATAAGATCTTTTAATCTATTAGAATTTAGAAGATTTTATATCTATATCTCCGATTTAATTAAAATAAGAATTACTTCGAGTAATATCGAGCTAAGATAATACTTACTTTATTATCTCTTTTATAAGATCGATCTATCTAATCTATTAATTATCGAATAAGATTAAAAATAAGTCTATAAAGACTATCGTTAAGGGGAATATAATTATCTATTAAATTCTTTAAAAGACTTATTTATCTATAAACTATCGTTATTAAATAAGTATCTTATCGATATAAATAATAAAAATCTAGACTATTAAGATAAGAAGCTATTAGTTCTTCGAAATCTATATTATAATAGTAATATAATTTTAATCGAGACTAATTTAAAAGATAGACTAGAGAATCTAGATTATAATTAACTAATAAGAGATTTTATTATCGATATCGATAAGATTATATTATATATCTAATTTATTTATAATATAATTAATAGCGATTCTCTATCTTTAGTAAGTCTTAGCGAGATTAATAATCTAGTTACTCTTAATACTAAATAAAGAAAAATATTTAATTAAATTATAAATTACTATTAATAAGATAATACGATTTAACTTCTTCTCTATATTAACGATATAACTAATATAGAAAAATTAAAAGTTATTAATATAATATCGAAATATCTAGTCTATAACTTATACGATTAAGAAAAGATTTATTTAATTCTAAGAGAAGCTCTTATTAAGATAACCGCTTACTTAATCTATAATTCTACTCTATATTATCTATTATTATTATTCGTAAAGAGAAGTTTTTAATAATTAAAAGAGAAGTCTCTATCTCGACTTTAGAAAGTCTTTTAAAATTACTAGCTATTAATTATTAATAAGAAATTAATAATAGATATATAAATTCTTTATTATATCGATCGTCGATTATATTAAATTAGATATAAATTTAATATCCTTTATAAAGAGATAAATATTCTTTTTTATAGTAATTTTAGATAACTTTCTTTAATTCTTACGATCTTTCTATATAGCACTCTTTCTTATAATTCTAAGAACGTTTTAGTCGACTATCGAGTATATATAGTATTTAATTAAATCGTTATTTTTTTATAGATAATATAATAGTAAGATAACTCGTTTAAGGCTATTTAATTTTATAAGACTCTTAATTAACTATATAATAAGTCTATTAACGTATCGAGTTAATAATCGCTTATAACTTAAATAAAGAAATAACTTAGTATCGTAAAGTAGAAGTTATTTTATAACGCTCTACAATTATATATTATTAATTATAAGATAAACGACTATAATATTTAGTATTTAAAGTCTCTTAAGTATTTAGTTATAAATATTTAAGCTATTAATATAGATAAAGACTTTAAATAGACGAGTTTAAATAACTATAGCAATCTCGATAATAAAGTATTACTATTAAAGAAAGTAAAGGTTATACTAACGTAAAATCTATATATTAATAAGAAACTAATTAATAAAACGATATTAACGATATATTGAATTCTCTAAATAAATAACGTTTAGAACCTCTTTAAGACTATATTAATAATAATTTTTATTAAAGTTAACGACTATAGTAGACGAGCTACTATTCTTATTAATGAAAGATATATAATTTTTATACTATTACGAATATAGTAGTAGAAGTATAATAATAATATATATACTCGAACGTAAATTCCTCTTACTCTAGTATATACTATTATTATTTATAAAAGTTAAGAATTAACTCTCGATTAAACCGTTATGAATATAGCTATTAAAAGTATTATTATTATTATTTTTATCTATATCGCTCTATCTAAAGTTCGTTATATTATTAATCTCGCTATCGAAGTTTATTTCTTCTATAATTAGTTTCTAAAAAACTAGAGTCTATATATTAAGATGCGAATTAATAATAAATATTATTAATAAAATAAATTTCTTCTATTTATCGTATATAATACTATTAATAAAAAATAAAGATAAAGCTCTATCGTTAAGAAAGTAGAGGATATTATAAACTATTTAATAGCGAAGTTATTAACTAAGTAAGTAAGACGCTAAACCTATTTAGAAATTAGTATATAAGTTTTAAAGAGATAAAAATAGCTATTCTATATCTTTTACTCTTTTATACTCTTTTACTCTATCTTAATTATCTTAGTTATTATCTACTAGTCTTATATATAAAGATTTATTAATAAGTTAATTATAAATATATTTCTAGTATAATTTAGTTATTTATTCGCTATATATAGAAAGTATAATTATAGAGTATAGTAGTAGCTAGATAAGTTAAGCGAAACTAATTCTTATTCTATTAATTTTCATCTAAGCCCATCGACTAACTAAATAATAGATTCTATTTATATCTATAGAGAAAGCGTTATTTTACTACTTTCTTTTATATTAACTACTATTATAATACGATAACTATATATTAGAAGTATCTATTATTACGATTAAAATAATATATATATTCTATCTACTACTAAGTATACTTTATAGAAATATTTACTATATCTTATCGTCGCCGTAGCTCTTTACTATATTCGAAATTTTCGCTATTCGAATTAATGTTAATATATTCTTATTACTTTACTTAATCGTCTACTATCTTAATTAAAGCGATATATATATCTTATCTATTATCGAATATACTTTATAAAGATATTTACTATATCTTATCGTCGTCGTAACTTTCTATTATATTATATTATATCGTCGCTTCGATATATTAAAAGTATATTCTAGTATATTTTAATACGTTATAATATATAAAAGTATATTATAATACGTATAAATATATTCTACGATTATATATACGTACTATAGCTCTAGAATATTAAAAAAAGAATATCTATAGATTTATTTAAAAGTATATTAGTAAGTAAGATATAGTAAATATTAGATAAATACGAATAATATAGAGAGAGTTTTTTATATATAGTAGATATGTAATTACGTATATTATAGACTTAATAATTTAAATTATTATAAAATTTTAATATATATAAAATTTTAATAAATTTAAACTTATTTATTTAAAATTAGACTAGTTACGTAACTAGTTACTAGTTATAAAATATATAGTTTTTAAAATAATTTTCTATTATACTATAAGATCTAGATATAATTTCGATTACTATTATTAGTTATAAAGATAAAAAAATTAAAATAGACTATATTTACCTTAGTCCCTTAGATCTGCCAAGATCGCTAAGCCCCTTCGAGTTAGCTTACTAACTTCGCAGTTAAACGACGGTAGATCTGAGTGTAAAACCCCGTAATCTTATCAGATCCGCACTATTTTGGCGTACGTCCTATATAAATTTTGAGCTTATATTTTTTTTTCATGAATAATCATCTTTAAGGCACGATTGCGATTTAAATTTCTATTAAAATAATCTATTTCTCGATATAAGCTAATTATTTTATATCTTCTCTATCGAATACGCCATTTTTCAAGATCATCCCTCGAGAATCCAGCGACGTTGACATGGGCATTCAAAAATTGTTAGAACTGATACCGAATTTTGAGTATTGCGCAACAACAACAATAATCGACTGGCTCGAGATTTCTTTGTCGGAAGATTCGTATGTATGTATGAGCCTCCGGAGCACGTATTTGACGTAAATAAATAAGTGAATTGTGGTGCGTTGGTATTCGAGGCTGATTTAGCTTTAAAATGCTAAGAATGCTAAGGAATTTGTATGTTAAGAATGCCAAAAAATTACCGCAATGCGCGCAAGTTTTTTTAAAAGAAATAGAGAAGAATAAATGGAGAAGAATAGAGAAAAACAGAGAGTAACGGAGAAGAATAGAGAAAAGTCAATGATTTACTTATGTGTGCGTACGCGTATATATATTTATATATGTATGTGTGTGTTGTAAATACTCGACGACACGCGTTAATTTGTTAACGTATTTTAATACATTCAAAATACGTAGTTAAAATTTGTACTTAAGTCAAAAATGCGAAATTATACGGGATTCCTTGTATTTTATTAGAAATAAGCCGGATCTACGCGTAAGATTAGGATTTGCCCTTAGACGTGCTTTCTTCAAGTTCCGTAGTAGTAGAAGGCGCTAACCCGAAGGGGCTTAGCGAGGCGAGCTAACCCAAAGGGGCTTAGCGATCTTGGCACGTTCTGAGGGACTGAGGCAAAGACTATATTTAAGTCTATATCTATATTACGTAACTCGATAAGCTTTTTACTACTAAATAGTCTCGCGCCCTAGCACATATTATAATAAGCAGTTGAAACAAGGATGCCAAGGCTGTAGGGCTACTAGCGGCTGGCCGATATGTTATGCTCGCTTTATGCATGCACAAATGTAGTTGCGGCACCTTCTTGGGTTGTCCTTTAGGCGCCGAAATCCTCTTACTCTTCGCCTAATGGAGGCATCACATCCGTGACATCCAACTTCAACAGTCGCGAGGCTCAAACCCTTCCATCCACTGAGTTCTGTTCCTCAACATGAATTCTTCTTTCGACTTACATGCTTCGCAATCTTTTAGAAACTTAAGCGAATGGATATCTCCGCTGCAATGAGGCTACTCCAAGATCGAAGGATCCTGCTTCTAGGAGTGATTGAATATTATGAAGAAAACGCCGTAGACAAGGGAGGATGGTTCGATAGACTCCTGTCAAAAAGAGGGTCTCTACACTGATTCATAGAGCTCCTTGCTATCTTCAGACCAACCTATTTCTGTAAGGGACAGAAAAGCAAGCCTCCAAGCATTCTGCTATCCTAGTTCCATAACCTGCGGATCCAGAATCGCAGGCAACGCGTGTTATCATCCTGGGTGAGGGCAGCGATGTTATCATTGACATCCATAATACCTTGCACATGCCAAGTCGATTTGGTCTCGCTGCCAACCAAGTCCCACATTTGCTGTAGGGTGGCAGTGTTGTGCGCATAGCCTGCGGATTCTCTTCCGACTTGGTACAACCCAGGCTTGATGTGACCAATTTGTTGCCCGAAAATCATCGACCCCGGTTCCTTTCGCAGGAAGTTGACGACTTGCTTCGCTATAGCAACCTGCTCAGTCCAATCGAAAAGGTGAAAGAACATGCTTGCGAAGACGATGTTGAATTTGTCGTGAAAGCGCTCGAATTCGAATGTCCCGGCTACGATGTCTCCAGTGAAGAAAGTCATCTGCGTGCTTCGATCCACAAAAAGATCGTATCCAGCCTCTATGAGGATCCTATCCGTGTAAAACCCGAAGAGGTCTTCAGCTGCTACGCCTTTGACACAAAGTTTGCGCATATTTTGCCCGAAACCACAACCCAGCTCCAATAGCTTCTCTCCTTTCAGCATTCGAGCCTTCATTTTCTTGTAGACGGGGCTCTGGATGATGGTGCAATCGGCAAACCATGCCAGCCAAAGGCTGGGATTAGCGCCAATTGTTTGGTGCTTTTTGAGCTGCAAGGAGACCGTCAGCTATCTGCAGCCTGCTAGAGGTGTCTTATCTAATTTCGAAGACTTACCACATCCATCCAGTGGTCTGGTACTTCCGTTACTGACATCTTGCTATAGTTCCAGACCAGTTGTACTGTTTCTGGAGCGATAGCAAGGGCCTCCGTATGTTTCGATTTTCCAGACAATTTTGAAATATCCGTGTCAGGTTTCGATATTCCTGACATCTTCTTATCCATATCGTTGATTGCCCGGATACAGATCTGGTCTGAAACACCAAGGAGACTTGCTATGTTTATGGCTGCAAGGCTTGCGGAATCCACAGAGATGCAAGAGTCTACCCGCAAGGTGTATGGGTCAGGGAAAGGGAGTGTGCTGTAAGACTGCTAGAAGATGGAGGATCTCTGATGATAGAGAAGCTCGAATACCGGTTGCAGAGGCAAGTCCAGGGTATACTAACCGTATGCTGGGAATCCGAGAGTTAAATCTGAAAAGAAGAGCAGAACAAGCCTTGAAGGAGGCTATGTTTCGTCCTCTTTTCGATCGCCTCATCTCCTCGTCGGCCCATCGACCGTATAGGACGAGTGTAAATCCATGAAGCTTCTGCACTAGCGTGTCTGGCCCACGTCCTCGGAACACTGGTTCAGTTATGATGAAGACCGTCTCCGATTTGGCCCGACAGTATCCCAATGAAGGTGAGGAGCTCCAGTGGGATATAAAATCTGCACTCACAGAACCTCTGCCGTTCTCGCCATTGGTCGGCGCGTTATCTTGCCTAGCTTCCTCGATTTCGTGTTGGGGAACTACAATTCCGATGGCTTTGGAGAGGTCTATCGGGTCTATCATTCTCTCGAGGTGAGTTGTCAGCAAGATCGGTAGTCTCACCCGGTCATCTCTGACGTCGTTTTGCTCTTATCTTCCCTTGCGTGTCAAAATAGGATTCGTCTATCAGAATTGTTGGCAAGCATAGAGTTGCGTGGAAGATTTCGAAATAGGTCGCGCGAAGATATGCCACGCACATGACTTGCTAGCTATGGCTGGTATGAGAAAGATTGCGTACAGTGTTCCGATCGTAACGTGGAACGAGGTAAGTGCGTGGAACAAATACTGTTGTAGCGCAAGGTCGGCACGCATATGTGGTCCGGAACATGGTGAATGGCAAGCAAACAACGTCGATTGTGAGACGTGAAACTAGACGAGTTGGTTTGAATGACATCTATGAAACTGGACAAACATCACTGCTCTTTCATAGTGTACATACCCTAGCAAAGACCCTGATAAATGACGCCCAAGCTCTACGTACGCGATGTGCCAAAGTATAAATGCCAAAACAGACTGCAGAACTCCAGCAAAAACTACTCGGAATGTTTCCATTTACAATCTTCCTGGAGGTCTCTCTTCTCAGTATTTCTTATCAATAGAGCCTCGTCCCCTACGCGTTCGTCGCGCTCACTTTCCCAGAGTCTTGGGGGTTCAGCGAGTATCCATAGCTCTGCGTCACACTGTAGACCTGGTTGCCTCGCATCTGTCCGTAGTTGGTGTCATACGGCTTGCCCCACGGCTGGGTGTACTCAGCGCAATGCGTGCCGTCAACGACGCCCCCGAGAACCCCGACCCAGGCATTGAAGAAGTTGCATGGCATGTAGGTCCCGTCGGCCTTTGGGGTAGAGCGGTCGTTGGCGGTCGTGGCGGCGCATTCGGAGGCGCAGAACGTCGTGTTCAGAGTGCTGCCGGCTTGGAAGCGCACGCCGATGTAGGTGGAGCCGTCGGGGGCGATGATGGCGCCGGTCAAGGGGGTTGGGCCGTCGAATCCGGGTTGTGCGGGCGGGAGTTTGTTGTAGCCGTTCGATCCGGCGATCACGACGTGGAATGAGGCGCGGTATTGCCCCGAGTTGGTAGCTGTGGCGGATGTGAGGGCGGTGCCCCAGAGACTGCATTTGACATTTGTGAAGCTGGATGGGTTCGGGCATGCGGATGCGTCGGGGAGAACGCTGGGATCTCGCTCGAAGTAGAGGTTGAATGCCGTGCATCCGGTCACTGCGTCGCATTTGGCCTTGCAGACGGACGGGTCGTAACTTTGGAGGTCATAGTATGTCAGGTAGTTGCTGGTGGTTGTCGCGGCTTGGAGGTTCACGAAGGATTGTGCGTAGCCGGGTGGTGTGACGGCGCTTGAAGCGGCATTCTGAATAGCTATTAGTCAAGCGCAAGTCATTGAAGGGTGGAAATACACGTACGGAATAGACTTGGTTGGCAAGGAAGGCTTCGGCTGTGTCAGGGTTAGTCGACTTGGGACCGTAGCCTCCTGGTTGTGCTGTCTGCGACGCGCAAGACGAGCTGCTGGGTGCTGGACTTGGCGCTGCAGCAGGTGCGGCGGCAGCGAGGCTGGCGAGAGATGATAGGATGATTGTAGAACGCATGTTAGGAGATTTGAAAGTAAAGGAGTGTTCTTCTAAGAGATTGTGGTATTTGAGATAAATGCCGAAGATATTCAGGGTCTTTCTATAGTAGAATGAGGGTATTGGTTCTTAATCTCCTGGTGACTTGTGATGATGAAAAGCGGATTGTTGGGGACTTGGATGCCCTTCTTATAGAAAGAGACGAAGTCATACGGGGCTCTCCGATGGAAAGCTGGCGCGGTCTAGACACCAATTAGGAATTCCGAATACTGAGCGGTTTCGATAGAAGAGAAGGCTTGGCGAACTTTTGCGGCGTGAGAGTTGCCACGGCGTTGATAGATGAAACATGCCATGTGCTATCTTGCCATGCATTAGCAGACATGACAAACTCCGCGTGAGGGCCACATGGAAGAGCATACCGCGACGAAGGCTTGGAGTCTAGAATCTGTCTTTCTGCAAGCCACAGAAACGAGAAAAAACCGTAGAGTATGGAACGAGATGCTTTAGGTAATAGAGGAGTAGTCCAAGCCGAGCTGCAGCTGCAATGGACGCCCCGTGCCTTGAGGAAAAACTTAAATGAGACAAGGCTTGATGGCTTCAGGCTCGTTTTCTCTTTCTGTGTAGTATGATTGAAGGTTTACATATTATTTTACGGCTCAAATGTACCTTCATAGCTCGATTATTGTGGTACTGTAAACCCCCGAATGTGCTTTGTTCTTGCAAACGCCATGATACGATGATGGTATTTTTCATGAGACATCCTCAGCGAATGAAAAGTTCTCCTCGGGGCTTTTCAATGGAATTTTCATTGGCGTTGGTATTTTTATTTCCGCTGTCTTTCTATTTATTCTCGTCAAAGTGATTCCACATAGTACTAGAAATCCAATCCTAGTCACAATCGGACGTGGGCAGTTCTCTGGGACTGGGACCGGCGACGAGGTTCCGCCGTAGTTGGATAGGCCCGAAATAAAATAAGATGAGGCCCTGTTCCTAATAGATACCAGCATTAGTCTTACACTTTGGATTCAAGCTTGCTCGATCAAGTAAGGATTTCGTGGAGATATTTCGAGGCTTCAAGCCCACGAGAGGCGTCGGAGCAATGGCAAAAGCGTAGTCTGACTTCACAGATCTGGAAGACCTACTTGGTTTACAGCCGCTCGATTTGAAAAAGGTTCGTATTAGAGAGTGAAAGGAATGAAGGTTTGGGGAGTCGAGTTGTGGCTAACGCCACAAGGCACGTGACCGGAAGCCTTGGCGCACAATCTGACCGTGCGTGGTGCCGAGAAAAGTCACTTTCTCCCACCACAACCAATACTCAAGTCATAGCCTCTTGTGCAGTTTAAGCGATATTATCTGCTTTCTGAGGTTGGGATTCTGAACTGGAGGAGCAAGTGAGTACGGAGCTGAAAGTCCATGAGCAAAAACGGCGGCTTCCTCGTCGTCTTTCCTGTGCGGTCTGATAATCTCCATACTCCGAAGGGCAAAGGAAAGACAGTACTGGAACCTTTAAACATACTAAAGGAGTGGCTTCTGCCTTCCAGACCGCAGAATCCACGACCATGCATGTCTGGCGGCCGGTCCGGGAATCACTGGTTCGCCCTTGTTGAAAACAGCCTCAAGCACGCGGATATCTTGGATAGGCAGTCTTACGCGGTCAGCCTCTCTCTCGCAGGAGAGACACTCCAACTAGAAGCATTCCGAATCTCTAAGGCATAAGCTTCGTGATCGCACGCTGACTACTTCTGCTCCGGGACGGGTGTTCGACTATGCCAAGCAAGGCGTTCGTCGTCTAAAGCCTCGAAGATCGTCTGGACGAAGAAGGAAACCCTGACAATGATTCGAGAAAAATCTGTTCAGCCCACATTGAAGAGACAAATTAACGGATATTAGCGTCTTTCCAAGCTTGGCTACGGTACTGGCTCCACCGTCTGGCTAGCTAAGGATGTTCAAAAGCTGGTGACTTGATGGTGTACTGAGCCATTTTTCCCCAGATTACTATGGCAATCAGAGCGCTGTGTGGCTTTTGAAGTCTTCACTTGTTTTACGGGCGACTGCAAAGCCGCTGAAACAGAGCTTGCCATATCTCAGCGTATCTCGAATGCAGTGGAATTGTAGAGGTCCACCTTATACTAGATTGATACAGTACTATCCCATTCATGGAACCTTTGGAGAAAACTTACTCTTGGCGTTCGAACCATAAAGAGAAGTAATGGGCTAATAGGCCGACGTCTTGGCCCAGAAGGCTTGTCGCCAATCACCGTCAAGGCTTGCTTGAAGCCTATCCTATAACGTCTCAAGTTTCTTCGTATGGAGTGCCACGTATTACACACGGTCAAGGGATGGCGAGTTGCATCTGTTACAAAAAGCGCTGACAGTATAAGCCCAGATCTTAAATCCGCCAACATCATCCTGGGCTTTGAAGATACGAAGGATTGTTGCTACTCCCTCGTCAAGATTGAGAGAGACGATTCTGCCTCTCGATAATTCAAGTATGTCTGTATCAGTGGAATTTGTCTGCAGTGCAGCTCGGTCAGCATTCCATGGAAGTGACAACTCGGATGTTCAATTGATGTACTGACATTGTTGGTTCTCGCGCATACTGGCTTTCCGAGCACGCTACTTCACGCGAAAAGACTTTTCGTAGATTTAGCTTCGACGATAAGTCAAGGGTGTCTGATGCTAAACAGTAATCTCAGACATGCCCGTGTACAATTGCTGGCTGCCGTCAACTCGGCTTCGGGCTTGCGTGACCGCCTGAAGCTGCGGGAAGGCGAAAAGGAATGTCATTATCAGACTATGAACATGATTCTGATAGGCCTCTGGGTCACGATGGCATTCGGGTGAGTACAATGATCCTTTGCGGCTCAAATTGAAGCGAAGAGCTGTCCGATGTGACACGAATACAAAATGGGTAGGCTGTGTACTACATAAAAGGGCTCATCATCGCTCACCTCTTTCCCATCCCCCAAAACAGTCAAGATGTCTAAAGATAGGTGAGTAGACCAAGCCCTGTCCTGATCTTGTGTCTTGCCAAAGAAATACAACGCCAACCTTTGATGCAAGGACTACCGCCAATTTCGACTCACCGTTCGTCGGAATTCCGCTTCTCTTCATCGGAATCTACTCCAACACAGATGTTAATGAAGAAGATTACAGATGGTCCTTCATAGTCTACCCCGCGAAGAAAGAAGGTGCTTCGGAGGAACAAGAGTACCTGTTGCTCTGGCGACTTGGCCACGGTAGAGGTAATCGTTGCCGCTTCGAAGCACATCAAGGCAGACTCCGAGACCAGGAAAATATGCTCGGTTGGCTGGTGATCGCTGAAGTCAAAAACCTAAAGGAGCTGGACGACACACTGCTTTCTTCTAGTCCTTCCACTAGTGTGCCGGATAATCGGAAATCTAGAAGCCTGTTCTGGGTTCAGGGAATGTTGGAAAGGTTGGTGGATGCGGGGTGCTTGAAAGGGAAACCGAAAGCGTTTGAGGATATCGAGACAGAGGGCAGAGAGATTGCGCAGAGACACACGCAGTTGGGTAAGACCATGTATGTGCCCCAGGATAACAGTTTGCTTGACCGGAGGAACAGTCAGGGTGCGGAGACAGGTAAGGAGACGGAGGCTGTGGTGAAGGGCAAGGAGAAGAACGCTATTCTTCAAAGCCAACAGATTCACTCTGCCCCTTCGACCGACGACCGCACTAGCCACGTCCGATCCAACCACCCCGCGACCTCTTCGACCGGGAAAACCGTAACTAACCTCGTGCCGGAATATAACACCGACAGCGACAGCGACGCCGAGGACAACAGCAAGGACGTCGTCGAGGTCCACAGACCTTCGTCTTCGGTCGGACCGCCTAGCATACCATCTCCTTCTACGGCACCGCCCAGCACACCACCGACCTCCATGGGACCACCCAGCAAGCCCGCTTCTTCCATGGCCCCACCCAAGCTTCCGGTGAGTGCGACTCGAGGCAAGAGGAAACATCCGGCGGGCCGGGATGCTGGGACCGAGGCTCCGGCCCCCGGGAGGAAATATTTCACGATGGATGACTTGCCACTCGTGCGGTATGATAAGAAGGGTCATAGGGTTTGGTAGTGCTTGCGTGGGAGGGCTATACTGTACGTAGCTTGACTTTGCGAGAGGGTGTTGGGGTGGGATCGTAGCGGGATTTCTCTGGATTGTGGTTTCGACTTTACATGTCTGTTAGTCTGTTATTAAATTCTTGGAGACTACTTCAGCTTGTAGGATTCGCTTATGTGAGTGGCGGCGCTGGGAATCTTGCAAATTTCCAAAATCTTGTTCAGATTGACTAAGTATGTGACAAGGGCATGTGAAAAAGTAAGTTTCGTCGATGAAGAGGCATGAGCGGTTATCCAAATTCGACATTGTGGTATCCAGCACGAGTGTCTCGGTTCAGTCAAACCTGCCAGGCATCGGAGCTGAGTCTTCAATCGGCCTCTTTTGTATCGCTTTGTCTTCAACTGAAGCCTCCTGGAATGGCCGGACTAAGGCTTCCTGCCCCTGTTCATCTCGACTCGCTGCACCCTGACCATCCGCTGAATTTACATCGCGTAGAGTGTCAACGCCCAACCTCTTTCTCGACAACTCAATACTCGTATCCGTCGTTGCCCCGTCAATGAAATCGTTCATAATCACAATCGTCTTCTCCGCCTGCAACCTATCCAGTGCATTCGCCCGGATCCATGGCAGCGTCTGCATGTCCAACGCTCCTTTCGTGCTAGTCAGACAACTCGATGCCGCGTTCGCGCTCACGACGCTGTAAATTAAGACCTCTTTGATACTCTGCGATGTCGCTTGGCATTGCAACACGGTTATGTCGGTCGATTCTTGGCCGGCCGTGTTCATGGACTCGAAGCGCCCGAGTATGGGATCCGCTTTCAAGGTGGCGTAGGCTGAAGCGGTCCAGGAGTCGTATTTCTCGGCCATGATTACGACGATGAGGCGTTGGCCGGTCGAGCGGAGGGTGTCAATTGGCTTGCTGAAGCATTCCCGGTGGCCCCAGGTCAGTTTAGCATTCTGGGCTCTGGCGCATGCGGAGTTGAGGGCCTGGTGGATTTCTTCTTCGGTGGGCTTTTTACATTCTTTGATGATGTTGTCGTAGCGGATATGGAGCGTGACTATCTCCGTGGGGTTAGCATCCAGGAACTGGACCTGATCGTCGAGGAACTCGTCAAATGCTAGCCCGGGGATGCACGCATGCTGGAAGTAGAACTTGTTGGGTAATTTGGATACTTTCTGGAACGCGGGTAGAAGCTCCGCGGGACGGAATTCAAAGTACCTTGCTCCGAGGGTAAGCATCACAGGAACCTGCTTCTTTTGCGTAATGGACACGCCGTACACAATGTTTGGTAGCATATGCACGAGTGCCTCGTCGGGGATGTGGGGAAAGTGGTGCAGTCCGGGCACAATCTTGCGCAGGTCGGCTACCATGTCACTATTGACCGAAGAGAGCACTGCGTCGGCTTGTTGCATACTGTTCATACCGTTATCGTGCGGTGCTGCGAGTACGAAGCGGGAGAATGGGTGTTGGGCCTGGGGTGAGCCCGGCGGAGCTACGGCACCCATCCATGCTTTGTTGCTGGTTGAACAGATAGTTACGTAGCATTGGTCGTGATTAGTGAGACCAGCTTCGCCGTGGCCGGCGTCGTAGAAGCCGAAGGTTATGACCACGGCGTCCGTGACGATTGGGGCGAACTCTGCCTATCTCTCGTCAGCAAGTACTTCGCTGTATGCATGTCTGTGAAAGAGGGCGCATACGGTAGAAGTCATGCTCCCGCCCTCCAGATTGCCAGTCAGACTATTGATGTCATTGTATCTGCTGCCGACAATGTTGCCGTCGGGATCGAAGGCTTTCCATTCGAAGCGGCCGGTATAATGACGGATGCCTTCGATGTTGGATGATTCGACTTCGAGATCTTTGGCAGTAAAATTGTCCGCGGCTGTGTTTCGGACAGAAGTCTTGGGGGCGGTGAATTCGACTTTGTAGCCTTCCACGGAGATGTAGCTGTATACTGTGATGCCTTTGCTAGGCATTTTATCGACTTGGGCAGAGCTAAAGGTGCAAGCTGAGAAACAAGTGATGGAATGACGGAATAGAATGACTTGTATGGTTACGACAGCGAGGAAGACGCTGAGTAGAACCAGCGGAGAAGAATACTTTACATATGTAGTACGACGATACGCATCATTGCCCCACTGTAATTTCAGCTAGGGCGGCTAAGCGTACAGGGAAAGATAAGGTAATCCCCGTAAGGTAATCTAGGGGACACGGCTGCGGCCCGCGTATAGAGCTCGCCTTCGGAATCGGTATTACGTATTGTGTAAAATTGCATTGCCTCCTGTAAGATATTCTTACCCAGTGCAGAAAGTCTGCTTGACTGGGAGGTAGCGAGTTGATTTCTAGATGTATTCTCAGGGGAGGAACGTCGATCTATGCTCACCTAGCCGTAAGAGGAAGGTGCTTCACAGTCCGACCCAATTCGGACTAGGGTGGCGGTCAGCAATGGACTCCATCCATTTTTACAAGCTGTGTCCCACAACAGAATCTCCGTAGCTTTAGCATCTCCTTTTCTCCTTTTTCTTGTCATCTCCGCACCATTTCTTCTTCATCCGGCTAAGAAGCCTAAGAGACCGGGACTATCTTCCCACAGCATTCGCAATGGACCCCCTCACAGCTTTCAGCCTTGCCTGCGGGGTAATCCAGGTCGTCGACTTCAGCACCAAGACCTTGGTAAAATGCAAAGAAATTTACAGAGAAGGCTCTTCATCTGAGTATCTAGAACTCGAAAGTATGACAAGACATCTTGTTGATGTTCGAGCTGGCCTTGATCTTCCGGGTCCCCCACAAAGTGCCGACAGCATCCACAAAGTCGACGACCAGAGCATGGTGGAGCTAGCCAAGGAGTGCTCTATAACGGCTGACCAGCTGATTGAGAAACTTCGCTCAGTGAAGACTGAGGGGCCGCATAAAAAGCGGCAGGCTATCATGAAGACCGTCAAACTTCTTTGGGAAAAGGGCGAGATCCAGGAGATTCAGAAGCGGCTAGATGGCTACCGAAATACGCTAGACACACAGATCCTGATCAATCTAAGGTTCGTTTAATCTGATGGTCCAAAAAGCAGCGTATGTCACTTGAAGCTTACGTGTGCTGATCCGTACGTGAACAGACAGCGTGTCGACTTGGCCTCTCTGCAGCACAACAAAGAGTTTCGAAATTTGGACGAGAAAATCCAGAAGCTCATCCAGAGTTTCTCTCAACGGCCAGTAGATTTTGAAGAGCTCAGGGCCCTTATCCAAACGGACAATGAGAAGACTAGGGAACATGTTCACAACAAGCTTCAAGAGCATGAGAGACGTCTAGCGGAAGAGGAATATCGCACGCGACTTCTTGACAGTTTATGGTTCGCCGAAATTCTTAGCCGAGAAGAAACCATTGCCGAAGCCCACAGCGAGACTTTTCAGTGGATATTTGACAGATCTGGCCAGGCTGTGCGTCCCTGGGACAACTTCATTGCTTGGCTTAAGAGTGGTGAGGGTATCTATTGGATTAGCGGCAAAGCTGGTTCCGGGAAGTCGACTTTGATGAGTTTTCTCTGTCAGGATGAGCGAACAATAGACGCATTGACAACCTGGGCCGGAACGAAAGACATCTTCACGCCCAAGTTCTTCTTCTGGAGTGGTGGGGAAAAGATGCAAAAGAGTGTCGAGGGTTTGCTGCGCTCGCTCCTTTGGCAGATCTTATATGAGTTCCCTGAAATGAATGTTCTATCATTTGATATCGGATTACGAACTGAGCTCAATAGAAGCATTTCCCGCGAACACGGTTCAATCGGGGCTTGGACGAGACGTCGACTTCAAAGGATGCTCCTAGAGGTAATAGACAAGCTACAGAATTCGTGTTGCTTGTGTTTCTTCATAGATGGACTAGACGAATTCGATGAAGACGAAGATGAATTGATCGCGGTTGTTCAAGATATTGTGTCGAGCACTGGCGTCAAAGTCTGCTCGTCAAGTCGACCATACAAAGTATTCGAGGATGCTTTTGGTCCTTCAGCCAAGCTTAGATTGCAGGACTTAACGTACAAAGACATTCAGCGATACGTGACGGATAAATTTCAAGGTGTACGGCAACTAAAGTCAATGACATCAGAGAACGAATACGAGATGAATGAGTTGAAGAAGGAATTAGTGACCAGAGCGGAGGGAGTCTTCCTATGGGTCTCGTTGGCTGTTAAGGATCAGATTCGCGGCCTCAGAAACGAGGATAGCCCAGAACAGCTGCGGGAAAGACTCGCACGTCTGCCAAGTGAAGTTGAAGGTATTTATCTCCGCATGTTGCTTCAAATTGATAAACCCTATCGACAAGAGGCATCACGATTCCTCCAGATGGCTCTAAACTCCCCAGGATGGACACTTTTGGAGCATGCGCTTGCGTCTTACAAGGACCTAGACAATATTCTCTTGACTCCTGCTAACATTTCGAAAAGTGAATTGGTTTTGCTGTGTCAATGGACCCGGAAGAGAATTACGACAACGTGCACTGGGCTTCTTGAGGTCCGTGAGCACCGAACTCCGGGTACCGAAAGCGAGGCTAGTGATACAGACACTCAGCTGCTTGATGCCGACTCAGAAGATGAAGCGTCAGCTTCCGACTCTAAAAGCGAGACCACGGACGAGTCTGACCATGGACAAGTATCTCGGCAGCCAAGTCCGGAGCCCGACAACAACGATTCACACTCAGACTATGGCTCCAGTGACATAAGTGCCGAGGCTTTCAACCTGGAGTCGTACGACACTGTCAAACTTATCCATCGCACGGCGGTTGACTTCATGAAAGTCGGGCAAGGGAAGGCATTTTTGGAGGCCAATTTGTTGCCGGAATTCGATCCCCAACTCTTGTATCTGAAGACTCTGCTTGGGACATTGTGTCTATTTCCAGAATATCAACGGCGCGGCCCAAGTAAAGTAGCGGAATTCATGCTAGATCTAGTCTTTACCGAGAATAGAACTGGAATGGCGCAAATCGAACTGTGTGAGCTCATCGATCGTACCATGTCAGTTTTAGATCAAGGCCATCCGGACTGGCGTCCAAACTCTCACTGGTGTACGCGTTGGGATAGATTCCTGGAAATGCAAGCTCGAGAACAGGACAGGTCGTATTTGAGTACGAGGATGAGTTCTCGATCAAGCTCGAGGGACTCGTTTTACTCCGCAAGGAGCGATCCTATGGCCCGCCGTGAATCGATTGACGCGCCGGCGGGACTATCGCATCTTCTTCCATACGACTTCCTTGGCTACGCGGCCTCATGGGGTCTCTATCACTATGTGCAGCAAACACTTGACTGTCGAGCGAAGCGTCTTGACCTAGAAACAGCAAACTACTTATTGTACTGCTCTACGTTGTCTTGCAAAGACCGCCCCAGGATTTGCAGCCAATCGGGGCTTGTGGCTGATCTTCTAAGGAGAGGAGGCAACCCGAACACAAGACTCCTTACGAACACGATATGGGGAAATTTCCTGAACGGATTTTATGAATACACATTTCAATGCGCTCTGCCCTATATGACTCGAAAGACAGATCCTCTTTCCGATTGGCTGAGCAACTTCACGGAAATGATTGCTGCTTTTGTTGAACATGGGGCAGACATTCACACCATTTTTGACCTTTCCCTGGATTGTCGCGAGTATCCATGGCTGGAAGTATTTGGCATCTCTCTGAATGAGAAGGTGAGCTCGTTCAAATTTGACATGCAGATGTCCGCTCTGTCAATAATAGAGTCATATCTGAGTCATCAGCCCCAATTCTCTCGTATCCAGGAGATGTGTATCGCCAGAGGCGCTCTCTTGTATTCGAGATGTGCGACGTTTCATTTTCGGCTCCGTGGCAAAGACGTGGAGTACACCGAACAATGGCGAAAGTATGAGCTATCCGAGCAGGAATCACGGGAGTTCCTTGAATTACTTGCGCCAAATGCGGTATTTTGCTTCGCAAAGGGTTCTGGGGCAGAGGGGTCCGAAACAAAGGAGGCCTTGTCCCATCAGCGTGCGAGATTTCACGATTGGATTAAACTAGTCTGTTGTTATGAAGAAGCTCGTCTTGACCCAGTGACTTCTCCAATGAGCGGCTCTAGTTCGCTTTCTCAGCGATAGCTCATGAACAAGTGACCGAGGATCCTAATCGATCAAAGACACTTCCCGTTCCCAATCTGGGACTATGTATATCCAAACTCCAGAGCTGAAAGAGACCCAAAGAGAAAGATGTATGTTCGCGCGCGTTATTCGTAACTTCATTCTCACCATCCCCACCACCCTCTCGAAAAGCTCCGGAAACGAGACAATTTTCCTATCTTCGCTGCCTGAGCTTCGGATTGTCCTACCGGCTTTTACGCCCTTCGATAACGCCTGAGCTGTTCGACAAAGGTGATGCGGCACCAGACCCTACACAACTCAGCACTCCCGTAGGGCTTTCGTCGCGCATTCGCGCTGCTGGTACAACAGCAAAAACGCGACCTACACGAGTGTTGGGTTTTGAGGAGTGTACCCGCGGCCTATGGCTCGGCACCTTTTGCAACGGGCGGGTTCTGCGTTTCTGGAGCGAGAATGGTGAGAATGGGGAGGTGACGCGGCAGATGTGTGAGAACTGGGTAGCTGGCTTGGTTGCTGAAGGGTTCGGGCTGGGGACGTTTGGGTGGAGATGGGAGGATCGAGTGGGAGGCCGGATTGGATGGAAAGGTCCTCGGAGATGGAAGAATTTGATGAAGAGGGGAAAGGCAGGCCAAACACCTTGTGGAAAGAGGGGATGAGTCCGGATTGGGAGCATGGAGGAATTGATCCGTGCTTTCTTCTTGGGGGTGCTGGAAACTATTCATTGCCGTGTTTCGCGAAGTCGTATTGCGAGTTTTGGGGGCGGACGGTGGTTCAGCATGATTTCCGTGTTCGTTACTCTCTCCAGTACACTCTTGACTACTCTATCTCCATCACTGTCTCACTATCTAGCCTATCTCATTCTCCATTCCTTGGGTCATTCTCAACTTCCGCGCAAGTATGATTCTGTTCATCGCTCTCTTCTCTCACGTTTGAGTCGCTCTCCCCATAGCCTCCTTCGGATTCTCCAGTCTCTATGGCATGCGCAGGCCACTGGAACATGAATTGCCGTCGGCCTCGAAAGCAGCAAGCGAGACATCTTTCTCGCCTAGCTCCTTGCGAAGGATCTCACCAGACAACTCCCGTAATGAGCTGCTTGGCTGTCAATCGTCTTGCCTGAGATGATAAGAGCCCCAGTTCTCTCTTAGCAGCCAGTTCGTTTGAAGCTGTCGAATTTGAGCTGGCCAACAGCTTGGGATATACTGTTCCTTCAGAGGCTTTGAGGGAGACGTGTAAGGATAAGACCTCTGCGCTGAGATGACCGAAGCTCTTCACAGATAGACTCTTGAACATCTACAGGTCAGTAACGAGCGTTACTAGAGTAAGAAAGACCATATGTGATTTGGAGGTACTTCAGGCTAATGTGCCACAGGGTAGCGGCATCTTTGATGTCTATTTGATACGCACGGACAGATGGCAATACCTAAATGGCCATATGATTGGTTCATTAATGTGTGTCAAGTTACTAGCGTCCTTATGCCACAGGCTTTTGCTACTATTTCTACGTAGAAACACCACTCCATAGAATCAGTGACCAATCCATTACCTTTGACCGGTGTCGTACCCTGCGCCGATGACGACCAATTCGTGCTAGCATGCTGTGGGGGACAGTGGGCACCAATCCAGACCGTGAACGACCGCAACCTCGCGCTATACTCAAAACTACAGCAGTTCGGCACATTGTGTGGGAGACCTTGATCCCCCCGTCATCTGTATCGTATGACAATCTTCAAACCTGTAAGTGTGCGAGTATTAACCTTCTCACTTCCTCGCCTTGGAACCAGCTACTCAGCTACGCGACAGTGACATCTAATGCTGTGCGAAGGCGACACAATCTTACCACCCCTCATCTTCGTCATCCTCAGCCTGCGCTTGCAGCTTCTCTTTACTTTTTGCTTGCTTCAGCTTCTCAATCTCCAGCTCAAGTTCCAATTGCCTGAGTTTATCACTGCCACCCTCAACCTTCCTGCTCTCATCAGCCCTTGTATCTCGATTGCCAGCACCGCGCCGAGCGGGAGCCGTCTTTCCGGATCGATTGTCGAAGTCCTGAGTCTCAGATCGCCCAACAATCATGGCTGGGTGGGTATCCTTCCGGATTTCGTCCCGCGCCGCTAGAACACTCCACGTATCTTCCGATATGTTGTGGACATCGCTGATGTAGTCATCAAAATGCGCGCTCGTCTGAGCTACGCGATTGAAATGTCGGGCACTGAGTAGCGGCCTTTCAAAGTTCTGGCCTTGTTTCTCCTCGTAGAAGTCCCAATTAGCAAGCGCCAACGCCGTCTGAAAAGCGTTTTTGATCTGCCGACCGTTCCAGTGGCGGGACGGGTTTTTTATGTTCTCGAGCCAGTGGTCTTCCGCGAATTTGCGGATCTCATCTTCGGAGAAATCGAGTTGGAGGCCGGAGTCTCGGAGACGCAAGAGGTTGCGCTCCCAGATGTTTAAAGTGGCCGATTGATCCAGCTTGGGGTAGTAGAGGCTGACGTGGATACGGGATCGGAACGCTTCGTCGAATTCACCGACACGGTTGGTGGTTAGGATGATGACGCCGGAGAAATATTCGAGGACTCGGAGGAAGACTGTGGGAAGCTTAGGAAAAACCACTACAATACAGCGTCAAATATAAAGGATGCAACATATACAAGCATAACAAAACAGCAAAACAAAAAACCAGGGAAAAAAACAAAAGCAAAAAAACAAACCAAAAAAACTAAAATACAAAAGAAACAACAAAAAGTAGTTTAAAATACCCCCTAAACATCTCTTATTTAAAAGAAAAAAAGCAATTAACATATAAAAGAGCTTATAATATCACTATAATATAAACGCTCAACATATAACCAAAAGCAGAAAATTAATAACAGCACCGCAAAATAATAAACAAAAACATATAATTCCGGGCAAGCTAAAAAAAGATAAACATCAACACCACAGACATACCGATTTTTAAAGAACAACGTCTATTATTCTTTAAGACAAATAAAACAAACGCCACAACCCCCAAAATCCCTAAGCTAAATAACCCACAATACAAAGACTAAAAAAAAAATATATATAACACAGAAGAAACATGTAACAAAAAGGAACTAGTAAATATCAGCAATTAACATATTATTTACTATATACTTTAGAAAAAGAATCGCCCATAATATAAGGTTCACAGAACGCTGTCTTTAATAAGAGCACGATTTAAAAAAAAACATCGCAGCCAGATATTTAAAAACTTCAATAATATTATATAAAGAGAAATATTATTAAAAAACAAAAAGAGAAAAAAGCCCAGAAAAAAAACAATCACAACCAGCAAAAATATTAAAAAAATCTCGATATATTTAAAAACCTTCAAAACAGAGAATCGATATTAACTAAATAAAAAAATCTAAGCCTATAAACTTATACCTATATTATTCTAAAATAAAAGATATTATATTATAAGGATAGAAAACGAACGGCGATCAAGTCTTAAAGACAGCTAAGATAAAAAAAAACTAAGAACAACCGCGGAAAAAAAAGAGATTATAAGAATCTACTAATAACGAGATCTTTATTAAAAGCATTTTCTTATAGCGTAAAAGCCACCGCTATTTTAAAACTCATAACTTTCGAGTTGTATTTTTTCTTCTAGTTTATTAACTTCTCTTATAATTAGTTATTTCTTATACTCTAAAAGAGCGATATATAGAACTCGCCATCTAAAAAACATTACGACCATATAATAAAGCAAATTCGTATTTATTATAATAAAAAGACAAAGCCCAACACGCGATATCTCTTTATAATATTTTCTTTAATTATACGCTATATAAACTCTCCCTTTAAAGAGCTCTATTTATTTATTACTAACTTTATTAATAGCATACTATAACACCCAGTCTTCTTCTATCTTTTAATAAGAATTGATATCTTAATTACGGAGCTAACATATCTCTTTTAGCTACGATCTAAGGTATATCATTATTCGACTACTTCGAATAGTCGGTATTACTTTATAAAGTACTCGAGGGTAGAAGAGAGAAAGGGATAGAATTTCGAAAAGACCGAGATTTATCGGAATTGCGCCTAGAAATATATAGACTAAATGTGATTTTCGATAGCTATTCTATTTAGAAATAACTCGTCGAACTCGGTAATATACTAAAGAGGCTTAATTCGAAGTCCGCTTATAAGCCTATTCTTCTAGAAAGTATTATTTAACTATATATTATTCCCATATCATTATATACGCTTATCTATATTCGTTATTAATTATCGTCTATTAATAGCATTTATATATTATTATTTCACCCTTAGCCACTTAGCTTATAGCGAAGTACTCTTTATAAAGCCCATTTGGCTTTATAACCAACTACCTTTCCCCAATATTAAGACCTGTTTATACGATGTTCCATTAGAGTTATAGCTTGAATAGCAACTAGAATCATAGCCTATGCTTTAGATTTGAAGCCGATGTCTACTCTCTTATTAAGACGATGTTATTATACCATTTCGAGGTACAATGTTACCTTTATAGTCCGGCTTTAAATCATAGATAATAAGACACCGGCACCGGTATCGGTAGACACTATGGGAGCAGGCTCGTTTAGGCAATAATGAGAGTAATAGGAGTATTAATGATAGCTAAAGCCTTTATAGCAGTAGCAGTAGGTATCTCGGCCATAGTGATGTGGAATAATAGGAATTCAATGGTTTTACGGAAAGACAATTTTGCGACGATTCTGACTCAGCCTCAGAAACAGGGTTACAGAACGGAACCGTACACATATTCTACTTGTTTTGGAAATATCCAAGCGTATTTTCAAGCCTTGTTTTCATTAGCCAAGTGGTGGCGTTATTTAGTGGAAATAAGTAGGGGTTATTTCCAAAATATGTGTTCAGAAGGGGCCCTTAGCATGTGTACGAGACTGATTGTTCCCATACACTGAAGCTGACCTGAGACGAGACCGTTCCTTGTGATGTCACCCTTCTCTCTTTTCGCCAGAAAAACATCTGCTTCGTCCAGAAGTAGAACACATCTCCATCTGTGTGCCAGCGCGCAATACTCCTGAAGCGTTTCCTCGGCTTCTTTGACATCTGTGCTGACATCACCACATGTTATCGGTAGCAGTGGTCTTTGGAGCTGAGCCGCCATGCACTCGGCTGTGGATGTCTTTCCCACTCCGGGAGCACCGTGAAGAAGTATGATAAGGCCTTTGCCCTTTCCTTTGACGACATCCATTTGAAACTCATCGCCATTCTCCTCTCCTCTACCAGCTGTCCGCTTCGGATCTCTGACCTGGTTCTTGACAATGGCTTGAAGAAGCTTTTTATGGCCTCGTGGCAGTATCAAGTCCTTGTACCCAGCGGCCGTCATTCGCACTTGATCCGGAGTTATGTCATAGACTGAATCGATGTTGAGTGGGAGCCACTTTCGATTCAGCATGGCATATCCATAGACTCGAAAAGGAAGCAACATAACATAATCGTCTGAGAGAGAGGGTTCGAGAATGCTTCGGTACCTGAGTAGCCTGGTGGATCCGCCGAAATCTCGTCGACGGTCTACATCAATGATGGAGTCATCGAACACGTCTGTCATTGAACGTTCGTCTCTCTTGGCGGGCAAAGGGTCAAATACTTCTCTCCAGTCGGCTGTAGTTTGTACGCTGATGACTCCACCATTGATTTTAATTGTCTTGTGGAGAGTTTTCCGATAATGTGCCACGGCAGCGGCTTGGTCTATCATGACCTCACTGTTGACCTAATCGGTATCACATTAGTAGCAAAATACTAAGATGAAAGAGGTGTAGTGGGTAACGGAGGGCCCAAGTACCTCTTGCTCGTGGATGGTGTAATCCCCGTAGTGGTAGTCCGAATCCCAGAGTTCTCTGCTCTCTCGCAGCGTCGTACCTGAGTATCGTTTATGAGCTCTACTTGCAAGCTGCGTGAAACGTCGTCCTCTTTCGACCATTGTTTGGTAGACCTTTCTGTATTGCAGATGAAAAAATGACAGGCATACTTCGAGTGCGTCCACTTTCCGTTTACCACTGTATTGTGGAATAACCAGTCTCATGGGTTTTGGTCCTAGTCTGTCACCATCAAAGTCAACGGAAAAGCAGTCAATAATGAAAGGCGTCACGTATGAATACGAGCCCCGGATGTTGTCGCAGACGTTTTCTTCGGTCTCTGACTCCCTGTCCCATTACGATTTCGGACTGCATAAATTTTCGACTTGTTGGCGGGGTCAAGAATTGGTCGTCCACCAGTGACATGAAGAACGCGATAAGCTTGGCAAGTCTTACTTTCCTCTGGAGATGTCGTTGAATAAACTAAGTCACCTGGCCTGTAAAGCAGCCACAGATGCTCAAAGGCCACCTCCTTGAGAGTTTGGTCGGCAACCTGACGCTTCACATCGAAAATATCTTGCATATCCGTATCCATAAACTCCACGAGACAACGGAGGTGGTCCCTTTCAACTTTCGCGCTCGATGCATCCATAGCATGCGGTGCTAATTCCGCAGCTCCTGCCATTAATTCTTCTCCCTCTCGCATGGGCTTTGCACCTGGAATACTGACTTCGCTGTTGGGCTGGCTAGTGTCTATCTGATCAGACAGCCGTGATCCTGCTTCGAACTGATCGAAAATCACTTCAACGTCCTGCAGAGTCTGTCTTATTTCCGTCTCATAAGCAACGAGGTATTTGAATGGGCGCAGCCAGACGTTGCGGTCTTCTGGAAAATCCATACCAGTGCAATCGTTTAGTAAGTTGAGAAGAATCTTCGAGTTGATGGCAAGACGGTATGCATTCTCAAATGGAGGGTCTTCTTCCAGGATCGAATTGCCACTACCAAGCGTGTCATTGTTTCTCGTGCTCCTTCGCTTGGTTGAACCTCGCCGTGGTCTGCCATGCCCATTTGAAGAAACAATGAGAGCTGGTAGGCTCCGAATGATCCCACCTTTGTTCTTGACTCCTCGCCATTCCCAAGGATGGACTCTGAGAGCCCTGGCTTCCTGTACGTGCATGTCCTTCTCACCCACTTCGAATTCCCGAGCAGTGTGATATTTTTCGGCCACGCCTAGTTCGGAGCTGCAATGATATGAAACGTCAGCAGCCTCATTGGTGGTAAAGGGAGGGGGGGAAAAGCTGGCGAGAGCGTATACATCTGTGTGGACTTTAGTCTGCTCAATTCGCTCTCAACGATGCCCAGGTGTGTTTTTAGAATTGTTGCATATTCGTTGTAGTGCGGGTTTGTATTCTCCGGACGCTCATGGTGATGTGAGCCATGAATATCTCCATCCTTAGGCATTGAGTCTGAGGCGTGTGTATCTCGGCCGTTTTTGGGGTCGGCACCGAAGGGAAGGGACATGGTAGAAGGCCTCAAAGTCTCAGGCTGTTCAGGTTCTTGGGAGCGACAACCATTGCAACCTTTTCTCAGCCTCGTAACGCCACGCAATCGAAAGGCAGGATGCTTCCAAGGACTGTGAAAGGATGGTCACCCTTAATGAACAAAAGATAAGGCTGACGAGGCTGACGAAGTGCCACGGCATTGCCATCCCAGCACGTAAGCCGGCGGGAAACATGAAACAGCGGAACAAGCAGGTGGGGCGTGATTAGCAGACGTAAAAACCTCACTACCGCAACATCTTCGAACGCTTTAACAAACTTGATCCCGATGGGCGAGTATGCAGGTAGCGCAGGGAAGCTTTGCGGGAAGAGTGCTGACGACGTCTCATGGGAGCCACGCCAGGGTCGAATACAGAGTGTGAATGTAACACTGCGATGCATGACGAATTCCATAATAGTGGTGCAGTATGTCGTACGCGGAAGGATGCATAAAAACGAGAATGTCGTATGTTTAGTCAGCAGAAGAGAAGGATGTATTGGATACCAAATTCCCCACAAGATATGCTATTATCGTATGCAGGTACCTTTGGAGTTCTTGGCATTGAGAAAATTTTGCCCTCCTTGGGTACCTGTTGCACCCCGCTTCAATAAAAAGGGACGGTAACACAAGTAGATGCATGATAGCTTTGGTAAGTATTGGATAAACGTACACTCGAATCGTTTTGATTTCATGAGATTGAGATCTCTTCAGGGCTTAGATCAACTTTTGATGTTCATTTGCTTAACTCTCAAGTCTAAGTATCTTTCCTTGTGTTGGGCCATGTTCAGCTCGTCGCACCTCCTGCGGAAATTGGTTTACACTTTGGACCCTGCGCGGCATGGTCACTGCACGCAGACTAAAAGAATAGTCTGGTTGACTTTGAGCCAATGAACAGAGGCCTTTGAAATGGCTAATGCGTAGGCTAAGAAAGCAGGGCGTTTTGTAATCCCCCAACTTAAGCTGCTGCACCTATACAAGAAGTGGGGTTTTATGAGGGCCACGAGCAAGACAAAACTCTGACTCTTGGACGCCCTCAGTCTTTCGAAAACGCCCGCTGGAAACAACAAATTTCACCTCCTGCGTATGGCATCTGCAATGGAAGACGATACTTCCACGAACCCTGCTGGCGTTACACCACCTCGGCTGTACGGCATTGTTGGTGCTTATATACAGAAGCAGTTGCCTCGAGATATCCACCCTGCTTATAAAGCACTGAGAGATCATGGTGAAGTAGTTACTATATCCCCACAGCTACGTTCAACCGAAGAGACGACGTTGCCTTCGCTGGCCGAGCAGGATCAGGGAATCAGAATCGACCAAGTCAGTGGAAACAAGGACGACGTCAATGATGAAGATGGTCTTCCACTGTACGTTGTATCTCGAGGTAGATGTCATTTCATGGCTGACTCGGTAAAGGGAAGAATTGTACAAAGACGCTGCGAGTGAAAAACGACTCTTCAAAGCGGCCATTGAAGCGTACGAGAAAACAACCAAGGACTCAAAGTACATGACGAACATCATAAGCGATGCGACGCATACATGGGAGGATGTTCTTGCGGAAGTAAACGCTGCATCCGAGCGCTACAACGATGTCTCTGGCTTTTGGGGAAAGATTCGCAAAGGCCTTCGTAGCTTTGGCGCCAACAATCAAGTGTTTGACGCCTGGACAGGCCTTCTACCAACTCAATCACAGTACCTTTCTATACTATGTGGGGGTCTAAAGCTTATATTCAGTGTTTGTGTCAGCACAATCCTCAATCCACATCTGCTGACTGTCAATAGGCTGCGGCGCGCTTGCAGGACCTTCGTAACGGTATCTGCGAAGCCTTAGCGGAGATTCCAATTTTACTCGCGAGCACACATAGAGCACTGGGCGCCTTCAAAAAGTCCAAAAAACTTCATCAATGCAGCGCCGCTCTCTATTCCGCCACGATAAGTGCGCTACGCCACATTGTTGACTGGTACAAGGAGAAAGCTATAAGTAAGACCTGCTATGCGTATAGATTAGATAGGGACGTGACTAACTCTATGCTCAGAGAAGTTCTCCAAAAGTATTCTCAAGCAGAGCTCCTACGAACAGCAATCGAGCGATTTGATTAAAGCCATCAGAATCCACGCTCAGAATTTCGATGATTGTGCGAGACTTTGCGCATACGAGACCATAGTACACACGAATCAGACAGTCGGGTCTCATTACAAAGATTCGCGGAAAAATTACCTGGACATTGCGGGACAATTGGATCGTTTCAAGATTGACTCATTTCGGCAGAATAATCTGCTGGGCAATATTGTCGTGACCGAAGCTGGGAATACGCAGCAAATGATGGGGGTGATGGCGAGCAGGTTCAACGAGGTGTCAGCAACTATGATGAAGGAGATGAAAGAGACTATTGTGAAAGAGACGCTCGTGAACTTTCTTTCCAGCAGCAATATGATGGACTTCAGGACACAAGACGGTCAGTTCCGGTTGTAGATCTCCCTTTAACCCAGCTGATTTCACTCAGTGAGAGGGCCAATGCTTCCTGTACGCAAAGTAGCACCGGAATCCCAATTGCTCCGAGGTATGCTCCACTGTGCGATTATTGGTATCCAAGCTGACCCGTCCTACAGAGGGTCGACGTTATCGGCAGCAGCTCTTGACTGGGCTCGAATACGAAGATTCCGTGCTTGAACAGGATGTACAGGGCAAACTTCAAACAATCTGGACATCCCCGAGGCAAGACCAGGACCGCGTGGTGGCAATCATGCGCTCCCATAAGCTACACAAGTGGATCACAACCACTGATTCTTCAACTTTGCTCATCAACGCCAACCACAAAGGGTCCGCAAGGCAGCAACCCACGTCCTTCATCTGCGCAAAGCTCGTTGATTCCATCATGCCTTCTTCCACTAACGCGCAGCCAGAATCTCGAATGACCCTCCCCCTTGCCTTCTTCTGCGGCGAACACCTACAGAAAGATGACCCAGACTGTGGACCAGACGGCATGATGAGGAGTCTGCTCGCACAACTCCTTCTCGCTTATCGCGACTTTGATCTCCGCACCGTTCAACGAATGCAAAATTTGAACTACGACGACGTGAACGATCTATGCGATGTCTTTGACCTGCTCATCGCGCAACTCCCGCGTTATGTCGTGGTCTTCTGCGTTGTTGACGCTATCAGCTTCTACGAAGACAACCCCACAGTGTGCGAAGAGGCTACGACAGTGGTACAAGCCCTGGTGGATGTTGTGGAGCGAACAAAGGAACACGGGTGTGCGTTCAAGTTGCTTTTGATGAGTCCGTGGAACAGTCGCGTGTTTTATAAGAATATGCTGGATCAAGAAGGGGATGTGGTTTGGATGCCGGCAAAGGTGCCTGCGCAGGGCGGTTTTACCGCGATGAAGTGGAGTGCTAGTGTCGATTCAAATCTGGTAGTAACAGATTCAAGACTAGGGAGTGAGTGACTGGGGGAATGTATCTAGAGGGTGAGGGCGAGGCATGGATTAGAGACTTGACATCGAGGAGGAAGGGAAAGGATGGAAGGAAAAAGGGGAACCGCAGGCGCACATCATCATATATACAATATGGAGTTACAACCCAGTCACCACTTATACCGTGAAAGCGTCTTTCGATACCCTAGATTTAGCAACTCTACTTCTTTTCCAGGGCTTCTCAGTTTTCAGCAACGCCACCAAGGCTCTCAAGTTTGCCCAAGAACCGTGCAAGTAGGCCCAAAGTAGAATGAGAGCTCCTGGGGCATGAAGAAAACAGGCACTGTGAAGATGTTATTATCGATTTAGACTTGTAGCTTACGAGATTCACCAAGAATAGAGATGTTTGTACGCGTGAAGTGACGAAGATCAAACGCAGGTGTGCCGCCACAATCCGGTAACAATAACAGAACACAAGCTGATAAAGTTGTTAGGGAATCCATGACTGGCCAAGGATGCAATAAAAGTCCAGCGATGTCACTATCGCCATGAAACCCCCCAAACCAAAGCCAGCTCGCCAAATTCTGCCGCCGCGAAGCAGTTGCAGTCCGCTACGATTGTTGTGGAAGAGAAGAAGACTGCAAAGGATGATCCACGTCTTCGGCGAACAGCGCCTTCACAGGTTCCACCGCCCAGTCACTTCTACGTAGCATGTGCAACCTCTCGCCCCTTTGGTGGGTCCGGAGCGATGGTAGGCTCACCCATCCTCCGGAACCGACCCGGAACAGCAGGGTAGACGTTCAACCATGCCGAAGAAATGAAGTCCTGGTAACAGGGACGGTATGGATTCGGAAGGGCGAACGCAATACAGTGTGATACATCCTCCTAGACCTTGGTTTGCGGTCACGCGGGGAAGAGGAGCCTCCCCTTTTCCTCTCCCCAAAGGGGTTTGTATAGTTTCATCTTGAATTTTCGAATACTATGCTGCATATGGCATTCCAAAAGTTAGAGATGGGTGAGAAAAATTCTCACATTTTGGACTTGAGTATCGAAGGCTATGGATCCACCGACGCACTGGCAAGCCTTGTGTTCACTGTCATGCTCAAAGGTTGAGATGACCGTTAGCTTGACCTCTATCCTATAAACGGGGGAATCGCATACTGCAAGGCCGAAATCCACCAAATCCCCTGTGCCATACGGAGAATCCCCTAGGAGACCGCTTGCGGCTTGCCTTTTCGGTAGCGCGTACAAATCCCACTGCTTGGATCTTAAGAATGTTGGTTCCTCTCGAGCATTGTGTACTTGGGCCTGGCTTCCCGAATGGATGGAAATGTAGAGATAGTTTCCCTAGGGACCAAGTAGACAGGTTCACTACGTGACTAGCTGACATCGATGATGAAACGTTTGAAGGTCGATCATAGAATCACTGGACTACCGGATGAGAGCGTTTACGGCTGCCTAGCCTTTGAACTTGGAGGGGAAAATGATATCAATCATCGCGTGATATTTACGTACTATCTGATAAGTCGAGCTCCTTCCCTCGTATGATACCGCGCCTGGGGCGTTCAAGTCAAATGCTTCAAATCTAGAAGGACGTATCGAGCCGCGTCTCCTCATAAAACGTATCCCGAAGGGGGAAGCCATACCCCCCACTCTCCACTTCACGATTGGAATTGATCGGTCCGGGGCGCAACTGGTGCGTAGCGGTCGCTTGTGAAATCGTTGCATCGTACTCTTCCATCTCTGTGTACTCGCCTTTGACGTGTGCCTTGGAAATACGGGAATTGTTCAGGGTTCTCGGTGTTCTAGCCATAGACACTGTAGGAGACGTCAAACAGGGTCTCGCATTTCTCCCCGTATTCGCAGAGCCGGAAGATGATGAAGACTTGGATCCGAGCGAGAACGCTCGATACAATATGGGACCGGCGTGTCGGAAGAATCTGGGCAGGACGGGAAGGCAGCTGATAATGATTCCGGTTGCGACCTCGGCCAGAGTCCAAAGGCCCATCAGGATCATGTTATAGCTGACGTCCGGCTCTTTCACAACTTTCCAGGTGTAGTATGTCCGTAAGACGGACGTCACACAAGCACTGAACGTATTCACATATCAGCACTTTTGTCTCTGAACGCACGCGCGAGGGTGGTTGATCAGGAGCATGTCGATGGTGGAACAAAAACGGGCCTAGAAGCGGCAAAGTAAAGGGACGGCAAAGGGGTTTGGATGTAGCTACTCACAAGGAACCCGTTGCAAATATCCCAATCGTGGTCAATTTACTCTTCAGCGGAATCTGGAGTCTCCATAGACAAGGCATGGGCAGGATCAAAATAGTGATGTCGGAGACAGCATTAAACGTGCCGCTGGCCAGACTCCACACGCCAGAGCTATAGCAATGGCCGTTGGATAACCACGGCTGCCATATCTTTCTGCGGGGATTACACAGACCAATGGTAAATGCAACATCCAGTAGATAGAAGAGAAAAAGGCTCCAGATAACAACATGGGTCGTAAGGAACATGGCCATGTTGCTTTTTCGAGTAGGGACAAAGATGCGCAGGTATTGGAGGAGGATCGAGAGCTTGATAAAGAACACGGTGAAACTGTACATGATTGAATGAACATGGACATCCTGGACTTGTAGTCAGCCTTCCGTGCTTGTAGTCTTGAAGCTAGACTAGTACATAAAGTAGTCTTGAAAACGTTTTCAATTGTATGTCCCACATGTGAACTCCACGTCCATCTTTGTTAGCCATTCTTGACGGTACAGCTTGTCCAATCTGGAATATCTACAATCTTCAGTGCTTGTGGCAACCCAATGCTTTGGTATAAGCTTACCCATCCTAGTATGATCGCATCTGAAAGCTGTCAGCCTAGGTATACTTGGGGAGGAAACAAGACTTCGACAAGCTTACAATCTTCGTAGTCCCAAGACCGAATGAGGAAGAGCTTGGTATAGATCCGCATCAATACAGCAAAGCCTGCAAATACCAAACACAATGTCAAGGTCAAGATGAATAGACCGTTTAAATTGGCAGGATTATCAAAGTCAGGCCTAACCCCGGGAGGTGGCGGTCCAGCTGGTCCATTCAGAAGTGCTTCAAGCTGCTGAGGCGACAGTTGAGCTGCCGGCCCTGACATTGTGTCTTATGGCAAGGAGTAGAAAAGAATAGAGTCCTCCTGTGTGCGGCCACGACACTTTCTGGGAAGGCACAACCACGAAGAAACCGTCAGGCTGAGACGTTGTCTGTCCAATATAAGCTGCAGGGCACAAACAAGAGTGTGCAGGCAGACACACCAATTTTCGCCATGGAGACCCACCTTTAGATCCTTTCGGCTTGAGGAACCCGGTCAGCAAAGATTGACCCGTTTGCCCGCATACGGCGAAGTAAGGCTGTTAATATTCATGAAGAAAGTCATGCTAAATTGATATCGTACATTGCCATGTACACGCATTGCACTGATATTCCTTATCATGTAGCACCACCATCACAGACAGGATGGTGGGAAGGCCTGTATTCACGCATCGACCTCGATCCTAAGTGGTCGTCCACATATCAAAGTCTTCAGCCTCGCGAGGGAAATAGTCAGCTTTCCCTACGTTCCGTGGTCTACGCATCGGGGCCAGTGATCTGCGGGAAGAAGATGAAAGGACTGGAAATGACGTGCCAAAGTCGGTTTCGGTTACAACGATGACTGCATGGTGGCTTATGCGGGCATCGGGCACAGCGTTGGGGCAGTGTTAACAGCAATCTGTTTTATTATTCGTCAAACACGAGACTTGGCAAACTCGTATTTTTTCAAGTCTCATTTGAGGAGTCCTTCTCGTGATCCTGATAGTGGGGTGGCACTCTCCATGTAGGCATAAGGCGTGTGCGAATGCTTTAGGAGACAGGTAGGCGTGCACATCATTGTTACTCCTAGACAACCTGTTCACACGATCCTGTAGAACCCTTTCCAATGAATCGAATGGCTGTCGTTGAAGACGGACCTGCTTGGGGCTATCTACTGTCGTCGGCGACCTTTTAGCAGCTCGGGCGGCCCGATCGGCCCTTCCAGCCCCTTGCGCTACTCTAGCGGTCAGCCCTTACGGCGCAAGCTGCTCCTACCTAAGCTAGGTAGGAGGGCTTACAGTTCGGCAGTGTTGAAAAAAAGTTCGCCGAGGGCGAGTAGATCCTGAGTACATGTGCCTCGTTTCGGGTGAAATGGATACAGTCAGCATATGCTAACACCTCTTCGGAGATGGAAAAAAGAATTACCCAGTTTAGCGGAGGAGGTCCAATGCCTCCCCGCCCCCTTCAGCTCCGGAAGCATACGCAGCCTCCAAACGAGCTGTGGTTCCCATGAAGGCAATGTGCTTCAGCGAATCTACACGGCGTGATAGCGTCGATCTATGCATCAGTGTCAAATCCTGAAGTCGAGACTGTCTCCGTCCTATCCTTTGAATGTTGCTCGAAGAAAATGAGGTTACGAGGTTCGATGTGATTGATACTTGATATTTGTACGCTCGTGTCGAACTTGAACTCATCGTAATTTACTTGAAGATTCTACTATCGATAGCAAAAGATGTGCATTGAAGTTTGTTGATCTATACGGAAATACAACGAACATGTTGTTTGCCCTACTCTGCATCTAGATGTGCCACAGGCGCTACGTCATCCACTTGTATGCCACCGCGTTTTTTCTCTTTGCTGTCGTGGAAGGGCAATGTCCATCCCCCTTCGCTTTCTGGCGTCGCCAGCCATAACCTCATCAGATGCCGTCTCGGCGCGGGTGGCGCATGATCTTTATATGCGGTCCTCGCATGCAGTACATGCTCATTCGACAAGAATTGTATGTCCCCAACTTCGAGGATCATGTGTAGCGCGAGCCGATTGCAGGTGGCTTCGAGGACGTCGGCGGCTTCGAGCTGGGCAGGAGACAGAGGAGGTATGACGCCGGCGGTGGAAAAGCGCTCTAAGGAACGGATAAAGTAGGGATCGTATCTGTAACAGGCGTTAGGAAGATTTGCTGGTAAGACATGAAAGGAGTATGCCTTACTTGCAATATACCCGCCCTTTTCCTCCAGATTCCAGGTAGAAGACGCTTGCTCGGATGTAAGGATCCTCGCCTTCGCTGACTTCGCCCTTGCGGTCGAAATACCATATTGGTTCTGTCAAGGTCTTGAGCACATCGGGTCTTTCTCTTCGCAAGACATTATAGACATGGTGCACGGAAGTGATGTCAGACTCTCCGCCTTCGAGAGCTCGCGCAATGCAGAGTAGGCCCACCAGATCCGAGTCGTCTGCATGAAAGAACTGGCTGCCATGGTGTCAGTCGTTTATACGACAAGAGACCCTTCGACCGGCAGTGGACATACCGTGCGTTCGTCCGATATATCCTGACTTTGTCAATCTGCTTTGCATCGTCTCCCAGATCTTTCACATGTCCAAGAACATGGCCCTTCCCATTTTGACTGACAAAGTATCCCAAGTATGTCCCCAGCCCCATATATGCGATAGCTGACTTGTGATTTCCCCACTTCTCCACGGGGAAGCCCTTGAATAGTATGAAGCCTTTGCCATTGAGGAGTTCGTTGCGCATGGACTCGAGAAACTTGGAGAGACGAGGAAGCTGGAAGTTGTCCTAAGGCTTTGTCAGCTTTCGTTGTCGTCATATATGTCTAGGATAGCAACCTTTGATATTCCTGTCAATGGAATGCCGGCATTCGTGAAACTGTCGGCAGCTTCACTCATCTCTGCAATCTCCTCGTCTGTGAACCAGTGCGTCCATCGTTCAGGGTTATCCTTGTAGTCATCTGCGTCCCAGACTGTGGGGCCAGTAATCTCATGGGGGAAGTCTTGGTAGGGACTGAGCTGATGGTACAGAGGGGGATGTTGGCCAGAGGTCTTGATGCCATCAGGGAAGATGGACCGCGGCACGTGCTTGTCAACGGTAGAAGTCTGGTGTGGAAAGGTCGCTGTCAGTCCTGGTGCCATGATTGAATGAGTACTTCGGCTCGAGGGAATGGTGTAGGAGCTGGTAATGGGTGGGGAGCAGGGTAGGAAGAAGGATAGATCGAGTTGTTAACAGCAGCAATGGCATATTTGTGTATTCACGCAAACCCCTCCTTCCCCACCAACAGCGAGGGAGAAAGTGAACGTCATGATTGGCTAAGATGATGCGCGATAACGAGATGGTCAATAGTGCAACAGATCAGTACTCGTACCAATGATTTCACCTGCACGAGCAATGAGCCTTTGGACACGCGGGATGTCGCCATTTTCCGGCGGTCGTACCAGGCCCGAAGAGGGAACACTTGGAGCCTTCGGTCCGATAATGTTCCGATGACCAGTGCTCTGCTCTGGTTGGCTCCACTTTCGAACGAGAAATTCCGTGCCAAGACCAGGTACCGAGTCAGTTTCAATGCGCAACAGTAATGGTACATGTCAGTGCTAACAAGGCTGCATCTTTGAAGTTTGGGATGAACAGTCTAAACGTCTATAATGCAACAGCACATGGCCAATTCTGTGGGATCTACTCTACCTAGTTGTACTGCTTTCCCGAGGACTTTAGTCGCAAAAGATGAAAGGGCTTGATCACGACATTCGCTAGCAATGCAATCCCCCCCGGGATTGACCTATCATTGTCCCCCTCTCGGCACCCGTCCAATCCAAAGCATATGGTGCACGGCATTGTTGGCGGTTATGTCGTCAGCGTGTACTTTTGCAGGCTACATATTGCATGAAGCGCGTGCCCAGTCGTTTCTCTTGAGGCTGTATCTTTCATTGACTGCATATGGTTTGAATGCGAAGCATGGCCGAAACCGAGAAGCAGATCACTGGTGAGGTACATGATGGCGCATTCTACGCAGAGGTTGAAAAACACAAGGCTGCCTTATCTCCCTCCAGTGGGTCTGAGGTTGGTCAAGATGCACGCTTTGGCATCAACGAGAAGGCACTGCTCCGAAAGCTTGACCTGAAATTATTGCCCGCTTTAACGCTGTTATATCTCCTGTCATTTCTCGACCGCAGCAATGGTAGGGCCTTCAACCCTGGCAACCTCTGTTCGACTGCTCACGGTATCTTAGTCGCCAATGCGCGGGTCGAGGGTTTGGTGGTAGACTTGCATATGAGTAGGCTACGCGTGCCGTGACATCATTGGACCTGTACCAAGTTGACGACTTTGCACAGCCGGGAACCAGTACCTTACCGGCTTGACCTTATATTTCATCGGCTACGTCCTCTTCGAAGTGAGTCTGGACACGAACGATCAGCTTCGTATGATGAACTGATGCAGAAAGATACCATGCAATGTCGTCCTGAAAATGACATCGCCCAAAGTATGGCTTCCTACACTCACACTCGCTTGGGGCGTGGTTGCGACGCTGCTGGGCGTCACTCAAAACATGGCTGGATTCTTCGCCGCACGCTTTGTTCTGGGCATGACAGAGAGTGGCCTCTTCCCTGGGGTCGTTTTCTACCTCTCCATGTGGTATAGGCGGGAAGAACAGCACTACCGGGTTTCTCTCTTCTTTAGTGCTGCGTCTCTGGCGGGCGCTTTCGGTGGTGTCCTAGCATGGGTAAATCAACCATTTGGTTTTCCAAGTTTCCACTGATGGTATGTTTCTAGGGCATCGCTCACATGAATGGCGTCGGTGGTTTACATGGTTGGCGTTGGATCTTCATCCTCGAAGGAATTTTTACCGTGCTCGTATCCCTCATCTCATACCGCTTCATTGCAAACTATCCCTCGACTGCAAAATTCCTTACCGAAAAAGAAAGGGCATGCGTCCACGCTCGTCTGGAGGCCAGCAATGACGCTACAAGGAACGAGGGTTTCACATGGGGCAACGTCTTGATGGCTGTGCGTGACCCAAAAGTTTGGCTTTACGGTCTGGGCTTCCACACCATGAGTCTCCCTCTCTATACACTCTCGCTCTTCTTACCAACTATCATCAAAGAGTTGGGCTTCACGGCAGCCCAAGCGCAATTACTCACCGTCCCACCGTACGCAGTCGCGACCGCCCTTACACTCACCGTCGCTCTCTTATCGGAGCGCTTCAAGCTCAGAGCACCCTTCATCATGGGCTCCGCAGGTCTTTCCGCTATAGGATACATCGTTCTACTCACTCAAACAAAACCTGGCGTTGCCTATTTCGGTACCATCCTGGCAGCAGGGGGAATCTATCCTGCCACCGCCATTGTGCTTTCTTGGCCCGCGAACAATGTAAGCGGGCAAACCAAGCGCGCAACGGCGAATGCAATGCAGATATCCATTGGAAACTTGGGCGCTGTTCTGGGCACCCAGCTTTATCGAGCTACGGATGGACCGAGGTACTTTCTGGGACATGGGTTCGCGTTGGGTTATTTGTGCGCCAATATCCTGGTCGTGGGCACGCTGTGGGCAATCCTGAGAGCAGAGAATCGTAAAAGGGATAATGGCGAGAGGGATGCCCGACTGGTCGGAGTGGGAGTTGACGAGTGGCTGGGCGATGAGGATCCGCGGTGGAGGTTCCAGACTTGAGCTTGCGTGCCCAAGGGAAAATGGTAGAGTGGTGATGTCGCCCGACGTTTCTGATGCAGGCCCACACCCAATTACAAGTCTCTTGCCAAATCTCTTTGCTAGTCTTGCTGGATACCGTTCACTTTGAGTCTGATTGCAGCTGATACAGACCCTTGGTGGATTCTTGCTGTCAAAACACAGAGTATGCCTCCCAGTATAGAGTAAAGGAGCCCGGGAGAATAGTCCTAGGTTCACGGTGAAGGCTTGCATCGATATTTGTCTGATTGATGTCGGTGCGAGGTTTCAGGATGCAAGGTTTACGCATTGAGCGCGTGCGTCGGTTGAACGCACAGCGCATGTACAGCGGCAGCATATGATTGGAGAAGGTGCAATTACCAGAAGTGGCCAGGCTTCGTCCTTGCTATTCTACTGGCCAAGTCGCTCACTGCATCATGTTGTTCCCTCTCCAAACATTAACCCTCATCTCCGCCATCTCAGCTGCGGTCTTGCAGCCCTTGCAGTCTATAAACAACCCACTCTTGACCACAAACGGCTCCGAGATCTTTTTGTTTTCCAATGCAACGAATGCAACCGCTTCAGTACCCGCCGAGCTCGGCACTGCTATAGCGCGTTGCAGCGCCTCAAAGTACGGCTCCAATTTGAATGTGGCAAGCTGCCAGAACGCTTTCGAAAGCGTCCAGTCCGACGACCATTATTCCAGCTTCGGCCTGCGACATCACGGGGCTCATTACAACGGAGTCCTTCCTTTTATGTGGCTTAGCGGTACATAGCATTCCTCCAGCAGTGTGATTTTGCAGCAGAACCTTCCTTGACACCGCGTTGATTATTAGCGGATCTCGATCAGGTAATTACAGGTGCTCTTTCGATTTTTGGCAGATGACGGTTTTTGCAGCTTCAATCTTTTCCTCGTCCGCTCCGCTACAATTGCGCACGCAACGACCACGGATATCAAAAGAGCTGCGCAGGCTTTGTTGGATAGATGCGCGGCGACGACGCCCGCCCGAGGCGGCGTCGCAAGCGATATAGGTGTGTGTGCTATCATCCACCCTCTGGAATTGTCAGGATGCTCGCACCGGAAAAGGATGAGCTGACGAATGTCAACTTGCGCAGGCGGCGATGGTCGTCTTGCTGTCGTGATGAAACCCAACTCCAACGCCAATATTCAGTGCGAGGAAGCGCCTATATATCCAGCCCCCACTGGAGCCGTCCGGGAATGGCTGCGTTCGTGCGACGATATCCTGGTCGATATGTCCGTGACGACGACGGTGAAAACATTTGGTCCTCATGAGCATCCGAGCGTCGCGGTCGGTTTGCCCAGGTAGTTGCAGAGTAGTGAGTTACAATAGCCAGTCCTGTCGGTCTGCGTAGAGGTCTTGAGTTGCAAGGCTGATGCGGACGCAGCGGATAACAAATGCACAGTACGTATCACTGACAACGGATCGCCGGATCAAATCAGTTGGTATAACTTTTGGGAGGAGGTGCGCGAGATCTATTCCGTTTGCTTGCGCGTTGGCAAGATTAGGGAGGGCGGTGGGGCTTGGTGAGTCTTTCGGTTTTTGACCTCCATAATAGATGAGCTCGTTTGTTGACTGAAACTCAAGGCACCAACGGCAATTTAGAGCTGGCTCTGGATCTGGATCTGTTTTGCTTGGGTGATAGCGGGTATCTTGAACACGATGAGATTGCAAGGAAAAGAGGAGAGAGTACAAAACGATGCAGGAACGTGAGAAGAATTTATATATTACATTGTATATACTGAAGCCAAATCCGCTGTGCATACACTGTTACTTGATCGAGTTTTAAGCATCGCTTAAGTGACCCTATCAAGTTTCTATACATCTTTCCTTTTATAGAAGTCATAACGTCGAACTTATACACGTCGAATACTTTGTAAAGAGGAAGCTCGAACTGGGTCGTAACGATTCAACGGTGAAATAAAAAGAGGAGAGACTCCATGAAACGGAAATTTCATGACTATTCCTTGCATAACCAGTCGCTATTATATCACTACATATTTTAATCTCTTTGCTCTTCAGTTGCAGCCATCGCAGCAGCCACCTCGGCCTCGGAAGGCATGTTGACGATCATGGGATACAGCACATCCTAAGCAGCGGTGTCAGCATGATTCTCTCCTTATCATCCATCGGAAGCACCTGGACGACTCACCTTCTTCAACAACTTCTTGATGGCCATTTGTGGTGTCGGAAGGGAAAAGCCCCAACGGACCAACGCTAAGCCCTAGTCCACCGCCCGTTCCCATTACCTCTTTCTTCTCTTCTGCCGCCTCCGAAGTCTCCCTGGGTGCTCCTTCTCCGCGGAGCATACCTTTCTACGTGAGTCGGCGTTTGCGGATACCCTTGCGCTTCGGTACCGGCATCCTGTTGCTCCCCTCCAGCCTATTTTTGGGACCCAGCGCACGAGGTCTTGAATTTCCAGCATCGTTTTACTGCGAGCTACGCGCCCGCATCGACCGGTCTGCAATCATCCGATGTGTGACTGCACAATTCTCCACGACGTCCGGATCATACTTGCCCTTCGCCAGTGCCATGATACCAGCGGATAACAGCGCATCCTACGTCCCTCGGTCCCAGAGATGATCTCTGCAGACCTAGAGGCTCGACTTCATGGCTTTTCCCTGTCCTGTTGAAGTCGACCATTGCTATGACCCCGTAATGGGTATAGTTCTGTTAATACCGGCTCCTTGTCAATGTGCAAAGCTGATGTCCTGTGCCAAAGGATCAGAATTTTGGGGAAAAAGACAAGTGTCCACGTAATTATGCTAAGGACGATGGTTCGTACGCTATGTCTCCGTGGAAGCTATGGATGTGCCGAGTACTAACGGGTTGCAAGATTCGCCGTCTCGATTTTATAACGATTCGAGTTGTTTGGACTCTCAAGGCCTGGCTTTGCCAAAGATCAGAAGATTCTTTATATTTCATGGGAATCTGTTGTTAGAGTCGGAAATGCCATACTGGCTACACTAAAATTCAAAATCTAGAATCTAGAAAAAGAAGAAAACGAAGCGGCTATGAGTTGCTCGCTCAATCAATCTCAAGGGCTTTCGAGGGGATTATCTCCAGCCTTCCGTTTGTTTCGATCTTTCCAGTACCCCTTGGCCAGAAAACAAAGACTCAGAAAGAGACCGAAGCCTGAGAGTCCAATACCGAAATACCAAGCACCGCGAAATCCCAACAAAACATCCTTCGGGGTCTTGCCACCATGGTTGACGTGGCTTTCAACGGTGCCGGCAAAACCAAGTGCTAGCGAAATGCTGTAGTTGACGATTGTGTTGACTAGACTTGCGGCGATACCTTGGTGTTTCTTCGCCACCGCGTCAGATAGGATAAGAGTGGCGGCTGGGAAACTCATGTCCATGCCCCAGGGAATGACGATCGTGCAGACGAAGGACTGCGCCCAGTAGCTTTGCTCCACTGGCGCGGTGGCGATTAGGATGGTTCCGACAGTGAATGCTGTAAGTGCAATCGTCATCACCCAGGCGGGCCTGAGACGGCCAAGCAGGAACCCGGTAGTCACGGAGGCAATGGCACCGGAGATCGCAACCGGAATAGTCCAGGCAGCGGCATGGAGCGGAGAGGCACCTCTGAGTTGCTCATAAAACTGCCACAGATAGTAAACCCATATACCAAAGCAGCTCCAACCACAAGCTACGCAGGCTAAAACAAATGCGACGTCGGTCGACAATGCATCGAAGGGTATCAGCGGCGATGTTGCGACTCGCAGTTCGATGAAGAAGAATGCGGCGGTGAACAATGCGCCGAGAATCAGGCACACGTAGACGTATGCTTTGGCCCATGTGACTACACCAGACTGGTTCCAGGCGAAGTTGATAAGAATCAAGGCCGTGACACCACAGAGACCCCCGAGTAGGTCAAGCTCCGCTATCTTCTCGCGCAGTGTCATCGCTTTCGTGAACCTTTTTGGTGGTTCGGGGATCACATAGGATCCAACGACCGCTATGCAAGCTAGAACAATAGCGAAAGACCAGAAGGTCCAAGGCCACCAGGCTAAGCTGAAGAGGCCCGCGAAGACGGCGCCCATGACAGCACCTCCAGGAGCTGTGGCCCCGAAGATGGCGAAGACCATGGCTTTTCGCGGACCCGGCGCGTATGATGCGCCGAGGATGGCGAGGCCATTGGGCAGGCATATGGCTGGTCCGACGCCTTGGAAGACGCGCGCGAAGTTGAAGAGAACGTGGTTCGAGTAGACGGCTAGACCGGCGATCATGCTCCATACCGAAAACCAGGAGAAGCCGATGATGAGCATTCTCTTGTAGCCGTAGACATCGCCCAGACGACCCGCTAGAAGGATGAAGGTGCCAACCGTCAGACTGTAGGCCGCGATGAGCCAACTGAGCTCGCCAGGGTTGGAGAGACCATAGCTGTCCCCGATGACGTGAAGGATGGCGAGACATTGACCTAGACCAACTTGGGTGGTGAATTGTGCGCAGCAGATCAAGCCGACGAAGAGGATTTCTTTGCCCAAGGGCAGCGTCTCGGCGATGGACTTTGTGGATTCGATCTTTGAGAGATCGGCTTGCTCTTTGTCTTTCTCCTCACCGTTTCTGTCATCATCATGAGTAACATGCTGTTGCAATTCTTTATCCTGATCTTGTTCCTGGAGGGTGGATGTGCCAGACTCTTCATCGGCCATTGCGGGAGGCAAATGTTCCTTTTGGACAGTTTTTGATTTTATAGCGAATGGTCGTATACTCTGCTTCCAATTGGCGATTGCTGATTAGACGACATGTCTAGTAATGTATTTCCACTATAGGTACTCATGAAGGACAAGCTGTTCAAAGAAGCTTTGATACTCATCTTTTCGTGATATTTTGTTCGGCAATGCTCGGATGAATGCTCGGCATCCCGCGGGCTGCGCTAGCGCGCTGACTACGTAATCATTCAATACGTGCTTAGATAAAGTCCCTGGAAGTTCCTTAGTAAGCAAAAAAGGCTAACCCGAAGAGGCTTAGCCAGCGAAGAATGAGCTGAGCATGCTCTGAGGGACTGAGGCAACATCCCTATCAATCAAGTCCTCTTTAACTCGTAAGAATCTGCGTACCTACTGACATCGGAAATGGTGGTGCTCTTGTCGTGTTATCTGAGCTTCCAACGTCCAAGTATGCGGACAATCAAGCAATCTTCGACTCATTCATTCGTACGGCGCGGGCTAGAGGTCGCAACAGTGGGACTGTGGGTTAGTGGGTCCATCATGAGGCCATAGCGTTGGTGGTTGTTTGATCAACCGTTCCATCATTATGCGATATGCGATAGTAGGGAGACAGGTGGCCATGGCGAGTACTATTTGTATGGCCACTGCACCAGTAGTGGGCTCTTCATTCGAATTGTTCTCTTTCAGAGCCATATCATTGTTCTCCCTCCCACCCACGCCTATATATAGCTATAGCTTCATTTTCACTCCAGGGCATGTCGCTTAGACATGGGAGTTTTTCTAGCGCTGGGGGGCCTGTTCTGGGCTATTTGCATGTCCAGAAAGGTCTTAGCTGCCCCAGTGTTGGATATGCCCAATCATATATCTACATATCTACTTGTGCATGCGTTATTTCTGTATGGCCTCACTGTTTGCGAGCACTAAATACAGCTTTGTGGAAAATTAATTCGAGCGTTTGCTTTACCTACCTTTATTTGCATCGGATGCTAAGATTAAGGCCGGTTGGTGAAAATGGTACCAATTTTAGCCGTTCACAAGTATTCGCTCGCTTTCTGAACTGGCTTGCTGTCAGGTTGCGGGGTCATGCCAAGCAAGAATGCGAAGTGTTTTCTTGATGTCCGAGGTGCAGACGGAGCAAGTAGTGGGCGCTTACGCATGAGCATCAACTCCAACGGGAACTGGAGGCTTGACCTGCAATATTTATTCTCACCGCCGTTCCAGCGCTGCACACAATCGCCTCCGAACCCTCAGAGTCCTCTTTTCCATCGATTGCTCAATACCAACTAGCCGTCGTCAAGACTCGGTTCCAATTGTGCTGTTGCTCTTCTACAATCCATACAATGGCAACCGAGGACGTGGAAAAAGTCGCTCATGATCTTGCTATCTCCTAGGAACAATTCGCTCGAGAAGCGCACCCGCTCTTCCGAATCTTTTGTTGTCTCTTCTGTGCCTGTGCCCCATACACTTGCACAATGGAATACCAGAATCGAGAGTTTGGCCGGCCTCGAGGCACGTGGTATCGCGCGAGTGCCTCCAGAGGAGCGGCATGAAGGATCCGTCATGGGCTATGCGCAAATGACAATCCTCTGGTTCAGCGCAAATGTCACTGCAAACAATCTTGCCGTAGGTCTGCTTGGGCCATTAGTCTTTAACTTGGGTTTCGTCGACAGTGCGATGATGGCGACGTTTGGTTCCCTGCTGGGCTCAGCGGCGACAGCCTACATGAGTATCTGGGGTGCGCAAAGTGGAAACCGTACGATGGTAAGCTATGGTCCCTTTATCAACGATCTTCCCGTCCTCCGAAGCTGTACGCTTCACATTGAAGCTATGCCGATGCTGGAGATAGTCTAATAATCAGCTCTACCATTCAGATTGTGACACGTTACTTTATGGGATATTGGCCTGCGAAGCTGATATGTTTCCTCAACATGATTATTATGGTTGGGTATTGCACCATCAGCTGTATCATCGCTGGGCAGATCTTGTCAGCTGTCAGTGGAGGTAGTATGAGTATTGCTGTTGGAATCATCATCACTGCGCTCGTCAGCTGGCTCGTTGCAGTCTTTGGAATGGCTGTATTTCAGACATATGAAAGGTATGGTTATGTTTTCCACACTTCCATTGTCGGTCTCCTTAACGCTAACGCTAACGGTGTGCAGATGGGCCTGGATCCCACAAGTAATCGTCCTTCTTGTATTGGCCGGTATCGCTTGTGAACACTTCGACACGTCCTCGCAGTCTACAGGGGGAAGTGCTGCTGTAACAGCCGGTCGTCTATCGTTTTTCTCTATTAGCCTCTCGGCTCCAGTATCCTGGGCTGGTGCGGGGAGCGACTTCTATGTTTATGTCAGTCTCTTTTCGAAGCCCTCCACCCCACATTGTATTCCACTCCGCGATCTGCGCACGAACAGAGAATGTCTGATAGCTTTATTCTCCGGCAACCGCTGACTAGCAGACTTATGTAGTATCCAGAGACAACCTCCAAACGCTTGGCTTTCTTCATGACCTTGACTGGCTTGTGGACTTCGATCACCCTCGTGTACATCATTGGAATTGGACTAGCTTCCGGTATCGCTGTGACACCATCTTGGTCCACTGCCTATGACATCTCTTCCGGGGCCCTGATACTTGAAGGTTACAGCGCCGTGGGAGGATTTGGAAAATTCTGTGGCGTGGTCGTTGCTTTGGGTGTCATAGCAAACAATGTCCCGAGCACATATGCAGCGGCACTCGGCTGCCAAGTCATGGGTCGCTACGGGAAAATGGTGCCCCGCTATCTTTGGGTCTGTGCCATCGTGCTCGTCTACTTCGTCTGCGCCATTGCAGGTCGCGACCATCTATTCGTCATCTTCCAGAACTTCCTCGCGCTCATGGGATACTGGGTTGTGATCTTCGTCTCGATAGTACTGGAGGAGCACTTGATATTTCGTCGGAACCGGGGCTTCGATTGGGCTGCTTGGGAGAACAAGGAATACCTTCCCATTGGCGCTGCAGCATTGACAGCTTTCCTGGTTGGATGGGCCGGCGCTATCATCGGAATGTCTCAAGTTTGGTATATCGGCCCTGTTGCGAAGCTAGTGGGCGGCATTGGAGCTGATGTTGGAATATGGCTGGGCATGGGTTTCGCACTGCTTACTTTTCCGCCCCTTAGGTATCTGGAGTTGAGAACATTTGGAAAATAGAAGGAAGGGGCAGGGTATGCATAGATACTCATTAAACTCAGATGGGAGGGTGATTTGATCTTGACATGGCTGCACAGCCTCAATGTGGTCTACAAACACCTAGCGCAAGCTTCCGGGTGCTTTATCCGAAAAATCTGGGCAGTGGACTCCTCGGACACCCACGGAAATGCGATGTGCATGTAGCGTTGGAAGCCACTAGAAAGCTGGTACATCCTCTTTTGACGTCAATGAAGACTATTGCGGCCATCCAACCACAGACCCACGCGTGGCAACTTCAGCCCTAGTGACTGACCATGGTCTCTGTGTCATCCGATCGTTCAAAATCTTCGATAAGAAAAGCAAATTGTCTGGTTCGCAGCCGTCGATAAGGGCAACGTATAATCGGACACATCAGTATCGTATTTAGAGCCAGTGAAGACGTCCCGCTCAAAGAACTATATTTGGGTACACCTACCGCTGAGAGATAAATGTGCCATCGAGTAGATTTTGACGCTTATCTTCTTGGCATTTCTTCCTGATTTCATTGGAGTAAGCTGCAGATGGCTCAGGGTCTCCGCCCCAGGCTGCAAGCCTCCCTGCATGGAGTAGGTAAGCATGGCTCTTCGCTCCATCAATACATTTCTTCGCTGTCAACGGAACTTTATTAATCTTCCGGCTTCCTACATGACACTGCCCCAAAGATGTGTTTCGACCTTATAGAGATGCATATTTTAATCCAACCCTCGTAAATCCGGCAGGAGGTGGATACGCGTCTTTCGAGGGAAATATGCATAGCATCGCCACTATGCACATCATTTTTTCAAAAATGCCATTTGACGCACTGGCATAGCTGCATTGCAATACATCTGGCGTTTCTACGGAGCCATGTTTGATTACTTGACCCTAAGCGAGACTCGCCTTCCCAATTCTCGGGTTCGTCCAGCCCGTTTGTTCGCCGTCCACCTCGGAGCCGAACCTCAGACGGGGCTGATTGTCTACCCAGCGACAGCCTTACACTTGGGCGAGGGAGTATTCCGGCAGGTTTTCGGGCTCTCCTGAACGACAAAGACCTCCGGAGCTCAATGATATCATTGTCGGTCCGTCCCACCGACCAGCAGTAGGATTCTGCAAGAAGCGTCGCCTTCCAGCGTACCGATCCTCGAGGATGGAGGCACGTTCAGGCAGCAAGCGATGCTGCAAATGGTCTGTTCTTTCCGACGAGCCACCTTGGAGAAGGCTATGCCCCAGGTTCTTCCTTATACGGACAAGGAGACTCGCTTCCAATAATTTGTCTTGGAACGACTGTCATCTTCTCTCCATACAATATTTCTCGACCATCAAGGGTCATATTGTCATTGGCTAGTGTAGCACAGCGTGGGCTAGAAGGGAACTGGCAAAGGTGATGACTGCTTCTCCGGGACACGCAGCTCCGCTGAGACCGAAGCCTGGACCAAATGGTTCCAACACCTTGTATCCAACCATTCTGGCAACAGTCATACTTTGCAGCATCTTGACGACAGTCTTTACTGCTGCCCGTTTGATCGCAAAGCGACTGACCTCGACTTACGGTCTTGAAGATTGTGAGTGCCAAACAGCTCCCCTGAGCATCTCTCAAGCTTCTAACCAGGTGCTGAACCTAGATATGTTGATGATGGCATGGGTGACCACTCGCTGCAACATCTGAGTTTATACAAGAGACTTCGACTAATGCTAAGCAGGTAGCTAGCATAGCTTTTGACTTTTGCCTCCTTGCAGCAGGGCTGGCTGGACTTGGCCATCACGTCTGGTACCTCCAGAAACCCCAGTACGTGAACCTAGCTCAAGTGCGTCAAACCCTCAGCTTCTAAATGCTCTTGCTCACTCGATCGCCCGATTCTGATTTATGCAGTATGCCTGGGCTCTTGAGTTACTATATACTCCAGCGATCTGGCTAGCGAAAGCCTCTCTACTCTTACAACTGATACGTATCTTTACACCTATGAAGTCTGGATTTGTCTATTGGGCCTGTCATACTCTAATCTGGGGCAACCTAGCTTTTTATATCTCGATTTTCCTCTCAATCCTTTTCGAGTGTTATCCTATCTGGGAAGTCTGGAACCCGGCCTATGAAGGCCATTGCATCAACAGAAATATGCTACTGGTCGTCTCTAGTGCGGTCAATATACTATCGGATTTCCTCAATCTCCTTCTTCCAATCTGGGCAACGTGGCACTTGCAGATGGCAACGAAAAGAAAGGCTGGAATTACTGCAATTTTTGCCACAGGACTACTGTGGGTTCCCCATTTCCTCTCGCCCTCTCCGTTCTAGTGCTGCTTATCCGGTCGGCATAACGAGGCTGATCAATCTTATGACGTAAAAGCGCCTTCGTTTCAAGCATCTGCCGGCTTGTCTACAGCACACATATCATCTCCAGCCCCGACGTCTCCTACATCATCGCACAGACCGCACTGTGGGGGTACGTCATTACTCATCCACCTTCACCATTTCTCGTCATGCTGATACACTCAATCGTGTCCAGGCTGGCAGAAATCGCCACCATCATCCTCTGCACCTGCTTCCCCATGATGCCCCGTTTCGTGAAACTCATCACCGACCGCTGCTCCAGTCCCAAATCCTCTTCACCTTCGCGGATACCAAATGTCCGGAGACTGAAGATCGTCAAGGTCGGCAATGCTCAGACTTCAATCGGCATCAGCAGTGGAACTCCTCAGGAGGAAGAAGATATAGCGTGGCTCAAGAGTCCGTATCAGCATTTGGGCGAGGAAGGGAATTATAGGAGCGAGCGGGAGGACGCTGTGAGGGATTTGGGAACGATGAGGACGGTGGATATTGAGATGCCAACGTGGGATCAACTCAATGCGAGAAGTAGGGTGGCATCGATGGTTTGAGTGGTTGGTAGACTGGGATAGAGACGTCATGTTCATCTTGAGATGGGGGCAAAACTACTGTCGTTATACACACTATCAGTCAGGCAAACCGGCCTTGCGGTCTCCATTGAGAGAATTTCTGCGTTGGCAAGTACGTGTAAAGCTTAATGCCAGCAGTGTAGATGACGATAATTTGGACGAGCAACCAGCCTGGGAAGCAAGGCGTTAGTGTAACGAAGGTTGGACACGTGATAGAATAGGGTAAGCAGCAAAAGCCATGTCAATGATAACTTACTCATAGACCTCCTTCCGAGATACGTAAAGAGAGGGTTCTGGAAAACCCTTTGGACGAGGTTGGAGCATTCGAGCAGGTAATAGAAGCCAATGAGTCATAGACAATGACTAGCAGAGAATCATCGTCTGCAAAATAAAAAAAACATAGGCAAGTCGCAGCAACACCCCGGACAAGGTTTTAGAGTGCAACACAACACCCACCATAACATACAAGTATTTTAGGGTGTTTCAGGATAGGTACAATGTAAAGTACCCAAAAAAAGGGTACACAAACAAAAACAAACCCCCAAACTTACAAAATCAACCCAAAACAAAAACCCCCTTCAAATCTACAAAAACCAGGAAAATAAAAAAATTTAAAAATCCCATAGTTGGGTATAATTGTAATCGCCCATCAGTCTCTAGCTTGAGGCTCTCTCACGTTGAAAAGCCTGTTCAGACCACCAGAATAATAGAATCTAGTATGAGCCAGAAGCTCTTTGATTTCATACTGCAGCCTCCAGTCGGTCCACAGAAATTGCATCAACACCCCAGCGATGAGCAAGAGTACGAAGGTATCCAGGTGGGACATTATATCGACCGCCAGACCTTGGAATCATGCTTGGCCTTTTCCATGTAGTGCATGTTCGTTACGGTATCCGCTAAGAGCAGGACCGGTGTTCGAGTACCATGCCAAGGATTGCACCTACCAAGCCGAAACTATGAAGCAAATATAGGGCTTGACGCGCCATGAGTCGCGGGTGTAGGGTATGATGACCATTGTGAGGTAGACAGAACAGCCCTGCGAGTACATGACGTTGACGAACCATAGAGTTTGCGATGGGAAGGCGGTGTTGCCTGCTTATTCGAAGAATTTGTTGTTCGTCCGAAAGAGGTTAAAACGAAATTGAGGTAGACAAGGCCATTTGGTATTTCAAACGGTGCCCCGAAAGAGACATTGCCGGTCTCGTGTATGTACGGGTTAACGTAAGTTGTTCCAATGGTGGAGGATAGGATCTTAACAATGGCCAATGCTACGGCTCTAGGGGACCAAAGGCGGGCCTCGCCGGAATACAGCGCTGGCGACAGCTGTCCTAGTTTCCCAGGTACGGTATGCAGATTGTCCGTGCCGCGAGGAGATTAAGCGATGAGTAGATCAAGGAATCGTTCCAGATCAGGACCGACAGAGCCTGGCGAAGAACCCTTTCATAGGTTGACCCTAGGGAATTGGCGGAGTCTTTGACGGCTACTGGCACGAATGTCTGCAGGAACACCCAAAGAAAGTATCGAATGACTAGGAACCCTCGAAGACCGAGCAGATAGCCTTGTCCCGACCGAGAATGGCTGTCCAATTCCTTCATTGCTGGCGGAATCGGCCACCTATGGAATGATGAGGGGAATCAATCAACACAGACACAAGAAAAGCCAAGCATGAACACGACTTCAGAATCATTGGGCTCTCCATGGAGCGGTCTCCTGTCAATGCGGGCTTGCAGTGCCCAATCCAAGCAGTTATGAATTGCAAATTAAATAAGAATCTAAACGATTCAGCTCGCCCGACTTTTGTTAGCGCCATTCATAGAAGATTGTAGAGAACGTACTTGCCACTCTTACAATAGCCACGTCGTCTACTACCCAATAGACATTTGTGATATCGAAACTAGTAGATATACACGCTTTCCGGTGTTTGCCCTAACTAGGCGTATAATAGCTATATCGCTAGCCCTGCTTCGGACGCGATACCACTATTTAGAAAGAATCATCGATAACCCTACTCGATAATATGTGCTGGGGCGCGGGCTTCCCAGTAGTGAAAAGCTTGCCGAGTACTGGTTTTGACGTTTAATTCTCAGGAGACCCTCAAAACCCCTCGAACCCTTCGGAGGCTCTTTAAGAGCTTCCGAGAGCTAGAGGGGCTGTTAAAGTAAGCTCGAAATTTAATTATTTTAATAATATTGATTAATTTCGAGTTTACTTAACAGCCCCTGAAAACTCGAAGAGCCCTTAAAGAACTTTAAAGGTTTAAGGGATTTAAGGAATCTAACCTAAGAATCGAGAGAGACATTTATCGATTGTAATTTATTTGATATACTTAAGGAGATCCTCAAAACCCCCGACCTTTCGAGGGCTCTCCGAGAGCTTTTCGAGAGCTTCTATCGGAGAGACTCTTCTCGTAAACTCGATACTTAGATAAACTTTATTAAATTTCGTCTATATTACGTTATTTAAAAGTATATAAGTAATTCTATAACTCTACGTACTTAGTTTATTATTATATTTTTAATAAAATATAAGAAATTAAAAAAGGTGGATTTAAGGATTTTGAAGTTTTTTTTCAGCTTTCTCTTTTAGACGTACTCGTATATACCCGCGTTTAGATCGAAAATAAAGAAATAAGATATATTTTAAATGAAAATAGTGAAATTCGATGATCTAATTAATTACTAGTCTCTTAATATAGTATTTATTCTTATTTTTAAGTCTTAAGTATTAAGAAAGTAAGCTTTTTAATTATAATAATATAAGATAAGATAATACTATTAATATTCTATCTATATATATTACTATTAACTATTTACTCTATATCGAAATTAAGAAATACTATTATAGTAAGAAAGATATTCTTAATTAACTAATCGATCGATTACTATTTCTTTATAACGAATATTCTAAAAGCGTAATATTATTATTCTAAATAACGTTAATATTTATATCGATTCCGTATATTAAGACTATTACGATAAAGCATTTCAAGTAAAGTACTATAGACTATATATTTAACGGCGAAATTAAGATATTTAAATAAGATTTAAAGTATTTAACTATAGAGATAATAGAGTAGTTATAATAAAATACTACGTAATATTAATTAAAATCCTCATCTTCTCATAATCTTAGATATTATAATATTATTATATTCGTATTTAAACTATATAGACGCTTTAAAAATATAAATAAACTAATATAAGAGTAGTAAGTACGTTCTCTATAATTTTCTATAAATAGCGCTAATAAAAAGTCGAAGGCGGAGCTAAATTAGCTTTATTAAGTATTTTTATTTAATCGCTATAGCTTAATTAAAACTAGTAAGAGAGAGATATAGTATATACTTATAATAGAATAGTCGAGATTACTATATTGAAAGAGCCTTAAATAAACGATATTCTCCTCGTTTCTACTCTTTATTCTTATTTCTCTCGTTATAAGAAGAAGTTTTTAGACTTTTCTCTTTTCTAATATTAGACGAAAGTAATTTTCATTTAAAAATATATTATTCTTCACTTATATTATTGCCATTTAGTTACTATTAATAGTTCTTAAGCGTTCTTATAAGTTTATCGTAAAGACTATAGCTATACGTTAAACTATTATTATTGAATTATTATCTTTATAAGAATTATTTACTAAATCTATAAAAGAGCTCTAATAAGACTTTCTAAGAAAGCTCTACTGTATTATTTAAAAAACGAGGATATTATTATATTATCGCTATAATTATAGCGAATTATATTAATAGAATATCTTTTATTTAGATAAAATAGAATATATCTACTTCGTCGTATAGTTATACGCTATTATTATTTTATATAAATAAATACTTCTAGTAAGTATAGAATAAGAGAGTATATTCTTAAAAATATTATTATTTATTTTAAATTAGATAATACTTTAGTATATATTTTACTACTCGCTATTATAAGAAGAATATTTAATTTAAAAAGATATTTATTATTCTTATAGTTATTCGTAGATAGCTATCTTATTTATATTAATTATATCTTACGCTCTACTATAATAATAGCGTCGTTATTAAGAATATCTATAATAATTCTATATATAAATCGATTATAATATCACTTAGATAAATAATTATACTATTTATTTAATACGATATTATTTATAATATAATTTAAATCTCTATTAAGTAAAATACTTTAGCTAATTTACTCTCGCTTTAAATTTAATAAAATTATTAATTTATATCTATAGCTAAGCGCTCTTAATTTATATAAAAATTATTAAATACGATTTATCTAAATTATAATATAAAAAGACTTCTCTAAATTATAATATTATAAGATATCTCTAATAAGATCTAATTAATAAAATAAGAAGTAACTATTAAACGACGAAGGCCTCTTATATCGAATTTTATATTTTATTAAGAACTATCGCGTTTTTCGTTATTATTTAATTATTTATTAATTAGATAATACGTCTAGCTAATTATTATATTTATAATAAATCTATTAAGATCTATCTTATAAATATTCGATTAATCTATATAAATATAAAATTCGAGAATCTTAAGATCTTTTACTATTTATTATTATAATAAGTAATTATTAATATTCGTAGATTATATAGCGAGGTCGATATTAAAAAACGCCGTTTAATTATATAAGATCTATTACCTATATTCTTATTTAATTCGATAAGACTTTCTTAGAGAAAGCTATCTTATATACTTTCTTTTATCTTATATTTACTATATTTCTTTATATAGATAAATTTATATAATCTCTAGCTAAATTCGAGAATAGCGACTTTAAATAATAATATATTATAAGATATTTAATTACGCTCTATAGCTATTATATAAAACTATTCTTATTAATCTTAAAGATAAATTTATTTAGAAGAGAAATTACTTTATTTATTATCGCTATAAATAATAATATCTATCTTATTTATTCGCTATAAAACTTATTTACTCGCTTCTCTATTAGTAAATTATTATCGCTATTTAATTCGAATAAAGTCTTTATAAGATAATACGTTATCGCTACGCTATATAATATTTTATATATATTTAATTACTTAAATTATTATTTAGAATACTCTTTTATAGAGAAATCGCTATCTTTATAAAAAATATCGACTAATTAATAATAAGATTTAATTATTTAATTATTAAAAGTCTAACTTATATTATCTATATATTAAAATATATTTAATCTATATTCTTACTATATTATATTACTTTTAACGTTCTCATTTAACTTAAAGCTAATAATTCTTATTAGATATAGATTTATTTTAAGAGTTTTTCTAAAGTTAAGCTATATAGTAAATCGCTATCTATATATAACTAGATTTTAAAATCTAACTAATTATTATTTAAAACTTATTTATATATATAGTTTTTATAGAATATTATATAAGATAATATTAATCGCTATAGCTTAATTAGAAGCTAATAAGAGAGAGATATAATATATATTTATAATAGAATAATCGAGATTACTATATTAAAAGAGTCTTAAATAAATAATATTCTCTTTATTTCTTACTCTTTATTCTTATTCTCTTATTATAAAAAGAAGTTTTTTAGACTTTTTTACTTACCCGCGTCTTATTTTTTAGCGTTTTCTTATATTTAGACTTTAGATCTTTTATTTTATATAGAGGGAGTTTTTTAAGACTAAGCTATATAGTAAATTGCTATCTATATATGACTAGACCTTAAAATCTAGCCAATCATCATTTAGAACTCATTTGTGCGTATAGTTTTCATGGGACGTTACGCGAGACAGCACTAGTTTGCAATTCATAAAGGGTCTATGGCTCTTGGCGCTCACTTAGCAGTCATTTACCGAAAAACCTGACATACATGCGAGTGTCAGCGTGTCTAGTTCCTTCTATGCATGCGTCCTTCCTACATCCTTCCATGCAATTCCATCATTGTTCCTTTCATGTATTTAGCCATAGATAGCCGTACTTTGTTCTCCGTCAGCTACATAATAGCTGATGGCCCCACCACTGAATCTACACGCTTTCTATCATCACCACTGCTGTGCCTCGCTGAGAGCGAGTTCGACCGCGGCACAGGCAACTAGACGAATGTGTCCTTGCTGAGATGCATTGGTTGCTTCCTACATGGCTGACGGGACCAGTCCGAGGGTAGGTGGTGGTGGGCAGCGCCACACACTCGCCGGCCTTGGCAAAGCTACCGTTGCTCAGCCTATTAGTTGGGATCCATGTTTGAGTAGGAAGAACGCGAAGTTGTACTACAAAGAGGTAGAGTGGTAAGGCTGAGTGGCGCTAGAGAGGTATATATCCCGCGATTGGAAGGAACATAAGAAGCCATATTAAGTAACGTGCCTGCCAGTGGCCTGTTTGCGTCCTCGCCGAATATCTTACGTGGCCACTTTCGCCACTGTTGTAAACGCTGCCATTGTAGAGCCAAACAGACGTCCTTTTGTCGCCATTCTTCTCCTTTACTACGAGTTACAATATGTGATAGGCTAGAATCATTGCTGGAAGGTGTGTTCGAGGCAAAGTGGATTACTGTCACTATGTGGACGTTCGCTTAGGGCACATGCGAATCAGGAATCTATGCGATTTGCCACTTCAACGGCGGGGTTAGGGAGGCTTGGGAAGACTTGTAAGTTCGCCGTAGCCTTGGTCCTCGAGGCTCTGCCATTGCCAATCACGAATACCTCATCCAAACCACGAATTGTCCCTCGATATTGAAAGTAGATCATGATGTCATGAAATGCGATGTTGCCTTTTGTTTGCCAGAAGTATGTCCCGAGTCAAAGGATCATTGCAGCCATGAATCATATGTAAGAAGGTAGGTTGCTCTAGTCGTCTATACCCAAGTAGTCGAAGCTTACTCAATCTCATGATTAGGTTTGAAGCGTTAACCAAACATGAGTGTGATGGGTTGCAACGTATTGATGCTGTCGAGAAGTCTCATGAGTACACTGCCAAAACGCAATATCGCCGATGTTAATTGCAAGCCCGTCCTCCAAACCCCCCAATCTCCTACCATCAACAGAGTGCCAAAACGCAGTATGGCTGATAGCCACGAGCCCATCCTTCAAATACCCCGTTTTCCTCCATCCAGCATTGGCAGCTGATGTCCATAATATTAACTTACAACAGACACACTGCTTAAACGCAGAATCACTGACGGCAACGTGACCGTCGTCTTTCAACTTTCCATTTTCACCCACGCAGCATCTTCAGTTGCCGGTTCCACGAACCCTAGCTCTCGAAATTGGCCTTTTTTTATCTGCCACTTCTGATCATCTTTGCCCTGATAGATGTTAGCGTCATCGACGCGAGACCGCATTCTTCGGCCTACCAGTTGCGTTCTTTCAATATCCCAATCTCACCCATGGCGCATCTTCAGCTGAGTTCTCCTTAACTCATAGTCTCCGTCGTCGGCCTCCATTCATATGTCTTTGTCCTGATCATAGTCAGCATCGTCGTCAGGAGAACTTCCTTATCGGGCTCACCACTTGCCGTCCCTCGAAAAGCCTATACGGCAACTGCGACACGCAAGGCGGCTGCGTAGCTCATAGGCTTGGCTACCGGAGCACAGTCCTTCTCCGCCATCTTGTTGCAGCTATTCGCTACAACGTGTCTCCACTCCTTTTCTTGTTGCCTTTGGGTCGTCGTCAGGTGCTTGGCTTCCTTTTGCAAGACGTGCTTTGGACTGGATGTCGTGGATTCCGTCTTCATCGCCTTCCTTCGGTCCGGATTCTGATGACTGGTAGATGAGACCTTGCGCTTGCCGAGTGTCGGATTTGGTGTTTGCGTGGGTATATTGGTGGTCTCGGATAGGGTCAGTGATTCCGCCTGGCATGATGTCGTGGTTTGGGGCTCAATGTGCTCAGCCAAGATGACCTTTACTTCTTTCAGGACCTCGATGTAGTATACATGACTTTCGTTGGAGAACTTGGAGAGATCGTCCGTTGACTTTCGGGACATCCAGTATGAATATTCGGTCCGTTCAACAATGAGGCGGTCAAGGAGAGCCATCATGCTCGCGGGCGTCTTCTGTGTTTGGCGCGCAAGCTCGGTGATGTTGTTGACAATGATGTCGTATTTGGGATGGTCTGTGGACGTTGTCAAGATGGCGTTCGATGTCACTGCCCAATCTGGCTTGCTCATCCTTTGGCTTGCTTGCGCGATAGGGTAATACAAGGGGGAAGAGTTTCACTGCATGAAAGACTTCGACCGCATGGGTAGACTGATTCAACAAGCCAAGTTGTAAACTTGTTGTTGTCTATTTTCAGTTGCTTGTACATCTTCTGAAGCTTCCATTCAGCGGGTATGCAATCTCCATGTACCCCTGTCTCATCCATCGCCTTCGTTCTCTCCCGCTTCCGAAGTCTCCAACTCCCCAATGTCTCCTTCGTCTCTCCGCTCCCCTTCTCTTCTCCGCTCTCCTTCGAACCTCTCCGCTCTCGCCAACTCCCTAATATCGGTCTCTCCTTTGTCTTCTCGTTCTTGCGTCTCCACGTGTCGGAAGGTGACAAACGGCTGGCTGCGATAGCAAGCATGATGGCGGTACTGGAGATGAGGATGTCTGGGATGTAAGGACTGATGATGATGACCACTTTCGACTCTGCGAAAACGAAATGCTAAGGCGACTACACGAATGCAGTGTAACTCACATCAACTTTAAGCAGCTGGGCGGTGTTCCATAGTAACCAAGGGTTATGGTCGAGATGGAGGCTGTGGTGATGGTGATAAATCTTAGAAAAAGAAGAGATTCTGGAAGTCTTATGCTCTGTGGTACCCTTGCGGGATATAGAATGACTCATAGTGGGAAGTTTTCGAATAGCGCCACCAGTGCATGAGGCCGTTGCGAAGTTTGAGATAATTCTTGGCTTAGGTGCAGAATATCAACGCAAAGGATAGTTTTCTACAAAGCTTCTTATCGAATGCGCTGAGATGGTTGGACGAAGCGGTTTCTGGCCATTGATATATTTGCTTTCTGTCTGTGGGAGATTGGAATATAATAGGGAAAAGAATGCCAAGCTGAAAAAGGGGGAATATGTACGAATTCTTGGCATAAAGAAAGTACGAGAAACAGTCTTGATCCGGGAGGACTCTTTTCTTAAGACATGTACCGTACATCCATCATGATTCTCGTGACAATTCGGAAGGAGCAGGGGAAAAAATGCTCAGCGAGAAAACGTGCTCATACCCAGGATTATAGTACGCCAAGGGACGTGGTAGGCGTCAGCTTTTCCTTAGTTACCCGGAAAAACCCGCTCACTACTTGGTACCGAACAACATTCGTGGAATCCTCTAGCAACGGTCGTGGTAACGGGCTGACCCTGTCATCGAGAAACCGCCCGGGGTGTGTTTCTCAAAGCCGGAGAACACGGGCCTTGAGTCTCCGGATTGAGATCCCCAGCGCGCACAGGTCGCTGTTACTTACTCGCTTGAAGTTGCTGAAAGAGTACGAGCTGCTCCGGTGCAGGGGTAAATAGTTTCGATGGCTAAGTAACCCGCTCATGTGATATCCAAATTCCAAAACAAGTACGAAAACCACTTATAATCGTCAGTCGCATGGTCCTAGGCTATCCCATATAGCTGATCTCATCTAGCAATGGGCTCCTGGCCAGCCTACTTATGTCGCGTTACGGGCACAGCTGGACTCTTGCCTACTCATATATAAAAATTGCCCAGCACAAGTCCACTCAAATATCTTTAGCAGTCATCAGCTCGTGCGTCCAGTATGTTAGGTATTATACAGTTTGCTCATTGAGATGACAGTTGATCGCTAGGTGCTGATTGAGACAATGGCAAACGCGAGAAGAACAATCAGACGAAGTTGTAACTTAGCCAAATAATTATGGATATTCAGTGTGCAGACGATGGAGCCACGAAAACGGTCAGGGTGGGATTGACTAGGATAATGTTGATCATTGACCTTGTTAAGAACGTCCTTTATCATTAAGTCTCACAGGGTTGACACTCTGGTTTACAAACAAACTTTAATGTCCGCTCAACACCCAAATTTTCTGAAAGCATGGGCTTTCTCTTCCTTCGAATGAGTATCAAAAACAGAGCCTCTTGCTTCAAAATTTGAGAATGACAATGAAGAAAGGCGTGGTCGAGTGGAGCCGATGATAATCGCACCCATACTGGCTCACTGAACCTGATTTGGAGGCCTAGAGAACGGGTCCACAGCTCTCCTCGCCTCGCCACACCTTCTGTTAATCTTGATTGTAGCGGCTAGAAATCCGTATGTTGCTCGCGGATTCACAAGTCTTGCTCTATAAACTGCGTTAAAACCTTGGCCATGTCTGTTGAAAAGCCGTCATCATTGATAGCCCTTCGATCTTCCACAACAGCGATACCACTGCCAGCAAGCCCTTGAATAACAGCGTCGAACAACGCCTTGTCTGCAGCTTTATCGTAGTATGGCCCTCCCTTTTGTCGAGAGCATACTGATACCACCCAAAGGTATAAAGACTCGTGCCATGTCCGGCTTTTCGACATGGGTTCTCAACTTCTCTGCAATCTGCTTTCCCAATGTGCGACACTCGTCTACAGAGGTTCGTACAAGCGTAGTATCTGGGTTGTGTTCGTAAAGTAATCTCGCTTTGAACTGAGCAGGAACAGATGCACGTGGTCCGAAATTGACAATATCCAAACCTCCTAAGCTCACCACTTGTGGAATGCCAGCTCGCGCTGCAGCCGTGAGTCTGTCCGGTCCTCCTTTCATGATTCCGCCTACTAGTTCGTCTGCTAGCTCCGACGTTGTCAAATCTAACACACCATCGATTCGATGCTGCGAAATGAGCTTCTCCATTGCCCGTCCTCCAACGCCAGTCGCGTGGAATACAAAGACTTCGTAGCCATTGCTTTCGAGCTGCGCTCTTGCAGCTTCGACTGCGGGAGTAGTAACACCAAACATTGTGATTGCAACGCTTTTCTTTCTCTTCTCATCAGCCACCTTATCATTTTTCTCCTTCTCTGAGCGATCATGAAAGGCTTTGGCAGCTCCCGCAATTATACCAGCCGCATTCTCGAGAATCGGATTCAAGATTGAGTTTTGACCCGCTACATCTACCACGCTATACATCATCGTGATTTCAGTCTCACCAACAAAATTACTTACGTTGCCAGATGCGACTGTTGAGACTATCAATTTGGGAAAGCCAATTGGGAGGGCGAAGCGCATCACTGATGCTCCCAAAGATGTACCTCCGGAGCCGCCTATACAGATGGCAGCAGTGATCATCTTACGAGAATGAAGCTCGGTTACTAAAGAGGACGCTGCCGAGGTCATTGTCTTGATGACTTGGCCTCGCTCCATTGAGTCCGTATCGCGCTGGACTGAGAGATGCGAGAGTACTTGGGCATGAGTGTAGTCAATATATTGATGAAGTACAGGGTTGCGCCTAACATCCATAAGCTTAACGCCGACACCATGCTGGAGCACATGGTACCGTACGTAGAGGAGCTCCGATAGCTTGGTGTCGCAGGTACCCAGCAGCAGAACGAAGGGTTTAGAACTTGTGCCGGCCATATTCGTGGTCAACAAGGAGCTTTCGTGGGGCAGACTTGGTGCTCGGACAAGGAGAAAAAAAAAAAATTGGTTTTTTAAAAAAAGGAGGGAAAGAAGGGGAAGTAAAAAAATTTGGGAGGGAAAGGAAGAGGAAATAAAATTAAGAGGAAGGAAAAGGGAAACGAAAATCATTAATAAACATTATTTTTTTTTGGAAAGGGAAAGGCCAAATAAAAAAATTTTTTTTTATATAGATTAAAAAAAAAAAAATAAGTTATAGGGGGGGGGGTAATTATATTAATTAAGGAGGGAAAGAAATTAGTGGGTGGGAGAGGGAGGGTTTGGGGTGGGAAGGGAATTCTTGGGGCGGGAGCTGGTCAGTCCACCACATCACTTTCTTTCGACGTCGATGGTAAATGCGTTTAGGGATCGGGCTGTCTGCAAAGTTCGTTGAAAAAGGGGGAGCAGATCTAATCATCATCTATAACTCTGGCCGTAAGGGAAGGTTTATTTGGTTGGGGGGGGGGTTTTGTGGTGTAAAGTTTTTTTTTTTTTTTTTTTTTGGTGTTTTTTTGGAGGGGGGGGGGGGGGGGGTTTTAGATATTTTTTTTTTTTTTTTTTTAATTTTTTTTTTTTTTTTTTTTTTTTTGGTTATTTTTTTTTTGTTTTGGCCCCGCCCCCCCCCCGGTGGGGTTTGGGTTTCCTTTCCCCCCCCCCCCCCCCCCCCCCTCCTTTTAATTCTTAAAGGGATGGGGGGTTTGTGGGTTTTGGGTTTTTTTTTTTGCCGGTTGTTTCCATGGCAGCCCCCTCCCAAAAAAGGTGGAGGAAGGAGGGGTTTTTTCCAAAAAAGAGGGGGGGGGGTTTTTATTTCCCCCCGGTTTGTATCTCCTGACAGCCCCATATGTCTTTAATGTTGACGAGGGGGAGCGCATAACCAAGGCTGGTGCTGATGTGATAGTGGTGCATCTCGGCCTTACTACCGGCGGTAGTATAGGCGCTGGTGAGGGCGAGATCACATTGGATGACTGCGTAAATATAGTGCAGACCATCAGAGATGCGTGCGTGAAGATCGAGCCCGATATCATTGTGCTTTGCCACGGTGGACCTGTGTCAGGTGGGTATTGTCGACCGATGTTAAAGCGAAAAGGGCTGATCTGGTGACATACAGGTGTAGAGGACACTCGTTACGTCATTGATCGAGTCGATGGCATCCACGGTTTCTTCGGTGCAAGTAGTATGGAAAGATTGCCCGCAGAAACCGCCATCGAGCAGAATGCGAGAAAGTTCAAGAATATTGAAATTGGTTCTCGTTAGCTTTTTTGTGTTGGCAATATAATAGGCTATGTTTAATATAATTAGGGCTAGGGCTATATATAAATACTATATAAATAAATCGTATATATAGATAGATAGAATATAAGAAAAGAACTTTATATAAGTAAATATAAGTTTAATATAAATATAAAAAGTCGCTTATTAAATTACTAGAGATTCGTTTTTTTAAGTTATTCGATTTCGATTTATAATCTATAGTAAATTAAATTACTTCGAAGATTATATCTTAATCTTTTAAACGTATTAATTTTATATATATATTAAATAAACTAATTACTTTAATATATTATAATTATAATTATATAACTATTACTTATAATTATATAACTATTATTTATAATTATATTATTTATAATTATATTATTTATAATTATATTATTTATAATTATATTATTTATAACTATATAACTATAATCTTTAATTATATTATAATTAATAATTATAAGTCGTAGCTAATAGCTATAAGTTATTAAAATTAATACTTTCTCTTTATTTAATTATTAAAAAGATAGAGATAATAGAGTAAATAGTTAATATTACTTTTCGAAAAAATCTTTATAGAGAAAATAGAAAAAGTAGAGAAATAATATAAACTTTTAATATAGCTCTTTAATTTATTCTTTTAAAATACGTAGTAGTCTTTATATATAATAAGATTATTTTAAAAAAGTAGATTTAAGTCTTATATACTATCGAATTTTCTTAATAGCGATCTTCTAATTAATTAGATAGCTATATATCTATTAAGAAATCATTATAATTTAACTTATATATATATATAATATAAAAGATATTAATTATTCTATATGCCTATAGGGTAGATATATGCGGTGCCAAGCCTACGCTAGTGGCCCTATGAGTATCCCTAAGGCATCTCATGACAATTGCCCACAAAAAACAGAGAAATGCCATGTCCTCATGGCAAGAAGTATGCATGCATAATTCTTCGAAGGCCGGAAATGAATGGAGATGCCAGGCTAATTAGTGGTGTGCATCCCACGAAATCTCCTACCGAAATGAAAACTTTTGAATAATGAAATGACTGTCGGAGCAAGACATCGGACGGTTTCAATTCGTCCAAATATGCATCGTCCGATAGGTGACCCTTGCCTGCAGAGGTTCAATTGGCTGTGATCGACGCAGTAGATCCTTCTCTTATATGCTCATTGCAGTGATGTATCACATTAATACAGTAGGGATAATAGGCTAAATTGCAGTGTTGTTCTCCGCTTACTAAGTGATAACTTGACGTAGGATTGTAGAGAGCTGAGCCGTGTTCTTGGTGCTGATGGCCTTGCTATCGCTTACTTTCTCCGCAGTGTTCTCCGCATTTGCCTGCTATAGTGTTCCCTCCTCCTCTTATTTAACTGAGTGCTCTGGCTAAGTAGCTGACTAAGTGGATTAGTGAGCTGGCGGGGTGGGTAGTGCTTATAGAGACCTTCTCTTATATTACCGACGAGTCTTCTAATTTCGATACTTCTTCTTCTACTATATTACATATATGAATAAATACTTCGATAATAAAGTAGCGTGGAAATTAAATGGATTATTACTATCTTAGTTATAAGAATTAAAATCGTATAGTAAGTATATAGTAAGATTCGAAGATGGAAAAGTAGAGTCGAATTCTCGATGAAAGTTAGTATGGGCTACGTTAGAGGTACTTAAATATATATATAATTATAATGTAAATGAGGTAAGTCTTATAGCGTATAAGTTTATTATAATATCGATAGATCTATTAAAAGAATCGATTTAGACGATATTAAAAGATACTCGATAATATTACGAGCGTATTCTATATCCTTAATATACTACTTAGCTCTCTCACTCATTCGAGTCTAGCGTGTCTTAATAGAGGCATTTATCTACTACTTAATATCTTTCTTTTATCTATATAATTCGATATCTTAGTTATCTTATTAAATATATCTATATTAATATTATATCTATATCGATTCTAATACTATAACTAAGATTAACTTACTTATTTTATTCGTATTAGCGAATAAATTTAAAGAAACGCGCTAATAGAGGCTTTAGTAAGAAATTAAGTTAAGCTATCGTATCTCTAAGTAAATCTATTAGATAGATAATTCGATTTTATAACGAATCGAACTCGATAAATAGTAGTCGAGAGATAAATAAGATATTAGACCATTCGTATAGTTAGCGAATCGAAAGAAATAGTTAATATTAATAAAATATTATTTATAAGCTTTCTCGTATATAACTTCTCTATAAGATAAGAGATCTTCTAAGCGGAGTAAGTGCACTTAAAAAGCCACTATTTAAAGTATTTATAGTCTTCTTAACGTCTTAAACGATTAAGAAATAAGTATATTAAACTCTCGTAAAGAAATAACCTTACCTTAAGCTTTATAGTAATAAATTTTTATTCTTAATATCGAATAATTTCGACGCGTCTTAAAGAAACTTTACTATTCTCTAATATATCTAGTATTCTTAATACCTATTCTTTCGAAGTATTTAAACTCCTCTCCACTTTATTTTAAATCTTTCTTTCTTCTTTTCTATAGCGAAGTCTAATATCGAAAGAATAGATTAAATTAAGATCTTATTAGAGTAAATTAAGTTTTAATAGATATTAGTTCTATTAGATAATACCCTTAACGAGGCGAACTTAATAGATATATCTTAAGATATTATTAATAGTTTATAATTATAACATTAGACTAAGCACTAACCCGACGAATTTATAATTATATTAAATAAAATTCGCTAGAAGCGAAATAATTTTTAAGAGATTACTACTCGATATTATATCGTCGTAATAGAAAAGAATCTAACTATAAATGATTTATATTAGATCTATAGAATAATTAAGAAGATAAACTAACTAGTTTAAGACTTTTAGAAGAATATAACTTTTTTATAGCGGAAAGTTAATAGTCTTAAGATATAGTTAATAAAAGATTTATAACTATTATCGATCGAGGAGAAACGCACGCTTAGACGCTTAAAAGAGAAATTAATTAAGATTCTAGACTCACCTCTATTCATCGACGATAGCGATCTTATCTAAGACGACTGGTTCTCTAGAATAAAATAGAAATTCAAGACTAATAGCGATTATTATTTTATCGAGAACTCTAAGATAGCTTATATAGTTTTATAACTCGGCGATAAGACTATATAATATACGATATATAGAAGACTTCGAAATTCTACTAATTTATATTAGTCTTTTACTAAGATTATAAACGAGTTAGTCGATATCTATAAGAACTTAGATCGATATAGTAATATATTACGTAATATATATACTCTATAATAAGAAATTCGACTCTTTATCGACTTCTATTTAGACTTTATTCGATTAAATATTATTCTTAACCTTAATAAAATCGTTATAATAGAATATTATCTTTTAAATAAATTAAGAAAGAATCTAAGAAATTTATAAGAGATCGTAAAGAGATTTATTATCTTAAAGACTATAAAGAAATATCTTCGAAAATTAAATAACTCATATCGTGCTAGATAAAAAGATATAGAGCTTATAAAGACTACTATTAAATCGATTACTATACGAACTACGACTAATATATATCTTATATCTATTACTAGAGCTACGATCGCTATATCTCTAGATATTAAGATTAATTTAAAATTAAGAGAATTAATATACTATAACTATAATAAGAAAGATTACTATCGAAATATCTATATAATAGCTATCTAAATCGAGATCGATAAAAAGACTTTTAAGAAAGTATAACTTTACGCGATAGATATAAACGAAGAATTCGAAATTAATAACATCGATATCATAGATAGCAACGATACTTTATCGAATTCGGAAAATAAATAGTCTCTTTTAAAGTTATAATAAGAGATACTTATAAAGTATATCTAATAGATACTCTTAATAACGCTCTAGTACGTCGTTCTTTTCGTATATAAGTTATACTTTCCTTATAAGAGAGAACTTATCTACTTAAGAACTTTCTTATAGATAATAAATATATCGATACTTATATAGTTATAAACGAGTTCTTAGTCTCAGCGATATATAAAGCCTTATATCTGAAACTACTCTTACTATTACGATTCAAATTACTAAGAGATTATAACGACTAGATTATAAAATAATTAATTATATATTAATTACTCTTAACGATAACGATAGAAGATTATCGAGAAGAAATATACTTAATATTAATTATATTATTAAAATACGATATAATAATTAAGAAATCTTAAATAAATAAATACGAAGTAGTTCTTAATATATTATAGAATAAGATACTCTTTCTATCTAGTCGATATAATTATAATAATAATTAGATATTAATAATAAACGAACTCCTCTTTCTATTAACTTCGAAACTTCGATTATCTATATCATCTATCCCCTTATCTATTATATTAAAATAATAAAGTTCTTCTCTACTTACTTATAATAACGAGACTAATTTAAATATCTTCTTATTAAATAAAAATGAGAATAGTAAAGAGTTTAAGTTTATTAATATCGCTAAGATTAATATAGCGGTCTACTATTAACTAGTCTATAAAAAAGATAATAAACTATTTACATTAATAATAAATAAGATCTATAAAAATACGCTAATATTATATATATCTTCTATTACTCGAATATCTCGCGATTCTCGTATATCGATTAATAAACTCTATCTCTATAACTTAGAAAAGAAATATAAAAGGTATTACGATTTTAATTGCTCTATTTAAATCAATAGCACTAATAAAGTTAATTCTAAAAAGATGAAATATAGACTATTTACGAAGTATTACGACTATCTTAATATTTTTAATAGAACTAAGATAAATATACTTTCTCTATATCGTTCTTATAACTATAAGCTAGAATTTAACGATAACTTCGATAAAATAAAACTTTCGAAAAGTAGAATCTATTTAATATTAAGATATAAGCTGGAATAGATAAAGATGTTACGAGCGTATTCTTAATATATTACTTAGCCCTATAG